AGGACATTGGGGAGGGTATGTGCTATGGTGAGTGCTGTGAAGTGTGTAAACCTGGCGATTCACAGACCTGTACCCCTGGGGATAAAAAAATATGTTTATAAAAAATAAAATTAAAAAAAAAAAAAAAACCACACACAGTACTACTATGAAACATGGCTTTCGGTCACTGACCACTGTTAGTTCACACTGACTAGAAACTACTCTAGTAAAAGGTGAGCACATGGACCAATCCTGAGAAAAGACAGGGACCTACGCAGTGCTTTCAGCAGGAACTGAGCCATCATACGCTCCTGTAGCAGAGCTTATCTGCCCAGCAGTGGGCGCCCGAGGAGCTCTGAGCAGCTGACAGAGGCACGAACGGTGGAGGCAAGCTGCTTCCAGAGCGGGCGAGGAAGGACAGCTATGTATGGGATGCAGGGTGAGGTCCCAGATGGCCTGAGGAAGGGCAAACTAGCACCATCTTTCCCTGGGGTTTTCTTTACTGCCAGTCAAGCACTGGAAGGTGACTTAGCAGCGAACCCTAGAATCTATGGAAATCAATAATCCAAATAATGCTGACATGAAATACCATCTGTTTTAGACACTTACCTTCTAAAGACTCCTTCAACACCAGTAATGCCCATCCCGTCCACAATATCTCTGGTGAGTCTGAAAGGAACCGTTTCAGGAGTCGGGAGGATCTTCCCCTGCTCAAAAGCAACTCCTAAAGTAAACAGTAGAGCGCGGTCAGGTTCCGGAGCAAACTGACTGCCCTCCCTTGGGGCCTGCGAGCTGCGCAGAGGCCCCAGATCATCTGCCTGAGACTGTGCACAGGACCAGAACTCAGGTGGTTTTTCTCTTTCTGCTGGGCCACTGTTAGGCACCTCAAATTTAAAAAGCGTAACTACTTCTAGACATAGGGAAGTTCTAGATTAAAGGGTAATTTCTTAAAATGAAATGTGATGAGGATTTAAAATGCAAAATATGCCTATGATCTTAATTTCTATGTATTTAAGTATACACGCATATTATATATTAAAAATTTTTATTAAATGAAACTTTTTATTCTGAGATAACTATAGATTGATATGCATTCATAAGATACTATAGAAAAAATAAAATAGAAAATAAATAAATAAATAAAATAGAAAATAAATAAAATAGAAAATTCCCCATATACCTTTTATTCATGTTTCCCCAATCTTGCAAAACCATGCAGTACAGTATCACAGGCAGGACACGGACACTGATCCAGGCAAGGTCCAGAATATTCCCATCACCACCAAGATCCCTCACACTCGCCCACGTCCCTCCCACCAACTCTGTGCCTCCAGCGGTCATTACTCGTGTAACTTCATATAACTGAATTCATTCTAGGGAAAACCACGTAATATATGTCATCTCCTCTATTCTAACGGAACTCTATCTTACTCTCAGCAGCGACGTCCATGTGTTACAATACAGAATTCATAACTTCCTAATACCACACCTTCTTTGAAATCTTAAATTCCACATTCTAACTGAAATCTCTTCTACCCCCTTATTAAAGAGTCTGTCGGGGCGCCTGGGTGGTTCAGTCGTTAAGTGTCTGCCTTCGGCTCAGGTCATGATCCCAGGGTCCTGGGATCCAGCCCCGCACTGGGCTCCCTGCTCTGCAGGAAGCCTGCTTCTCCCTCTCCCACTCCCCCTGCTTGTGTTCCCTCTCTCACTGTGTCTCTGTCAAATAAATAAGAAAAAAAAAATCTTAAAAAGAGTCTTTAAACTCAGTGAGATTTCTAGTCTGTCAGCCTTCCTTCTTTTCCTAGTCCATTCACTGCGGCCTCACATCTCCAGTTACAACGGAGTTGCCAGGGAGGCCAGAAGAACGCACATGAAGACACTACTCGCTCCGCAGCAAATGCAGGCTCCTCGCGGTAGGCGAGCGCCCTGGGGACTGCCAGCGTGTCGTCTGTTCCCCATCTCCGCTCAGCTCTGGTCTCACCTCCGTAGAGCCCGGTTTGCCCTGTACTGTTCTTACAAGGCCAATTACCATCCCTCTGACGCTCAGCCAGCAAGCATGCTTTCATTTTCTCAGTTAAAACAGAAGAGTAAATGTTATTTCCCTCCAATTCTCTCCCCTCTAGCTCAAGACTTTCCTCCTCTCAGGAGAAAAGCTGATGTGCCTCCCGTGTAAAGCCAACTGTACCCCATATGCTGGAGGACTTCTCTCACTATTTCAGGATCTCCGTCTCTCTCCTCTAGCTTATCAATACAGAACATATCAATATAGAACATGTTCACTCCGCTCTCCTTAGAAAAACAAATGAACAACAACAACAAAAACCCCTCAAAACCTTAAAAAAAAAAAAAAAAAGGCTGAAGCATGTCTCTCTCATCTCTGCAGCGAATGCCTCTCCCGTCCTTCTAAACCTCCTGTGGACAGCTGCACATCCTAACTCTTGTTCAGTCCTTACCTTTCTGCAATCTCACTCTTCCATTTTTTTTTTAATATTTTTTTTATTTATTTGACAGAGATCACAAGTAGGCAGAGAGGCAGGCAGAGAGAGAGGGGGAAGCAGGCTTCCCGCGGGGCAGAGAGCCTGATGTAGGGCTCGATCCCAGGACCCTGGGACCATGACCTGAGCCAAAGGCAGAGGCTTTAACCCACTGAGCCACTCAGGCGCCCCTCACTCTTCCATTCTATCCAAATTACTTCCTAAGCCACGAGCACTGGTTAACTGTTCAATTCAAAGGCCTGTTTTCAGTGCTCACCTTATCTGACCTGTAGTCTGAGCACTTCTTCCTTCATGGAAACTCTACCCCCCCACCTCCTGCCTTCCAAGATACCCCTGCCTTCTCGTTCCCATGACTTGTTGGTTATTCCTCAATTTTTTTTCCTGACTCAGGCTTTTCAAAGCTGCCATTCCTTAGGTTTCTGTCCTCAGTCCTCTTTATCGAGGATGATACAGAAGATCAGAACCTCCTCCAGACCAGTGACCTCAAATGACATCTACTAGCAGAAGGTTCCCAGCTCTATCATTAAGCTCAACCCCTTTGCTTTCTCTAAGTATTAAATGCCCATTATACCTGGAAGTCCTATTAATACCTAAAAACAGAGTGCCTGGGTGGCTCAGTGAGTTAAGCCTCTGCCTTCGACTCAGGTCATGGTCTCAGGGTCCTGGGATCGAGTCCCGCATTGGGCTCTCTGCTCAGTGGGGAGCCTGCTTCTCCCCCCTTCTCTCTCTGCCTGCCTCTCTGCCTACTTGTGATCTCTGTCAAATAAATAAAATCTTAAAAAATTTAAATGTTATTTTAAAAAAAATACCTGGGGCGCCTGGGTCCTCAGTGGGTTAAGCCTCTGCCTTTGGCTCAGGTCATGATCCCAGTGTCCTGGGATTGAGCCCCGCATCAGGCTCTCTGCTCAGCAGGGAACCTGCTTCCCTTCCTTTCTCTCTGCCTGCCTTTCTGCCTACTTGTGATCTCTGTCAAATAAATAAATAAAATCTTAAAAAAAAATCTGTAAAAAAAAAAACCTAAAAACAAGATGCAAAAGTGAACTCACTGCTTTCTCCTCCTTCACAAAACCTGCCGCGTTCCTTCACTAGAAATGTCAGTTATCCTGGCGTCGCTTCTCCCACCGTTGCCGACATCTAACATCCCCGCTGCAGGCTACAGCAAAAACGCGCCCCAGCCCAGCTCCTGACCTCCACAGCTTTCGTCTGAGTCTTCTATTGTCTTAACTAGGATACGAGCCCCAAACATGTCTTGGCGCTCCCAGTACTGCTCCCCAAATTATTTCTCTAGGAATTAAACAGGATCATGTCCTCCTTCAGTAAATCTTCCTTTACGTCCCCTTGTCTCACAGGTTAAAGTTGAAACCCTGAGCCTGGTTTTTTACAGTCTAATACCAAGCTACCCCTCCAGCTACTCAACTCCGGCCATCTCTGATGCCTCACCGCTCCTACAGGTTACGTCCCGAGTCCCCATTTCGGATTTGCTCTCTCCTGTCTGGATTATCTTTTCTTTCTTCGAAGACCTGGCTTAAATATTGCCTGTTATAATAAGTTCCACTCATTATCTCAACAGAGTTAGCTACTCCCTCCAGCATGTGTTTATGTGTTTTTTTTTTTAAACATTTATTACTTTGGTCTGTCTCCCTCACATTTGTAGCAGCCTGAGGGCAAATATCATTTCCTATGACTAAATATTTAATAAACAGAATAAAGATACATTTCTGATCTTCTGTTACTCACCCAAATCTATATGTACAAGTTCTGCAGATTGCTCATTGATCAAGATATTCTGTACGTGTCGATCACCAAGTCCGAGTATGTAACCAACTGGGGGAAAAAAAAAGAAACCAACCTGAAATCACTGGGATCATCTGTTTCTAGAACGCGTCCATCCGTAGCTTCTACGGATACCACTGACAACATGACTTTTAAGTACTGTCGGCTTCTGGCCTGCTTCAAAAAGAACATGCACATAACCTGCCACTTCGAGTTAAGTCACATCTTGTTGGCTGTTTTCAGTAACACTGCATTTTACAAATTCTAGATGATGTGCTAAAAAAGCATACATTTAACAATAGTCATCCCTTGACAATTAGCGTGGTTCAAGTTGAGACCTATTATTTAGCAAGGCATTATATCCCCTCAAATATTTTGAGTATACTTTTAAATTTAACACAAATTAATCGTTAATTCATTTCACCAGGCTTATGTCCAGGAAAAACTGCATTTCTGTTCTGAAGACAGATGATGGCGTGCCCAAACACTTGTGACCTAATGAAAAACAGCATGAGGACGCCCGTGCGCCTGACTGGCGCTGTCATGCACTGGGTCTCCCTTCTTGTTTACAAACTGAATCGGCTGAATCCGATCAGTGATTCTCACTGTGGACCGGAAGAGGGTTCTGTAATGACCTAGAACTTGGTCAGTACACACACTAACTATGGCCCTGTCTTCCTGGGCCCTGCCTAGATGATAGAGGGATGGTCTTTATTAGTTATTAGTTAAAAATTAATAGATTAGAAGATAGCTGGTATTCAACATTAGTTCTCATACTCTAGGCTTTTGCTAACTGCCCTGTCTAGCTATGCCAGTCTCTTACTGATTAAAAAAAGGCCAAAATATGTAGTGTGCATTATGTATTTGAATATATATCATGATTTCTAATCCAAACATAAAATTCTATTAAATAGATTCAATATGGTTTCGCTTATTTGTGGAGCATAAGGAATAACATGGAGGACATTGGGAGAAGGAAAGGAAAAGTGAATTGGGGGACATTAGAAGGGGAGACGAAGCATAAGAGACTGTGGACTCTGAGGATCTAATTGAGGGTTTTGGAGGGGAGGGGGTTGGAAGGTTGGGGGAGCCTGTATTATCAAGGGCACGGATTGCATGGAGCACTGGGTGTGGTGCATAAACAATGAATTCTGGAACACCGAAAAGTAATTAAAATATAAAAATTTAAAAAAATAGATTCAGTCACTTAGTGATAACAGAATTCTGTGCAAAAGAACAACAGTTAAAGGAGGTAAGTTAAATATAGTTATCATGGGTTTTATTATTTCCCAAAGGCGATCTCAGAAAATAATCTATTGAGGGAAGATTGAAAATACGCCATATTCACTACTGAACAAAGAAGAGCCAGTCTTTTCTCTCCCTGGAGTAGGAGAATTCTTTCCTGCAGAAGCTCGGAAGGGTGAGTTACAAACTGAGAACCGGGATGAAGGAGAAGCAGGACAGTGGAAAGATGAGGGCAGTCTGGCTGACAAGCTCCCTGAGTAACATCACCAGGTGAATGAGTAAGTGGCCGGCGACACGGCGGATGGGAGCATTTACCGATAGAGGAAGTGGCCACGCTGCGAGTGTAAGCCAGTCGCTTCTCGAACCAAACTGCTGGGTCGAGGAATTTTTCCATGCAGAAGTAACGGAAAACAGGCTGAAATTTTTGGCAGACATTCATGAATGTTTTATATTTCTCTTCAAAAGACTTCTTTTGTACATCCTTTAAAAAGATCAAATACAAAATTTTCTCAATATTGTGTTTAACTACTTTAACGTCCACGAGAGTTTCTGGATTGAAAACAGTTCCATGGATGCGGAGGCAACAAAGAGATGAACAAGGTGGGGTCTACCCAGCAGCGAGCAGTGTGGTCAGAGACAGTGACAAGGTATAAGCCCTTCAGGGCTCAAGTGTGAATCTTCCTGGAAGGAGACACACCAACGGGGACTGTTGTTTGTTTTAATGCAGTTCGCACTGGAGGGATTCTGTTATCTATGCGGAAGCAAACAGAACAGGGAGAACCGGCTCCAGACCTCCAGATGGTCTGAGGTCACAGAGCCCCGGGGAAGCCAGAATGGGTGACGTGCCTCAGATCTGTCCTCCGGTGGCAGAGCCTGCCGAGCCACCTCAGGGGGCAGCGCTCCCACCCTGTACCCGCCACCCCCAGCTGCACTCGGGCCAAGCTGTCTTCATGACGCTCCAGCCTGCCCTGCCTCTCCCACCACCCACTCAGCATCTTCACCTGGGTCACTGCCAAACCCCAATGACTTCTTCCCCTTCTCCTCCTCAGGGAACCTCAGCCACTTCTCTCTCTACACCGTAGACATCCTCCATCCAGCCCATCACCCAAACACCGGGCACCACTGATTACTTTTTCCCCAACCCCACTTCTAATCAGTAACCAAATCCCATCAGTCCTGCCTCCCCACTATTTCTGTATGCACCCCTACTCCCCATTCCTACTGCTGTTCGTCTGCATTCACGGCCCCCGTGTCATGCCTCTAGTCAGCTTCTCAAAAATGTAGCCCACAGGGCTCAGAGTTCTTTCTCTAAAATGCAACTCTGGTATTGCTGTCCTTCTGGAGGGTTCTCTACTGCTTTCAAGATAAAGTACCAAGTTCTTAGCATTTCATGAAGCAACCCTCTGTTTTTTGACTAACAACTACTGCTTTAGTCTCACTGATCTCCTGCTCAAAACCTAGGCCTCAGCTATCTGCCTGTCCAGGCCTCTTTCCCTTTGCCTGCGCATGGCTTCTGCTTAGAAAACCAACTCAGTCATCTCAGTCATCTCAACTCAAAGGCCACTCCCCTACGAAGCTTTTCCGCTCCTGCCCGTCACAAGCAGAACGAAGCACTTCCTCCCCTGGGCCTGCATGGTACGCGGGACCGCCTTCCATTACGACGTGATGGCACTCTGCCACCCAGTTTAAAAATTACATATCACAAAGCACAGGAAAAGGAAAAGTAATGCATTTTAGGGTTGGACAGACAAGATTCAAATCCTTGCTCCACCATTAACTCCTTGACCTGGGCAAGTCAAATTTCTGGACTTCCTCTCATTTTAAAATGGGGTAAGTACGGTGATGATGAGTGTGCGCAGTGTCCGGAGAAAGGACACGTCCTGTCCATACTGTGACAGGCCGGATGAACGTTAGACCACGAGGCTAGTGTGATGTGGCCAATGCCTTAAAAGATCTATCAGTTTTATATAAAAATTATTATCTGTTTTTTGGTTTCAGTTAGTGTTTTGTTAAGAATCCGCTCACCCCACACTGGAGGCAAACTAGCATTCCACCGGATGCTCAGTCTCTCATCAGACAAGGGCTGGCACTTTACAGAGCTTACAAACCTCCCTGTGTCGCTCACACACACTTCGTGCTGGCGCCCGGCCTTCTCCCTTGGGATCACCGCCCGACGCCAGTGAGACACCGTGTGCTCTGACGTGTGAGCGGTCCGCTGCGGCGCGCCGGCCCACGACCTCGCGCTTGTTTCTCCTCGCGAGGGTCACTCACCATCATCTTCTTCTGGCAGTGAATGGCGCTCAAGTCCTTCGGCCTGTATCGCTTATGAGCACCGTTCTCGTTGTTGACAAGGAACTCGCCGATGGGGACGGTCCCCGTGCACCACTCGAGCACACCGCTTCGCTGGGAGAGCGGAACCACCTGCATCACAGAGGAGATGCCTTCTGAGTACGGGAAGGGTCCCGAAGAGCAGGTGACTGCCACTCAACTACCAGTCCCTGGAAATCAGTTCTTTCGGGTGTATCCCTGATTCTGTGTCCAGAGGAGACAGAACTCCTTGGAGATAAGCAATGGAAAATACACTCAAGCTCCAGAAATCAGATGTTCTAGCCTGCGGCTGACACTCCTAAGACCTGCTCTGCTCTCAGTCCCCGGGACTCCTGTTGACTAGGTCTTTCAGCAGCATCTGTGACTGAGTCACAGTTCGCGCCATTTAGCATAGGAATTACCTGCTTTCCTCATACCTTTTTTTTTTTTTAAAGATTTTGCTTTATTTATTTGTCAGAGACTGAGCACAAGCCAGGGGAGGGGCAGAGGGAGAAGCAGGCTCCCCACTGAGCAGGGAGCCCAATGCGGGGCTCGATCCCAGGACCCTGGGATCGTCACCTGATCTGAAGGCAGATGCTTAACTGACTGAGCCACCTGGGTGCCCCTCATACTTTTAAAATCAAACAATTTGAAGATTTCACTTTGGAAAATACTGAATATAACTTTAATACTAATATACTTTGAGGGCGCCTGGGTGGCTCAGTAGGTTAAGCCTCTGCCTTCGGCTCAGGTCATGCTCTCAGGGTCCTGGGATCAAGCCCTGCATCAGGCTCTCTGCTCAGTGGGGAGCCTGCTTCCCTCTCTCTCTCTCTGTCTGCCTCTCTGCCTACTTGTGCTCTGTCAAATAAATAAATCTTTAAAAAAAAAAAACTAATATACTTTGATAATTAAAAGTATACGTATTCTTGCTTTAGAGTCTTATTAGCTACACGAAGAGGAAATATATTCCTGAACATAAAATTAGCAATTTACCGGAAATATAAAAAATTATGACATATATAAACATACACAAAGTACAGAAAATGATATAAACAAACACCCTTTTACCCACTAAACAGCTTTATGAAATCTAAGATTTTCTCACATTTGCTGCAAGGAGATGAAGCTCCCTTGCATGCCCTCCCTGGCCTCCTGCCCTTCCCCACCAGCAAGAGGACTGCTAACGTGCTTATCATTCATGTTCATGTATTTTTTGATATATTTTGATTTCAAAGCAATATATACAGAGATAGTTCTAAGCTTTAAATAAAAGAGTATTATACTCCGTGAAGGCTTCTGCAATTTGTTTTTTACCCAACACTACTTTACCCTCAGCTGCATCAGTACGTGTAACCCTAGATCATTTGCTTCAGCAACCACAGACTGTGTAAGAACACCACGTGCGCACAGATGCACACCAGGAACTGAACCCCTGGGTCACAGGGGATGTGCGTCTCCTGTTTCGTTAACCAGATATCGCCAAAGAACTACCCAAAGTGGTTGTGCCTGTCTCTACACCCAGTACTGTGCTGATCTGAGAGGCAGGCAACAGTATCTCACTGTGGCTTTGATTTCTATTTTCAGATGCCCAGTAAGGCAAAGTCAAATTTAATATTTTCTTCCTCAGCTGTCTGTATTCTACACCCATTTTCCTATGGACATGTTAGCCTTTCTACAACTGGCTGGTGACAGCTATTTATACATCCCTTACTGTTATTAATCCCTTACTGTCATTAATATTATAACAATCCTTTGTTACTATTATTAAAGTCATTTTTCTTAGTTGGCCACTTGTCTTTATAGAATCTTTAATTCCATCAATTTTTTATTTTAACGTACTCATACATGCTGACCTGTCTGGTGTCTTAACGCCTTTCACTAATTTATTAACTGTGTTTGTGGAGAGTCTGTTATGTGTTTAACAGAAGAAAAGAGGCATTTTAAAAAGTGACTAAGAGAGGCAGGGTCAGAGAGGCCTCTCTGAGGAGGTGACACGGAGAGAAACCTGAATGCAGTACCGGAGGGCGTACAGGGTCTGGGGGACGAGCATTCCAGGCCGAGGGGAGTAGGGAAGCCCTGATGTGACCCCAAACCGGCAGATCTCAGCCACAGCAGGCAGAGCAGCTGCGCCGAGGGGAGAAGACGGAGCCGGCGCAGGCAGAGAGGAGGGTGGGGGGAGCAGCAGATGAAGCTGCGAAGAGACGAGCAAAGGCCAAGCACTTCATTCAGGGGTAAGTGAACTCATCTGGAATTCAGAATAGGAAATGGACAGATTTATTCTGTCTCAGACTCTTTTAAATGGACCATCCCAGCTGCTGTGAGTAAAGGAGCTTTGGCGGGGCCAGGGAAGAAGGGGATGGCGAGACTCGACAGAAGAGACGTGACTGCAGGGCGGGAACGGCAGAGGCAGTAACAGGGACTCGAGGGAAAGCAGGCTGGTAAGGACTGGCTAGTGGAACAGGTGTGAGATCTGAGGAGGGGGGGAGAGAGAAGGAGAGAAAGGGAGAGAGTAGAGAAAGGGAGAGGGGAGTTTAAAATGATGCTGATATTCTACATGATATTTAGGAATTACTGCTCTTTTAGGAGTGATGACAGTATTGTGGTTCTGTTTTGTTTTTTAGAAAACATGTTCTATAACTACACACTGAAATAAATGTTTACAGATGAGATGACAGGACATTTTGTTTCAACATAATATTGAAGGGAAGGAAGTAGGTGGAAGTAGAATGAAACAAATTATCCTGAGCTGATCACAACTGAAACCGGGCACCAGTACAAGGCAGTTCATTACATTATTCTATGTACTTTTATATTATGTATGTTTGAAATTTCCAATAGTAATAAAAAGGAAAAGACAGACCGCCTCCTGACTTTGGACCGAGCAACTGGGCGAGGGCCGTGCCGTTCGCTGGTCTGTGAAGAGCGGTCCTTCTGGGGGCGCAGGTATTCACCGAAAGTTCTACTTTAAACTTGCTGAGCCTGAGACAGCTCTTAGACCTCTACAGAACCCACTCGTCTTGTCAGGAACCAGCCCTTCCAAATGCTGTATGTGATCTGACAAAAGACTTCTTTTTCAACTAACTTAAGGGAAAAGCAGGGTTTCATGACTATCACACGGAAGACGGGCAAAAGGCAAAAGGACCAAGACTCCCGAGCCACCAACCACAATGTGCACTTTTCCAGTGACCACGCCACAGAGACCTTGCGTAGCCCACAAAGTCTAAAATGTTTACTCTCTCAGAAAACACTGGCTGAGCCCTTGTCTGGGTCATGGCATCGTTTCTAGGCTCTTGCTGAAGGGGCAGCAGCGTGAAGCGGTCACCTTGTATGTGCAGATGGTCAGTTTCCTCTTCCGGGTCTCCGTGTTCCTCTGCAGTAACGTGTTACACATCTGGAAAACCTGCTGCATGACTGCATCCTGTCTCAGGTCGTCACGGCCCTTCAGAGTAATCAGAGCACGAACAACTGGGCACAGTCCATTTTATGATCAAATCACACAGAGAGCCACCCGAGGACAACGAGAGGGCGCTCAGAAATATACGTGAGTACCCGTCCCCCTCTTCACAGTCTCTTAAATGACTAAGACCTAATGCTGGTCTTTCATTTAGAGTAAGCTGTAACACTAGGGAGGCAGACCAGTTTAAAAAAACGTTCCCCCTTGCTGCTTCTGGAATTAGGCTACCTGGGACTCCTCCACTGGAGGGCACGAGGCACTGTCCCCCTCCACGACCTCCCAGCATAGCCGGGAGAATTTGGGAGCAGAGTGAGGGAGGAATGCTGGCCCCTTCCAGATAGATTTACTAGCTGCTGGCACAGCGCCACACTCAGGATCCCTTCAACTTGAACTCTTCAAGAGAAGAAGCAAGTCACCTAAATGGTTTTCCCATAACAAGCAAGCGGACTGATGACCTCATCGTATCTGTACACGTCCGAAGTGTTCATTTGCTGCAGTCAGCTGTTACAATGCTGGCCTTCCAGAGACACACGAAATTTAGGAAAAGCAATCTGCTTCTAGAAAATAATGCTTATTTATATTGTGTAAGTTTTACTCACTTGCAATTTTTGAGAAGAAAAATAAGGACGCAAAGCAGGAAGTAAATGTCAACTGCAGTTCTTTTGTCGCTACGCCACTATGGACCACACGGCCGGAGGGGAGTCTCACCTTGACGAGCTGTCTCCTTTCCTTGCCATCGGAGCCCAGACAGTCTATTATTTTAGGTAAATTTAAACCTCCTGCTAAACGAAATTCTGCTTTAAATGACGCTATAGTCACCAGATTTCTGTATTCTCCGGTGGGGTCCACCTAATGAAGCGTGTAAATGAAAGAACAGGTCAGGTACACTATGTGCTTTTAAAGGAAAATGAATTATAAATGACAATTTAAATACGAAACAGAGGAATGAACGACAACATGATGTGGGTTAAGAGCTCAAGTGGTAATCTGCTTCCTGTTCAAATGAAAGAAACAGAATTCAACACCAGAAAGGCTGGGAAGTCACACAAGTCACCTTTCTAGGCATCTCTCACTAACCCTGGGGCGCACAGTGTTACAAGAGTGTTGCCAAAAAGCTACTGAAGATTCAACCTGCTCTCAGGTCTTACGGTGGACTATGTCAAGGTTAAGTCCTCTGAGAAACAGTAAATGTCTCACAATAACATAGTAAGGTAAGTTTTTAAGGAAGCGTGTAGAGTGGTATTCTAGGTTGAAATGCTGCTAACTGTGGCATTTTCAGGAAATACTCAGCTTACCTACCTTTCAAATCAAATAACTACATATACTAAGAATGTAGTCAAATGATCCTTTTTAAAAATTTTTTGTTTTTAATTCCAGTTAATTAGAGTTATTATTGTTAGTTTCAGGTGCACAAGATACGGATTTAGCACTTGCATACGTCACCCGGTGCTCATGAGACAAGTGCCCTCTTCCATCCCCATCCCCCACCCACCTCCCCTCTGGTCACCATCCGTGCGTTCTCTGTAGTTAACAGTCCGTTACTAAACTATCATCTCTGTTATTACATACATCACTGCCAACTTGGTATTTCTAGCAATAAAAGATCAGCACAAGGTAGCTAAAGTATCATGCATATTACAGTTAATTTAATACTGTAACATGTACTGGATTACTTAATAGCATAATACATGATAGTCAATACATTCTAACACAGAGACTTTTTAAAATATAAAGCATTTAGGGACTTTCTTGCCCAGTTAAAAATTAATCTTGGCGAAAGCACATAGAACATTTTCTTCTTTTGGCCACTGAAGGTAACAGTCTACAAACCTTCTTCACAAGGAAGATGGAAGGTGTAAAACTGAAGGCAAAAGAAAAGAAAGCAGGAGAACCCTTTGAGTATTTTCAGGCTTAGGTAAAGGGAGTCTGTAAAGAAACTATAGGACGAAACATGAAAGTCCCAATCTCAACCAATCTGATGTCAAATAGTTAACCTAATGAAGAAGAATTTAGTTCAATAAAAAAATCAAGACAGTTAATAGTAAATTACCTTAATTTCCATAGTTGGAACAACAACGTCTTCTAAATTCTTCAGTTTAGTAATTGGCTGGTCTGCTGGGATATTTATGCCTTCTGTATTTAAAATAAAGAGGTTCTGGTGACAAAAGGCACTGAGGAACCGCTCTGAAGGTAAAGCAGAAGAATTCAGTAGATGCCACAGACCCCAACCTGTGGCTAATCTGCGGTTCTGGCCCTGATCCAGAAATGAAGACCTAGGGCTTGGGACATGATGTAGTGCAGGGCCAGAGCAGGACAACGGCTGACATGGCTTACACGTGACTCTGCAGGTATCTGGCATTAGTAATTAGGCCAGAACCCAGCTCCCCCGTCCTGGCTGAGTGCCTTAAGATAATTACACAACAGCCTTCTAGCACACAGATAATGTACTCCCACCATATTATTATTAAATGTAACCAAAGGATGTGATGATTAATATGCTTTGTTTGCTTAGAGGAATACTATGAGAATTCTCAGTCTTATTTTCAAGTGTGAAGAACGTAAATGCAAAGACCTGATTCTGAACAGAAAAGGGAATACAATTGTTAAAATATGGGGAGAGAAACTTGAATGTATACACATAACCAAATATCACAGCAGTTTATAATTATTTGAACAGAGACAGTAAGAAGAGTGACAGATTACATGCAAGGCATTCTAACGCTTACAGAGGAAATGGTAAAGGCTTCTCATTTTTAAGACCTAGGGCACTGTGGGAAACAACATTTTAAGAAGCCTCTGACCCTGAAAACTGTCAGTTATTCAGTTATTTTAATGGCTTTGCCTCTATGCAATTAATTATCTGGTACAAGTATTTGTACCAGGAGATGACCTGGAGAAATCAAATAATTAATTCAGTACAGTCACATATTACCAGGTAACGGAAGATATTAAATGGTAAGGGACTAGGGGTTGCTGAAACTACTGGAGAAAAATTCAGCTTTGGACCATGTGGGAACCGTAATCATAAGGACCTTCATGTCTGTAATGAACGTTATGTAGGTAAATTAGAGAGATTACATATTAGGCTCGGTTCTTCGTATACCCATCCAGAGAAAAACAGAGCATAAAATCAGCTGTCATTCTTTCAAACACCTACTTCTCTGAGTCTTCCACTGAGCGGCATCTAAGTTTGCTAATATGATGTACGCATCACAGAGCGCCTCAACACTTCTGACCATGTGAGGTCTCCTACTTCGGATAGTGTGTATTATTCTGTTTGCAGCCTCGGTTCGATCCTATTCAGAAAAGAAAAAACAAAACAACATTACAGAAAGAAATACCCAACACTTATATTTTTCCATTATAACAAAAGGAGAAGCAGAATTCATGCACTTAACACTGGAAAGACTACAGTCGCTCAGAAACAGAAGAGTCACCTTGTGAATGAAATACATCAAAGGTGGAATAATATCAACAGTAAAGGACTTGGGTGTATTTTGGAATTATATTTTCTTTGCTCAGTGCTGTGAGGAAAAAAAGTACTGGTATCTACTACAGCCGGAGAATATTCAGGAATTCTGAGCCAGCGTTAGGTGACACAGTAACAAGCTGAATACGGCCAGAGAGTCCCTGAGCCTTAAGAAAGGAGAGCTGTGGGGAGGTCTCAAGCTGCAATTCAAAAAGGTACCATGTTTAACCCAAATACCTCGTCGAGTGGAGAGCTTTGTTTAGGTGCATTTTTAATTATTCGGTTCCTTCTTGCTGCCTCTGGTTTGGTCAAAAATTCATCCTTGTTTGCATTTGCTAAGGCCAGTATGATAAACAAAGTGTGATGGGGGTGATCCATTGAAATCCGAGAGATAAGCTGGCAAAGAACAAAGGACTGTTAGATTTATGCAACCAACCAATCAAACAAAAACAGAAAATCCATAACATTTTTCCTTTTGTTTGGCATCACAGATGTGTGCTTTTCCACCAGATGCCACCATGGGCAGAGTGCGTCTATGTGTGAGACAGAGGAATGGGGAGAAATGACAAAGAAACAGAGTATCTTACGTGGAGTGAGGTGAGACAAAAGGGAATTTTTATTCCTGCCCTTTTACAGCAAAATAAATACGAATGACTAGAATCTTTTTGTATTTTCATATCCTAGAGTAGAACAGTAATACATAAAATACGAAAGAAAAGCAGCTGTGTTTTGATTTTCAAGTTTACTTACATTATTGAGGACTTCGTGAAATCCAAGGCCTCCCATCATTTTGGTCCCCATTCTAGCAGCCAACTGGTACATAAGAGGCAAAAATTTGTATGATGGAATCTTCATTCCATCGGTCTATCATTAAAAAAAAAAAAGCCTTAAGAAACATGCATTTTAAAAAGTCTCACATCTAAGCAAGTAAATTTTTCTAAAATAATGCTACTAGCACCATCATCTTCTTGTTGTTAATAAAACTTCACTAATTACAGTTTTTCCCTTGACATTCATCTTAGTCTTCCTGATGGGTATTCTAGTTTGATTCACTGCTAAGACACAGCATTTGATCCTAAATTAAACTGTATTCAGAACTAGAACACTTGCAGTGATTTCATTCCAGTGAATCTAAGGAAGAGAAATGTGGATCTGAGGGCTATTGTGATCTTGACTACAGAGAAGGCGGTGTGTGATACACTGGAGGAACTTGTGCCCTGTACGCTAACCCTAACAGGATTTAATGAGCACCAGCAGCAGAGACCGCTTGTATCTATTAAGAGTCTTATAATTCTTTTCATCCAGGAGAAACATTTTACTTGTAGGCTTCAAGTTGGTTGCCAATGTAGATCTGGTAAGCATAACTTTAATATTAGGTATCCTCAATAAAATCTAAAGTTTTTACATGAAAACTTATGAAATACTACTGCCTTAACGTTTTCCTTAAGCTTTATTTTTCATTTACAGAAGTAATTCACTTAAAAAATCTCAGAAATGATAAAGCAGGAGGAAAAACCTGCCTGTGGTCACATCATCTTTAACTGCCTTCCAGATCTCCTAGTCTGGCATCCTGGCACTTCCCAGCAGTAACTGAGAAGGAACAGGCAAAGAATGAACTAGATGCTCTCATCTCTGCAGAAACCTGCATCACTGGAGTTCAACGAGTACCTATGAGTAGAGCATCAAACCTAATACCAGGGATACAAAGAATATACGAGATCTCTGACACTGGTGGGCTTATGTCTAAGCTTGTGAAACACAGGCTGGAATACTGGGTTTAAAAGAGAAGACTTGCCTTCATCATGCCATTGACTTCAGAAACTCCGGAATTTTCAAGCCAGAGAGAACAAAGACGGAATATCCACATATCATGTCCTTCTCCACTCAGTAAGCAACTGATGTAATTTTCAACTGCTTTACATAAGAAGCGCTTACGGTCCTCTTTCAGGGCACGGAGCGCGCACTCATCCAGCTCCAGCTCCCGCTGGACCTTTACTGTGTATCTTGCATTGGATAATTAAAAGAAATCACAAAACCCATCAAATGGTACAGAACTACAAAGTCATACGTGAAATGCAACACAAATGAACAGTCAGGTATCCATCCCAGGAGAAAAATGAAAATTCTAAAACTACTAAGGGAACAAACTTTTACTATCTGGAAGTAAGTCTGTGCAATTCAAAAGCCATTCTAGGCAACTGGGGACAAATGGACCCTACCTGAGATGCCTACTTAACTCCCTTCTCTACTTTCCCTATCGTATACCAGACAAAGGCAGGTCTGAAGAAGGGTTTGACTATATTGGAAGAGACAACTCTTCTGTATTTAAATTGAACACCTATCTCTTTGTAACTATGATACCAACAAAACAAAAAGCCCTATACTCTACAATGTCTAGAATCACAGACCATGAATTCATGCTCTGGTTCTGTACATCTATCTTATCACTTTCACTGGTGGACATCTCATTACCTGTTGGTCTGGATTTTATGTTCCCTAAGAAGGCCCACTTCCTCTTTGGCCCTTTTCAGAAGAGCCTGCTTGTTTTCAAACTCTGATGATTTCATGTAGTTTTCAATTCTCTGGTACTGAGTGTCCGAGAACCGTGCCAATGAGAGAAATGCTTTCATCTTTCCATTTCTAAGCTCATCACTGCTTTCTCCCTCGTAATTTCCAGCAACTTCCACTGCCTTGAAGAAAACACAATCCATTTATATTACAGAGATACTAAATGCATCCAAAGACTCAAATCAAAGAAATACTGCACTAAATTCAATTTATATATATATATATGTATATATATGTATGTGTATATATATATATGTGTGTGTGTGTGTGTATATACATAAGCTAAAATATATGAAGTACACTATTTTACATTTTCAAATAGCCTTGATGGTGCAGAAATAACCCAAACAGCTAATATTTTAAAGAACTGCACAAAAACACAGGGCTCCATAAAATTTAAAGACAGTCATATAATTTCCATGCTACACTAGCTATTTCCAAAACTAATTAAACGAAAGGAATTAAGGGGCAATTCAGGAAGGCAGAAAGGGGATGGCCTACAGAAGTGCAAGTCCTACTTGGAGGGCAGCTGATATTACAAAGGAATCAGACTGCTGTGGGTATTCCTTAATCAGCTCTTTTCGTAGATAAATGAGAAATGATCAGAAACAGCTGGCTGTGAGTAGCGGGAGGTGGGGGCAGAGGGAAGACAGACAGTGTCCTTCTTTTTTAGTGCTGTACTTCATTCTGCTTTAAAAATTACACAGAGCTACAACAGCTATATATCCAAAAAATGAAGGCCTTGATGAACAGACCAAGTGTATCCATACTGAACAGCTCTCCAGGGCTGCTAGGAAAGCTTACCTTCTCTAGGTAGGTCTGCATGATGACCGCAGGGTTCTCCAGGCAAGTTTCCGCTAACCAGGTGCCGCACACCCTCAGACATTCTGCATATATAAGTCTTAGGTCGGGATCATTCTGTATACAGAAAGCAAAATCTTAAAATGCAATTCACCAGCAAAATATACGAAAATATCTTCTATGTAGGTGAAAAAGCAGGATGAAAGTATTTTTCCTCATCTGCTTTCCTCATCACAATACATGATTTTAATAATGACAAATAGATCAGTTTTATGAAATAATCTTCTCCTACTATTAATTATTATTGCTACTACTGAAGCAACTCACGATTACCGAACACTTGTATACACCAGGCACTCTTACAAAGGCTGTTTCATTTCCAGAGATTCAAGGCTCAGGAACCCTATGAAATGAGTCCTGCTATTGTCCTAATCTGCTGAGTGCAACACCACCGGTGAGGGAGAGCTCCAGAAGCTAACGAGTTTTCAGCAGCCAGGAGTGGGAAATTATCAGCCATTGTATTTCCTAAGCAGGTAGACCGACAAGTTACAGAAATTATCAGCCATTGTACTTCCCCAGCAGGCGGACTGACAATCATTCCAACTTGCTCCTCTTTTAACTTTTGTTCTCACGTCCTATTCGTTTCAAACTTATAGTTCTTTCATGTTTGTTTCCTATGCACCCTTCTCCAGTTCCACATAAAGTTAAAAATAGATAAATAAAAACAGTTTAACATTGGGATAAATAAAATGAATCTACCACAAGATGGACTGGCAGAATTCCTGCAAATAGAAAAAAAACGAGTATTTTCTAGACTGCCTTTACAAATACTAATTTTCCAGGCTCCTTTTTACAGTTTCTTATTCATGGACCAGTAACTTCACAGTGGATTTCTTAAAAATATTTTAAAGCACAGTCACTCTTTTATAACAGGAATTCATTCAGCCAATAAAAAAAAAGTGAACCTCTGGGGCGCCTGGGTAGTTCAGTGGGTTAAGCCGCTGCCTTCGGCTCGGGTCGTGATCTCAGGGTCCTGGGATCGAGCCCCGCATCGGGCTCTCTGCTCGGCGGGGAGCCTGCTTCCTCCTCTCTCTCTGCCTGCCTCTCTGCCTGCTTGTGATCTCTGTCTGTCAAATAAATAAATTTAAAAAAAAAAAAATTTATAAAAAAAAAAAAAGTGAACCTCTGCACAGCTGGCATCCAGCTTCTTGATCATCTGCTTGAGAATACTCAGGGCGAGACTCTGCTCCTTCTTTGCCCAAAATACTTGGGCTTCCTCCAGCTGCCACTCAGAGACTCCACAACGAGCTGGATTATATTGTTTAATTTGAAATATTGCCCTTTCAGGGAGCTGAAATGAAAAGAACAGATAAGAATTACTACTTTTACTATTACTACTACGAGCACGAGTAATAATCAGGAGAGCCGTAAACCACCACTGATGACCATCTGTCAGGACCGGCTCAAGCACATCTCCGCCTGCCTCCTCCAGCCCCACATGGGCCTGTTTTTCTCTTCAGTACATATAAGCACACATGCATATGTACGTACATATATGTGTGTATGCGCACACTGTGTACGACCAGCGAACTGTTACCGATATAGTAAGCTACACCTTACCATCTGAGAACCAGGAAACAGGCACAGAGAAGGTCTGATGCCAAAATGGGAAATTATGCTAAACAGTATTTTTACAGCAATCTGTTTCTCAATGACATTTCCGTTTTACTTGTGCTTTCTATTTTTTGACTCAAAAGGAAAGGTCATGGGGTGAGACGACATAGTTTTGAAATCCTATTACCTGTGTGTTCTTGACAGTTCGGGCTAGTACAGAGAATTCTACAAGGTGCTTGGTGAGAATATCCCTGAAACAGTCTCTCTGGGAATTCTCCATTTCCTTTTCCATGAGGATCTCCAAAATGACCGTGCGGAGAGCCATGATGGGCTCCTGAAAACTGAAGTCACTGTCCTTGAGGAGCTGGGAGTGTTTCCGCCACTTAGTGTACACTTCGGAAGGTTGCCTATCCGTGCCTGAGCTGCAAGCACAGTCACAGAATTCATGTAAGCAAGAGAAAGGAAGAAAACAAAATCCCTACTATTAAGTACACTAGAAATTCAAAATGGTTCAAAAGGACTGAAGTTTAGAAGGCTCCAAAAGCATCAGCTCTCTGATGGTCAGCATGGGGGCTACAGATGATGAACATTTCTAATGATTTTCTTAAAAATACTCTTCAACCTCAGAAAAGGCAGCACTTCTAAGTATATATTCTTCTGAAAAGAGAAGACATTCATCAGGCCTGTCACACAGAACGCCTACACCCCCAGTCCTGCTTCAGCACTCCCTGTGGCAAAAGCAGACACGTCAGCAAGGAAACGAAGTGAACTCATAAATTTCTACTGTGTCCAACTATGCATAGGGGATGACTCTATGCATGATTATAGTTGTTAAAGAGATCACAATTCAGAGAGAGAAATGCTGGCACCTGGCAAACATTATTTATTAAAGAAGAGAAAATGCATACTGTACGACTAGTTTACATGAAAAGTCCACATGAAGCAGTACTGTCCAATCCTTCAGGACCCCTGCAAGGACAGGAATCGAGAGGAAGCAGGGACAGGAAGAAGACGACAAGGGAAGGACTAGGAAATGAAAGCAGCTTTCAGAAGCTTCTAGGACAGCATGGCAGAGGATAGCTAGAACGACACTGATCCAACATAGGGCTACAACAGAATGGCATACCATGCTCTCTGGCAAAAAAAAAAAAATGAGGAAAAAAACAACTTTATGTGGGGTACAAGAGGGCAAGAGCTGTGAAGAAGAAAGCACAATGATGCTAAATTTCAAAAACTTGTATTTTTACAGTAAATATTTTTCAAAACACTTAATAAGAACACAGCTCACCGAAAAAAAAAAAAAAAAAAAAAAAAACACAGCTCACGAGGCTCATCAACTTATATCGTGATAAAAGAAACGAACCTACTGACAGCCTCTTTTCTTGTTTTGTAAGTCACTGCAGAGAGAAAACAGCAGAGCTGCACTGGAGGGTTTGTTTTGAAGTCATCCAAACCACATTACCTGGAGAACAGCTCCCCGATGTTCTCGAGCTCGCCGATAGCCTGCAGCCTGCTGAGAGTGGGGTAGAGGGAGTACACAGATTCAAGGTCCCCCTTGCACAGCTCTTCCACTTCTTTCACCCTGGAGGGAGAAAACACAAGACACATGGGACACTAAGAGATTTTCAGAAAGATGGAAGCTCATATCTGCTTGTAAAGAGTTCTCACTGGCTTTGCTGGTGACCAGATGCTCCTGACATTCACAAGTACCACTGGCACAATGTGGCGGGCACAGAGTCATCGCTCAGACCAAGAGTTCACCCTGGATCTCCCACTCCTGGCCGCTAACCCAGGCCCCGTTACAGGGTTCCTATGTTTTTTCCACTTTCAGAATTATTTTGAAGCTTAGAGAACATGTACAGAAAGAGCCTAACAAATTGGCTAGCACATAATATGCACTGAAATGGTGGCAAATATTTCTGTAGTAAAATACAGGATTTAATAGGTCAGTAACTACTGTTAAATAAAAAACAGTGTATTACGTGTGTTTAGTCTGTTATACTTAAGTACCTTCTTGGGCATGATCTCATCTGTGCCTCGTAACAAGCCCAAGTATTGGTAAGTCCTGACCACAAGTCACTACTTTACAGCAAGAACACTATGCTAAGAGGTAAATGCCACACAGCTACTAGAGGAGACAAGATTAAAACTATCAGGATACAGAGGTCCAGGAAGCAGACAGAGAGGTGGGAATCCACAAGACGTTCTTGAGGGGTCTGCATAAAGAGCTGACCTGGTCTCAAAGGGAATTTTAATTTTTTAAAGGAAAGAACAGATCTGAACCATATGAACAAATAAAAAGGTATTTTATATATATATAAAAAAATAATGTAACAACTGATTTAAGTACCTAACCTATGAGCATGCTGCTACATCTAAAACAAACAAAAAAAAAGGTCTATTAGTACTATATATCTATTTGACAAATAAGCATAAAAGAAATCTCTAATATAAAACATTTGAAACACAGAGAACCCCTTTGTAAGATATGGAAGACAACTATTAGGATAGGCACAGCCAGAGTTCCTACAAAAATCTTCCTGCAGAAGAGAGAACAAATCTGAGTGCTTATTTCTCAGACTTACAGGAGCTAAGAAGTTATTAGTCACAGGATTTCGCCTCCCCTGTCTGCACTGCTCGAGGGTCAGTGCTGACTGGCACAATTTATTACACAGGGAATGTGGTTTCCAAGAGGGGTATGAGAATGACAAAGAAACAATCAGACCAAACCCACCAAGTCCTTTATCCCTTCACCAGTGCAAATCCTCACATTGAAATTATTCATCAAGTTTTCAGAAAAGAAGCCATGACATTAAACATTAAAATACAATAACTCATTTTGTAATACCTGGCATATCTGAGACTTTCATAAAATGTGGAGAATTCTCTATCTCTCAGAGACTGCAGAGCATTGTACAGTGATTCGTGGTAACTGGGTCCTTCTAGTCCTTTGCTGTGAGATAATTAAAACATAAAAGGAAAAAATGTAATTATAAACAAAGAATCCTAAAACATACATGTATAAATAGTTCACTTAAAAAAAATCCAGGGACGCCTGGGTGGCTCAGTTGGTTGGACGACTGCCTTTGGCTCGGGTCGTGATCCCGGAGTCCCGGGATCGAGTTCCGCATCGGGCTCCCGGCTCCGTGGGGAGTCTGCTTCTCCCTCTGACCTTCTCCTTGCTCATGCTCTCTCTCACTGTCTCTCTCTCAAATAAATAAAATAAAATCTTAAAAAAAAAAAAAAATCTGACAACTAAGATTAAGACTTCTCCACTTAAAAAAAATGCATTTCTAGGAATTTTGGCAAGAAATACAAAGAATTTTGTAGATCATTTAAATTATTCAAGCAGAAAAGAGTAATTTCTCAGCTATTTTGGCCGGTTCTAACTATGCTACATTCTCATGCACTGACTCCGTGAACACCAACTGTGTGCCAGGCGCTTGGCACCACGTTTCAGAGTCAAGGGATCCGTGAGTGGACAAGTCACATAGGGTCGTCATTCTCATGGAGTTTATGCTGTGGTCTGGAGAAGATGGACAATAAATGAAAAAATATTGGACAGTGACGAGGGACATGTGGTGAATTAAAACTGGGTACTGGGACGTCTGGCTGGCTACTCTGGACAGGTGGTCAGCACAGGTGTGAGATGTGGCCTTGTTAAACAAGAATCTGAATGACAAGACACCATACACGTGGGACAGGGGGAAAACAAGATGCACATAAGGCCCCGAGCAGGAACAGCTTGGCCAGCAGGAAGCACCCGAAGAAAGCCGACATGCCCAGAATGCACCGGCCACAGGAAGAACAGTCTGTGGTGGTTTACCGAGGGGAGCGAGACTACGCTCCGCCGGTAAAAGGCTGTAAAAATATGAAAGCGTTTCTCTAACATTACAGCAATCTAATAGTTTGAAATTGGAAAAACACCTTAGTTAATGAAATTTTTTTTCAATGAAGGCAAGTCAACATATAATTCATATGATCTCATTTTTTTTGGCATTTATGTCACCATAAAACTTTTTAGATAAAAGCGAAATCTTTTATTGAATTAGGTGTTTGGCTTTCCAGTCGGAAAAACCAGTGCTATCACGATGCAGGTTATAAAAAGCATCTTCCCGTGCTCCTGGGTTAGCAGTTTTTATAGAAGGAAACATTTTATCAGTACAGGTAAGCAGTCTTCTGGGAACCATCCAGCCCGTAGAAGTGCTGGCTAACCCAAGAGTGTGCACCAGGGTGTGGGAAGGGAAAGGACAGTAGTTTTCTTTGGATGGACAGACAGAAACTCTCACGAGAAATACGTTTTAGATTTCTATTTCCAAGCCTCTGTCTCTGGCGGGGAGTGGAGCTGCCCTAGGAAGAGGCTGAAATCCACTCCCCGCACAGTCTCTGCTTCCTTCTGTCCTGCTGGAGCCATGCAGGCATGTCCACAGCCTGTAAAGCACACACCCCCGTGACACTGAGTGACACAAGCAACGGCTTGCCGTGCAGAGCTCAAGAAAGCGCAGCACACAGCACCCGAGCTCCTCTCACCTGACGGCGAGGCCGTGGTCCCACTGCATGTTCCTCCACGCTGCCTGGTAGTGGAGTTCCTGGAGCTCCGCGCACCACTCCTTATTCTCACGATCTAGTCCTTTCAAATAGACGGAAAGAATATGGCAGAGTCCCAAATTCTGCAAGGCCTGAGCAGGAGAGTATTAAAAAAAAAAAAAAAAAAGCTCAGTACTCAAAGATAACAGAACTAGAGAAATAAAAAATAGCAAACACAAAAAGCAGCTTTCACAACACATTCGTGAAAATCCCGCAATCCTGGTTAGTAAGTTCCCCCCGAGGCGCAGAGGGCGCTCCCAAGCCTTGGCCCTGTGACGCAAGAACGGCTACGGGACGTCAGCCAGTGGCGCAGGTGACCCAGACCCCAAGGAACGGTTTCTGGGAGACACGGCCCCCGTGTGGCACACTGGACCCCACAAGGAAATGTCTTTTGCTGTCAGCTGGCAAGACCACCATCACCAAATCCACACTCTCCCTGAGGTCAGTGACCTGCCCGATTCAGCCACGCGTCCCGCGGGGGTTTTCAGCCCAGTGCCCGCTGAGCAGGGACATTCTCGGCTCTCGTGCGTCTGCTCGGACTGAAAGCAGCTCAGCTCGAGGCTGGCAGTGCTGCTCCGGGGCAGGCAGCTCACCTGAATTATCCCCGCCTGGCGGGTTGAGGAGGAGATGGCCGTCTCAAGGTCATAGGTCACCAGGGCCTTCCCCCACATTGCTTCATGCTCGTATGTGCGTAGTCTGCAACGAGATTTGCAAAATCCCTTTGAGTTCCATGTGCACTGAAGTCCTTCACAGACGGAATGACAACAGCATCATCTAGAAGCATGCGGTTACCTAGTGAGGGGCTGCAAGACCTTCCCTCCGCCACAGCCGTACAGGCTATCGGGCTCTCCTATACTTCTGTAGATTTCTAAGAGCAGATCCTAAAAACAAGGCAGCAACAACATGGGAAAAGGAAAAATGTCACTTTATAAATTTAGCAAAGAGGAACTTTTACTATTACCAACGTGTATCTCCCAACTCTAAATGTTATGTTACAAAAGTAAAAGGCAGTGATACTGAAATATAAAGTTTTTTTTTTAAAGATTTTATTTATTAATTTGAGAGAGAGAAAGAGGGAGAGTGAGAGAGAGCATGAGAGGGGAGAAGGTCAGAGGGAGAAGCAGACTCCCCATGGAGCTGGGAGCCCGACACAGGACTCGATTCTGGACTCCGGGATCATGACCTGAAACAAAGGCAGTCGCTTAACCAACTGAGTCACCCAGGCGCCCCTGAAATATAAAGTTATTTTTTTAAGATTGTATTTATTTATTTGACAGACAGAGATCACAAGGAGGCAGAGAGGCAGGCAGAGAGAGAGGGAGAAGCAGTTTCCCTGCCGAGCAGAGAGCCCGATGCGGGGCTTGATCCCAGGACCCTGGGATCATGACCTGAGCCGAAGACAGAGTCTTTAACCCACTGAGCCACCCAGGTGCCCTGAAATATAAAGTTTCGAAACAGCAACACAACAAACTGATCCCAAAGAACAGAATAACTGACTCCCTGAAGAAAACTGCTCACAATTTCATGAATTAAAAAAGAAATTAATCCCAATACCAGGTTTTTAACGCATACAAAAATAATCATAAAACAAAAACAAATGGGGTGCCTGGTTGATTTAGTCAGAGGAGCATGTGACTCTTGATCTCAGGGTAGTGAGTTTGAGCCCCACAATGGGTATAGAAATTACTCAAAAATAAAATCTTAAAACCGTTATATGCAATACTTGTCAAAATACTACAGCATTTTTCACACAGCTAGAACAACCCTAAAATTTGTAAGGATCGAAAAAAGACCCTGCATAAAAAAAAAAAAAATGAAAACAAAACCAAATAATCCTATCAACTGCTAAAACTGTGCAAGGGATAATGATGTCTGCAAAGTCTGACTCTTGAAAACTTGAATGTAGTAAAAATAAAGGTCATGAATTTTTCTCTGAAAAACAAAAACCTCAAAGTTGCATTATGTTAAAATTGGTAAAATGTGGTATGGATAAAGAAGTGGCTTACTGACTCAAATCTCTGTTGTTAAGTTTGTACAAAATTGATTCGGTTTAAAACCATCTCAATAAAATAAAAATGAAAACAGAAAACAAAAAACTGGGGTGCCTGGGTGGCTCACTGGGTTAAGCATGCAACTCTTGGTCTCAGCTCAGGTCTTGATCTCAGTGTCATGAGCCCTGCACTGGGCTCCATGCTGGGCGTGGAGCCTGCTTAAGAAAAAGAAAACAGGGGAAAAATGAAAGAGTCAGAAACTTTTGCACAGAAAACCAGTCAAGCACTTCAAGTGCCTCATGCTTGCTCTGGGAAATAATTTACTACATACAAATTCACTGACACTGGCCTAATTCTACACTTATAATTCTAATTAAACTGTTGATATTCATGAACACGAAACTGAGCCCTTGCTGTTCTTCATTCAGTACTCAAGCCCTGCACAGGGCCTGACACATAGAAAATACTTTAAAAACTCAGTAAAAGAGGTTAAGACTATAAAAAAGGAAAAAGGGAAAAGAGAAGGGAGAATGGGATCAGCCAGCAGAGAGCGCACACGTCACACAAGGCCTGCCTGAGGGTTCTAAGTGTTCCCAGAACATTAGGGAGGATGGGGGGGGGAGGGGCCAGGTAACAACCCCCCCCCCCGCCCCCCGTCTAGTCACGTGAGGTTCTGGGTGGGGTGGGATTAGCAAGTGCTGCTTCAGGCAGGAGCCTGGAAAGGGAAGAATGAGAGACAGCAACGACACACAGGTCCTCTACAAAGTCCAGCAGGCTGTTACGGAAGGGAGGCCAGAAAGGATGAAATAGAGGGAAATTATTTTATTTTTTCTTAAACAGGCTCCACACCCAACATGGGACATAAACCCATGACCCGAGATCAAAAGGCTCCCGCTCTAGTGACTGAGTCAGCCAGGCGCCCCTGAAGGGGAGTGATTTTAATAGTTAATGGGACTGTGAAGATGTTTAGGCACATTCAGAGGGAGCACAGCACAGTAAAGAATAAATCCTCTGAGAAAGAGTTCATAAAAAACGAAGCACAGGAAGGACCGTCTTGACTAGAAGGGGAGGGTGTATCTCTAACAAGAGGAAACGTTAACGATGGAGCAGACGCAGGGAGATTTCCATGTCTGATGGTGGGACGTCATCTCCCTGTCACGTTTTCTTCCAGAAGCAGGAGGCAAGCTATAAGCAGGAGGAGGAGAGACAACCAGGGGTTTAAGCAAAGTCGAAAGACCAAAACTATCATTTCAAAGGAATGAGCGGACCAAAGAGATTCAGGGAGGATGGACATTAAGAGATTTATAGAAGAAGCCATCTGCCCTGAGGTGTGACATACGATAAACAAGGAAACAAATGAATATACGATTATAAATGTTAAATGATACAAAGAAAATGAACAGGCTACTGTGGCAGAAAACACATGGTATAAATTCACCCTGCGAGACAGGTGGTTTCTATCCCAACTTCCAGAGAAAGGAACTCAAGGTTGGAGAGGTAAGTAATTTTGTGCCAGATTTTACAACAAAGTGGCTGAGTCGGAATTAGAACTCAAGTCTCTCTGCTACTCCAAGGCCCAACCTTCAGACCAGGAACTTATGTACATGACACTCAGTCCAAAAAGTAACATCTGCTTGAAAATCAAATGACATCTCTATAATCTCTGCAACAAAATAATTATCCAAAATATAAAATAAATAGTATCACAAATAAGGTCTCTATAATATTTACCTGTAAACGTATTCCAGTTTCTTCTTTACTTTTTTCACTCAAACTAGAGATAGCTGTACTCTGGCTTGCTTCTTCAAACGTAAGACTTCTGTTTGTAACAAGAGCATTTCTTTTAATGAGAATATACTACTTTGAAGCTTGTTAATATAGACAGTATAGACTTGGATGGGAAAAATTAACCAAGGTCATAGATAAAACATAGTGAAACATTTACATTTTAAAATTCAATATAACTTACACAATTGTGAGCATTAATATTTTGAAGGAGAATCAAATTTTAATGACAGTCTGATATATGGGGAGGCCAGATACCAAAATACACTTATTTACAGAGCCTGGCCTGTTTCAAAACAGATGCTCCCCACTTCCTAAATGTTCTATCAGTGGTTTTACCTGAAGTTCAACCTCATTAATAAGCACGGGCACACAAATTAAGACCACAGTGAGACACTACTTACCACCTAATAAACTGGCAAAAATTAAGAAGTCTGATAATATTAGGTGTTGAGAAAGAAGGGCATCAGTGGGATTCCCCCGACCCCTAAGATTATAAAACTAAGCAACAGGATGAAAACTTGGATTTGTGGAGTCCAAGGCCTGAGCTGTAAACCATGCATTTATATATAAGACACTCAGTCCCGTAAGTGATTTCAACTCAGAAATCATGTCACCCCTGAACTGTTTACGACAAGAATAATCCAGAGTATAAAATAAATCTTATAAGTGGTAGTACCTGTAGTACCTCTAGTACTCCTGTTCGGCCCCTTACTTAAATGTAAGGCTTTCTACTCACCTCCTCCCTCCTGAACTACATTTCCGAGAAGGATGCAAATTGGTATAACGACATTAAAAATAATTTGGCATTATGTTTTTAAGGCTGAAATTCTGCATACCCGGCAACCCGGTAATTTCACACCGAGACACAGATCATTAACCGGGGAACGGGCCAACGAACCGTGCTGTGTCCTCGCGAGGAACACGAAGCGGCAGTGACGAATGAACCACAGCCACACACGCATAAAGTTCACAAAAATACTGAGTGGAAAAACAAGTTGTAGAAAAGTCCACATATAATTCATCATAAAGCTCAACAATGAGGAAAACTAAAGTATATTTATGGGTTCGTACTCATCTGATAGAAACAGCATCTGTAAAAACAAGGAACACAGAGCCCCTGGAGGGGGCACAGAGCGCCGAGGGACGGAAGCACACTGACAACCCCCGACTTTTCTATCCAGACACTACGGAGTTTCTTCACTGGCAAGTCATGGAGAGAGAGTTAGGTTTCAGAGGAGAAATCTGGAAAGTGGGGAGACAGTCCTGCAGGTGATGACTTGGTCAGCCCAAGGCTGTAACCCTCCCCTGGCAGTCAACGCCCCACTGGACCAGGAACACCGAAACCACTGAGGCCAGGAGCTAACGCCTCTCTCTAGATCGGAATGAGGGAGTTTTGGATTTCTCTCTGAAATAACTACAGACACTAACTTGGAAATTTCATTTGTGCTCAAGAGCAAGTTAACAAATCCAACTTCTCCGAGTCACTGAAGAAAACTAGCATTCCCTGCCCTCCGTCAAGCTCATCTCTCTGTCTGCTCTCCCTTTGCCATCGGGCACCTGGCGGGAAAAAGTCAAAACCAAACTGGTAAAGCAGACAGCAAGCCTTATGTGTCAAGGACTCGTTCCCAAAGTTAACCAAAATAGGGGCACCTGGGTTAGGCCTCTGCCTTCGGCTCAGGTCATGATCTCAGGGTCCTGGGATCAAGCCTGACGCAGGGCTCGCTTAGCAGGGAGCCTGCTTCCCCCTCTCTCTCTGCCTGCCTCTCTGCCTACTTTTGATCTCTGTCAAATAAATAAATAAATAAATAAAATCTTTAAAGATTTTTTTATTTAAAGATAAATAAAATCTTTAAAGTTGACCAAAATAAAAATCCAGGCCCTCCTGCTTATTAAATAAGCAATTTTGCAAAAATGTGCCAAATTCTATACAATCACCTACCTACCAATTCAGGTGATTTTATTTACACCCATTAAAGAGTTCAGTTATTCCCTCCTGATTAGTAAGAAATACTCTGTGAAACCAGGATACTGAAACACATTCAGATCAGAATTCCTATGCAGACCCTGACTCAGATTTTTTTTTTTTTTTTTAAGATTTTTATTTATTTATTTTGAGAGAGAGAGAGAGCATGAAAGGGGAGGTCAGAGGGAGAAGCAGACTCCCCATGGAGCTGGGAGCCCAATGCGGGACTTGATCCCAGGACTCTGGGACCATGACCTGAGCCGAAGGCAGTTGCTTAACCAACTGAGCCACCCAGGCGCCCCCTGACTCAGATTTTAAGTCTCTAAGAATAAGCAATAACCCATTTCACATACTCATTACATACTTCGAGAACAGAATTGTCTTCGTACAAAGTCAACAATGATGGTGAACACATCAATCACATGTTACACACAGTATCTACATATCGATTTTTGTTTTCAGTTGAAAAATAGAAATTAAATACCAAGCCAGAGAGTTAAGAAATCAGTCCAGGCACACTGATTTATGTTTGGAGTAGGATCTGAATTCTGGCTCCGGGTTTTCCACAGTCTAAGACCCACAGTACTTCCAGCCTAAGGACACCCAAAGCAGAAACTGTAAGTCGCAAGCATGAGAAATGAAGCAACATTGTACATCTTCGCTTTTTCGATTCTGTAATATGAATGGTTCTGTGGTTGGAAAACGAGACTGACAACAAAAATAAACACTAGGCCATGTCAGATGAATAAATCCAAGGAGGGCTGCTGGGATAATACAGTGCGTGTTTTCCACTCTCTACCCTTGATGCTTTTCCTTTTCCGCTATGATCTAGGAAACACCTATTCGACCCTTAGAAGAGTTCTAACTCAGAGGAAAAGCTAATTAAATCAGTAGAAATCCAGGTAGATAGCAAAGTAATCAAAGTGATTTAGAAACAGAAAGAAATCCATTACATTGCTTAGTAAAACTAAGTACTTACTTAGCAAGTAAAACGGATTTTGAATAAGCTGGGGTATTAGTGGTAAAATTAATTTCACTGAAATCGGGGAATCACTCAATCATGTGAAAACTGTGATCACTTGTCTTAAGTTCCCGATGCTACCTGCTGTGGGGAATACAGAGAGACGTAACTGTGGTCTCTGTCCCCCAGGAGCTTGCTATCTGGAGAATTTCTACAAGTCTTATCTAATAAACACCCCTTTTATTCCTTTTTTTTTTAAAGACTTTATTTATTTATGTGACAGGGAGATCACAAGTAGACAGAGAGGCAGGCAGAGAGAGAGGAGGAAGCAGGATCTCCACCAAACAGAGAGCCCGATGCGGGGCTCGATCCCAGGACCCCGGGATCATGACCTGAGCCGAAGGCAGAGGCTTAACCCACTGAGCCACCCAGGAGCCCCACCCCTTTTCTTTCTTTTAAAATGTTATCATTTCACTTTAAAAGACAGACAGCTTCTAAGATGTCATTTAAATAGAGAAGCAGGAGCAAAACGAACTATATTTACAGTGACCGAAACCATGTCAACACCAATTTAAAAAACCAAAGGTCTGAATCCCATTACCTTCTGTCTTGGTCTTCCATGCTTTTCTTATCTGCGTAGATTTCTGCGTAGAGCAATGCTGTAAAGTGAGCAGCACAAGACTGAGCGACCTTGGCAACCTCTAGATAATTCAACTCCAGCCAGAAGGCATCATCAAAAACTGTTCCTAAGGAGGGTCTAAAGAAAAATGTAACACGACGTCAGGTCCCTTTCTTCACTTTCACAATCAAGAGAAAAGCAAGCTCGTCTAGAATACAGTGCAATCGAGCTCTGGTGAAAAAGAAAATGACGCTCAAATCACCCGAGCCCGTGTGCCTCCCAACATACAGCCAGCCCACTCTCAGCATGAAGAGCCCGAACTCTGACCCTTCGCAGAGCGCCAGCCAGGAAGGCGACGGGTCATCAGATCATACAGACGTGGGGTTCACGTTCGCACTCCATCAAGGCGTCCACTGACCACAGGCTAAGCACGGGCCGCCCAGCACCGCGAGCAACACCTACACAAAGCTTTTCTAGTGCGCGACCGGATGCAAGGACTGTCTCTGCTAAGACACGACTATGTGTTTCTCCTAGTGCAGTTCATTTCCTAAGTTACCAAACCACCGTCTTCTGTGCTAACAGCAGGCCAGGACCGGAAGGGACCAGAGATAACACCTCTTCCAAAACCATCATGACACAGGAGACGCGACAGGGCGTGGCTAAGGGTGCTGGTTGAGGAGGGGGCACAGCCTGGTTAAAATCCAGCTGGACCCCCCAACCGCAAGCTGTAGCATTTGCAGCAACCTCACTTCCTGAGCCTCAGTTTCCTCACTTGTAAAGCCCGGGGACAGCACGTCATCAACAGTCGCTGCAGAGACTCAACGATGCTCACAGGCTGACGAGTCAGGTGCTGACACTGAACTACAGCTACCGGGGAACCTGCATTTCAGAGATCACACAGCTCCTAAGTCCCGGACCTGGACTTGAACTCGGGTCTTTACACGCTTTGTTCTATTCACATTCTCTCCAGCTCTTCCTCGAGGGCTAGTCAGAACGAGAACTGAAGTCGAAGAACTCCTATGCTCTCCGGGGCCTGCCCAGGGCGAGACCGTTCCACCTCGATGAGAATTCCACACCGGACGATTCCAAGGTGAGAGGCTTCCCCACCCCGAGGAAAGAGAGGCTCCAGCTGCAGTTAAAGCTCTTTCCGGGCTTTCTCAGAAGAGGGTCTGGTACAGGACAAGAAAGTGAACCAGTAACCTTCTAACTGGCAGCCAAGACACTGAAAGACCCAGAGCTTCTAGGAGCGGAGCAGGACGGAAGAGGGGGACAGGCGTCAAGGCCTGCGGCGATTTTCAGTTTCCTTCTGCCTCTCCTCCCCACGCTTTGTCAACCACTGCCACCAGCCGGCCTGCACACCACAAGCCACCAATTCTACCTCCCCAGTGACCGGCCTCCTACCGTTTGCTCGCAACTCTGGTCAACTCAGGAGCAGCACGGGTCAACCTGCCCGTGACCTCTGGCAACCCCTGCACTCACTGTTAAAACTCTCATGAGGACCAACAGGAACAAGATATTGTACGATAGAACCATTTACCACCGTCAAGAAAATAAACACCGCCACAGCACAGGATACAGAACCACGCATTTTGAGGCCTGTGATTCACAGATGGGAAACTTTATCTTATCCAGTTCCTGATATTGTCTTAGCCAAAGTGTCACCCCGAATATGGATTATTTCAGGAAGATCCAAGCATCACACAAATTAAATATGGCGCCTTACAGCAGCAGCACCTAAAATAATCATGGTAAAATTCAACCAGCAAAATTTAAAATTTAAAGTTAAAATTAACACTGCTAAATCCCCAAACTCAAGCAGCAATATTGACTTCGTTACCTCTTCTGTCTCCTCATGTAGTCCACAACGGCAAGCATTGTCCTCTGTGACTTTTTATCCACACAGCATCGGAACAGGTGCTCGGGCTCTGAAAACGAAAGAGCGCTCCCCTTAGTCCCGGACAGACCTGCTTACGCACACTCCTCCCTCGTGCATCTGGTGGGATGTGCAGAACCTGGCACAAAACTGGTTCTTAATGAATATGAATGGAGAAGCAGAATTTAATGGCATTTCTTATTTTTTGAAACAAACTACTGTGCTTAGGGGCACCCAGGTGGCTCAGTTGGTGAAGTCCCTTCTTTCGGCTCAGGTCATGATCCCAGGGTCCTGGGATCAAGCCCCGCGTCCAGTGACCTGGTCCATGGGAAACCCGCTTCTCCCTCTCCCTTTGCCCCTCCCCTGCTCATGCACTATCTCTCTCTTCCTAATAAATAAAATCTTAAAACAACAACAACAACAACAACTACTGTATTTAGTAAAACTGAGAATTTAATTATATTTCTACTGGGTGCTCGGGATACGATCCTGAACACGACAGGCTACTGCTGTGACCACACCAAACTCGTGACCACAGTGTGCCGAGTGCTAGCACCAGGCAGGGGGACGGCACAGAGAGGCCTATTGAAAGGAACCTGATCTGAATAAAAGAAGTTTCATGGGGACAGTGGTATCTGACAGAAGAGTGACAGTGTTCCAGGCACCAGTCACACTCCTGAGACGGCCAACAAGAATTTACTGGAACAGTACCACCTGTGCCGAACCCCAGAGCTGGAAGGCAGTAGGGACACTGGGCCAAGTGAGGAACAGACACATTCTTTACCACAGAGAACTGACAGGATCTGGCCACCACAGGGACATGAGAGAGAGGTTCTCGGGCTTGGGCAACTGAGTGCCATTCACTGAAGACATGAGAGAAGTAGGCCAAGGGAAGGGGATGAAGAGGGTTAAGTTTACTTTGAGAAGTGAGTCTGGGATGCACAGGAGACGTTCAAGGGAAGGCAGGAAAGATAAACCATTTAATCTGACAGCAATCAGGATGTACTTTCCTTTTAAACCACAGAATTTCACACATGAAATTTAAATTTTCTTTTACAGCCATATAGATGCGGCACTTTATGTAGAGGTAAAATAAAACAGGCTATTTTTACCTATGAATGGTGACAGCATAAATATGTATGTATATATGGTAGCAGGAAAGTCTTGGCCATGTTCATAATGAGCTGCCAGGTCATCGTAGGCGGTGACAGATCATATTAGTTTAGTAATAAAAATTGTTTTTAATATGACTTTAATATTATCTTAGTATTTAAAGTTTAAATGTTTACTGGTAATTGAACTACGTACACCTTATTTCCCAAATTAAGGACAGGAGATATAGTTTAGTTTGCAAAAGTCTCTACGAGAATTTTTATTTCATGAATTTCATTTTGATAATCTAAAGAAAATTCCCATAAGCATACTGTGGATCATTTACAAGACCAGCTTGTAATCTACCAGAACACAGAAGGAGCTTCCATGTCTATGTTTAAAAACTGTATTATTTCACCCGAGAGACGTGTAAGTGCTGTCAATGGAGAAGAACTCGCAAAACACAGAACAGAGCAAACGGAGGCCGACCAGACACCACGGTCATGTCAAGCAGAGGTTTCAGCAGTCCAGAAAGGACGACTGGGAGAGGCATGTGGTCACAACGTACGCCGAAGTGACAGGAACCACAGTCGAGACTGGGGAAGAGCAGGTTGGCCGCAGTGAAACACACAAGTCAACAACCGTCCGTCCGAGAAGCGTCCTGGTCTCACGTACACTAAGTGAATCTGTACCTGGTTTCATGTGTGCACATAAAATACGTTACTAACACATATTAAAGACGGTAAGTTAACATTCTAGATTTTGAATTTTTTCCCTTTAATTTTAGGTTTGAAAACCGGACCCACAGCGAGCCCTCCAGTACGCGTGGATGTATTACGTATACACACGACACACTACTCCTCTCCCCATGGCAGTTCTCCTGCTATACGTTCCTACTGTGGGGAATATTATGAAGCATAAAAAGAAATTCAGTTATGTAAGTCAACAAAGTATAATCTATTTTGTTTTTTTCTGGGGGAGGGTTGTTTTGTTTTGGGTTTTTTTTGTTGTTGCTATTGTTCAAAAAAAAAAATCCAAGGAAGTAGACCAAATATTAACCACAGTGATCCTAGATCATAGGATTATAGGCAACTTAATTTTTAAATTTATGCTAATTTCTCTATTATTTTCCACAACAAATATTCTGTAATACAAAGGGTTATTTTAAAAAGATGAGTTGGCCAGATCTTTACCATAAAATCTCAACCTATCTTCCAGTACAGGACCCAGAATATTTGCTTGCATTTATTTGTCTGCTTTTCCCACTGCGAGGATGTAGGCGGTCTTCTTCGTATCTGGGGTGCTAGTGCCGAGCACAGGGCCCGACACACACGGAACGCTCCGTGAGCCACTCCACTATCAGAAGCCAAAATTCCCTGGTGAAGTGTTCCGCACCGAGCGCTAACCCAGGTGCTTTACACACACTGTCTCGTGGAAAATGGACCACGACTTTCATCTCCATGCTCCGGAGGATGAGAAAATAAATACTTAGAGGTTACAGAATTAAGCCAATATAGCATCCTGAAGGGATTCACACAAAATCTTTCTCTAGAACTGAGAAGTTAACAGTATAAATGCTAGAAATTTAACCGAATACCTGAATCCAAATTTGCGGGGGTCGTGGATCGGCTCGCTGGTGAGGAGTGTCTGAAACAGCTCGTGAAAAATCCCTGAACGTGTGCAGAAAGCAGGTTTCTCCGTGATTCATCTGTATCTTGGAGTAGAACATCATGAATCAAGTATGGAAGCACAGTCTGACAAAAGTCCGTTTTCACCTGGAACATACAAACATGTGGCATCAACAGTCCGCGTGAAAATCATCTAGTTCGCTTAACATTCTCGTTCCGTTACTGGCATCTCAGACTTAAAAGAAAAACGACAGACGAATCTGTCATGAACTCAATGTATCTCTAAAACACACGCAAAATGCATGTACCAGGCAGGGCTCAAGAAAAATCAAAGTTCCCTACAGTGTTGACGTGAAACAAATGTGTTCATTTCACAACAACTGTCCGTTGCCAATCTGGGTCTTAGGCACTTAATGAAACAGGATGATGTTCACAAATGAAATTATTACATCATGACTGCAAATAAAATTTCAGAGTTGGAAGTGTTATTAATAACAGTTTTCTAATTTGATATAAAGGAAAACGGGGAATCAAAGTTTAAGAGAAAAGCTGAAAATCTGATTTTTGTACATTTTCTACACTCAGTGGAAACCTACAACAGGCATGTTCAAGTGTTTATTTATTTTAATAAACTCCTATTTGAGTATACAATTTGGGTACTTATCTGTGATATACTCCTAAGTGTAGAAAAGCACTTTAATCCTTGTGATACATTAAAATAGTACACAACCTTATCTTTGTCACGGTACTCTCTTCACGTATTCATCACATACCACACTCACAGGACAGACGACAGACTACCAAATGCACACTTTCTTTTTAAAATAAAGACAAATAAAAACGGCAGTTTTAGAAATAAAGAAGTGAAGGAATTTGGAATTGGGGTGTTGTGTATATGTGTATCTGGAACATTTTATCTTGTGGCGCAAAGTCAGAACTTTATGAAAAACCCTTGGCCATGTTCACTAACGGGAAACGCTGTGTGTGTGTGTGTGTGTCAAGGCTATCACTGAGCGGACTCGATACAAGTACAATGTAGTAACGCGGGGTGTGATAATTTATTCACTGCCAGCACTTCTTCTGTAGAAGCAAAGACTGCTTTTTAAACTGCTTTCGATGAAGGCACTTTATCAAACAATATACTCTCCACTATCAGTTTTGGTTTCTTATTTTTTACTTGAATTCTAATTAGTTAACATACATGGTAAAACTGGTTTCAGAAGTGGAATTCAGTGATTCATCGCTGACATACAACACCCAGGGCTCATCACAAGTGCCCTCAAGTCCTCCTTAATGCCCATCCCCGTCTAGCCCATCCCCCACTCACCTCCTTCTGTCAACCTTCTGTCTGTTCACTGCCGCAAACAGTCTCTTACGGTTTGTTTCCCTCTCTTTCTTTTCCCCCCTTCCCCTACATTCATCTGTTTTGTTTCTTAAATTCCACAAATGAGTGAAATCATATGCTATTTATCTTTCTCTGACTGGCTTATATCGCTCAGCATAATACCCTCCAGTTCCATCCACGCCATTGTCTATCAGTTAGTTACTTTTAACTGGTAGCTGTTTGAACTAGTCAGATATTTTGTTTTCAAACTATCACTGAATCATGCTTGATGGGGCCATATAAATTCCACTAGCACTAAAATCTTGGAGCATCATGATATTACACTGCTTTGGCCGGCACACTTGATAAAAGCGCGTAAATTTTGTGTTTGATTTGGCGTTAAGCCATTACTCTACTGAAACAAACTGTATGACACCTTCAGAAATAAAAAAGCAGGAGCGGCTGGGTCGTACAGTAAGGTAAGCATCCAACCCTTGGTTTTGGCTCAGGTCGTGAGCTCGGGGTCACGAGATGGAACCCCGCATCAGGTTCCACACTTAGCACGGCATCTGCCTGGAATTCTCTCTTTCTCTAGAGTGGGAAAGGTGAGAAAGAGAGTGCCTGCTCACTCTCTCTTTCTAATAAATAAATAAATCTTTTAAAAAAAATAAACCAATAAATAAAAATAAAAACGCAATATTAACTGCTACCCTAGCTCTTTTCCTTACTCAAGAAAGTATACTAGGGAAAGTAAATGACAACAACCTTAAAAAAATAAATTAAAAAAGAGCAGACTTCTGGTTACTGTAAGTATTGTTAACTATTGTCAGTAACAAACGAAGCAAGGCACCCTTTAGAGCTCATCTGGTACGTAGCTCCGCCACAGCTGAACCCGACCACACAGAGCTCCCGCTACATGAAGATGCCCCGTTTGATGGACTCCCAACAGCTGAGCACAGGTGATGCTCCTGGAGATGACGTGCATGACCCCCGCACCCCTCTTAGAAACAGAGGCCATAAATACGGACTGGAAGCCAAATGGAATGGCACAACCAAAGGAAACTACGAAGAGAAGGCTCAAATACAAAAAGCACAGGTAGAAAGGGATTAAGGCAGACTCATTAATCTTCTTACTTCACACATTGGCTTTAATAATTGAAGAATTTCACTTTTTGTGCCTCCACTATCCAAAAAAGCACAAGTCAGCCTCTTTATCCAAACATCATGGTTTTCACTTTGAGGAATCCACAGGCTCATATCATCCAGGCCTTCTAAAGGATTTTCTTTGTCTAGTCTGGGCACTTCCAAAAACTAGAGAGAAAACAGTCAAAACACGTAAGTACAGTAATTAGAAATATATTTTCTCTTTTCCATGCAGAACAAGTATCTAGGCATAAATCTGTTTCTAAACCAAACTAAATATAGTTAAAAATAATTCTGGAGGCAATGGATAACTCTTAAAATTAAAACAGATTTATGTTTATATGAAAGGCCAAGTGGTATGATCAAGAATTACTGGTCTACACAGCAGGATACTTGAGATCTATTCGAAGCTCACTAGTAGCACAAGGCACATCACAAACTCTCTGCCTCACTGGTCTCATGGACAAAACCGCTCCAAGTCTACCACAGAGAACGGACTTCAAAATGTTAAAACTACAGTGTTTTACAGATTTTACTGGTTTTATTACTGGTTTTATTAATTACTGGTTTTATTAATAGTTTATATTACCAGTAATTTCACTAAGACCAAAATTATATTTATGATATATTAAAAAGACTATTACTACAATGGATATATGTCCCCAAGTTAATTTGGTGAAAATTCTACTGTTTATCTCCCTATAGCTTTAGGAAAAGAAACTATTAAAGAGGGATACTTAGACTAAAAGAGAAGCAAGAGTTCTTAAATATCCTTCAGAGTCCTTCGAGTCAAACGTGGTTATGATATTAAAGTGGAAAAAGGGAGAGTCTACAGGTCATCTTCTACTTCACGAAGGGGCTATGATACTTTAACTTCCTACAGAAATATACACTCACTTGTTGCGCAAAACCTACAAACCACACCAGCATCAGTGGATTTCTTCACATCAGCGTAAGGGTTTTCTACTCCCAAGACAAAAGGCCTATCGTTAAGAACACCTCCTATCCCCCAAATCAGTCGTAAGCTGACCTTTCTATCTCAACTTTTCCGCACTGCTATAATTAAAAACACAAATCCCCTGGATTCAAATACAGCTGGAATACTTCTAAGAAAAGTTAAATGTTAGTATAATACTATTTAGGCAACTTGATATTCATATCCCACAGCAAAGAGAACTGTTTGGGTATTCCATAAACATTTATTATTTGAGAGACCTTTTTTTTGGATGTTCTAAAAGGCTGTAGATAGATCAACATGGGATCAGGTGTCGTCTTGTAAATCTCCCAGAAACTATGTCCAGTCTTTGTAGCTAAAATGCTTTTCAAACAGGTAACAGCAGCTGATCGCACTTTGACACTGAAAAACATATAATTCAGATGCTTACTAAGTATATCAACTACTGATAAATGTGAAACAACCTCCAAAAAATTTTTAAATCTAAAATTTTAAATTTATTTTACAGGTTGACCCTTGAAAGAGTTAGGAGCACTGATCTCCACACAGTCAAAATCTGTATTTAAATCCTAATTCCCCCCAAAACTTAACCACTAATACTCTGCTGTTGACAGGAAGACATACAGATAACACAGTCAAGTAACATAGATTTATATATGTGACATACTGTACTTTTACAACAAAATAATTTAGAGAAAAGAAAATGTTTTGAGGGACGCCTGGGTGGCTCAGTTGGTTAAGCAGCTGCCTTCGGCTCAGGTCATGATCCCAGCGTCCTGGGATCGAGTCCCACATCGGGCTCCTTGCTCATCAGGGAGCCTGCTTCTCCCTCTGCCTCTGCCTGCCATTCTGTCTGCCTGCACTCGCTCTCTCTCCCTCTCTCTCTGACAAATAAATAAAATCTTAAAAAAAAAAAAAAAAAGAAAAGAAAATGTTTTGAAGAATATAAAAGAGAATATTTTGAGAATATAAGAGAGAAGATACATTTATATACTATACTGCATTTAACCAAAAAAGTCCACATATAAATGGACCCAGGCAGTTGAAACCTGTGGCATTCGACTATAAAGTGTAAAGGTCAACTGTGTCAGGCAGTTTTTACTTAGGAAATCTTACATCTCTAAATAAAAAGTCAAGGGGCAACTGGGTGGCTCAGTTGGGTAAGCATCTGTCAGTTCATGATCTCTAGGTCCTGGGATCGAGCCTCATGTCAGGCTCCCTGCTCAATGGGGAGTCTGCTTCTCCCTCTCCTTCTGTCCCTCCCGCTTGTGTTCTTTCTCTCCCTCCCAAATAAAATCTTAAAAAAAAAAAAAAAAAAAAGTCTTGGTAATTAAAATTCTACAGCAACAATGCCAAAATTACCAAAAATTTTTAATATTCTTTCAGTAAACCTGAGTTATTAATAACTGCAGGGGAGAGGAGCCTGAGTGGCTCAGTGGGTTAAGCCTCTGCCTTCAGCTCGGGTCATGATCTCAGGGTCCTGGGGTCGAGTCCCACATTGGGCTCTCTGCTGGACGGGGAGTCTGCTTCCTTCTCTCTCTCTGCCTGCCTCTCTGCCTACTTGTGATCTCTCTTTCTCTCTGTCAAATAAATAAATAAAATCTTTAAAAAAAAAAAACAAAAAAAACCCAAAACAAACTGCGGGGGGCGGGGGCAGCAAAGGAATAAAAGCAGAAGCAATCTCACAGCACCAAACGAGGTGAAACAGGTGAAACGAGGAAAGAATCTGCAGCAATTTTATTTGCATAAACAATTAAAATGGGCAAAAGAAAACCCTATCTGATTACCTTAAGATTATGATGCTTCCTCTCTAGGATTTACTTTAAAAGGATCAAAATATCTATCTCTCTCTCTGCCTGCCTCTCTGCCTACTTGTGATCTCTCTCTGTGAAATAAATAAATAAAATCTTAAAAAAAAAAAAAAAGGATCAAAATATTCTCAATGAGCACAGTGCCTTTGATTTTGACAAGTGCCCAAAACATCTGCTTTTGCAATTCTCCTATTTTTGATGTTCTCTATCGAACCACCTGGCATTTTCTTATTGTTTGTCCAGTCACTAGAATTCAAAATGGACCTTGTATGGTATGCTCATCTGTGAAGCCGGTGCCTCAGGGATTATGGCAACTTGAAGGAGAATGCTTTGGTTTCAGGAGATGATAATTTCGGTAAAGTATCAATCTCCCTGAATGTCAGACGAAGTAGATGCGAGCAGATATACAGGGTCATCCCATACTCACCAATCTTCTACGAGCGTGTTGTTCAGGTAGGTCAGTGTTATAAAGGTCCACTGAAGTTCTTTATCTACAAATAACTCGGGGGCCTTGGTAGAAGATGTATCTCTACTATGCTGTATAGCTATCGTGGAGAAACCGACAGGACCCACTTCTCCCAGGCAGCTCCCAACAGCCTCTAGATTTAGAAATTCCTTTTCAGTACAGTTGTTGCTAAAAGATCTCCCATAAAAACAAGTTTTCTAATTTCAAAAACATCATGTTTCGTCATCCTTCAAGATTTAAGCAGTTTCTCAAAGACTCTGTAGAGATTAAAGAAGCTACTATATATTGTAGCATTTTCTTTATATATCCATGCAGGCAAAAGATATTTTCCCCTATAAAATTAGTAACAGAATACATATAGTAAGGATGAAAGTCTAAAGACAGCTACTGGATGAACTCATCAACAGACTTTAAAGCTGTTAAAACATTTTTGAGGTATTTATACATAAATCTTAAATACCCAGTACAGTGAAAATTCACACACACATTTTTTTCCACCTGTGTTGTCACCACCCAGATAAAGACAGAGCAGTTCCTGCCAGAGAACACCCTGATGCTCTTTCCCAGAGGGAATTTAATTAAAATCCACTCACAAATTTTTTGATAGCTCTCCTTTCAAAAGGCAGAGCCCTAGTTCCTCACCCTGAGTGTGCGGTGTACTTGGTGACTCACTTCTGACAAACAGAGTACTAGGCTTTCACTTCCTTGGTTGAACTTATCCCCAAGCACTAGATTCTCTTAGATGTTATTATAAACAGAATTACAAACAGAATGAAATTTTCTTTCTAGATTGTTCATTGAGGGTGTATAGAAACAACTAAATTTTGTGTGTGGATCCTATATCCTGACATTGTGTCAGATTCATTTATTAGCTTTATTACAGTAGGTTTCTTGTAGATTCTCTGGGATTTTCTAGATATAGCATCATGTCATGTGTGACTACAAACAGTTTTATTTCTTTCTTTCCATTCTGGATGCTTTTTTTCTTCTTGTTCCACTGCTCTCGCTAGAACCTCCAGGACAACGTGGACCAGCACTGCTGAAAGCAGACAACCTGTCTGCTTCCTGACCTGGGGGTGAAAGCTTTTGGTCTCTCACTGCTAAGAATGACAAACAACCATCCTAAGATTTTATGCTACACAGGAAAGCCGCTCCGGGCTCATGGAGCAAATCAGGTCTGTCCCTAGAAACAGTTAAACTAGAGACAAACATGTGAATTCCTTGTTCAGAGGAAACTTCCAGGGTGCTGGTAAGGCTCTTGTTTCGAGTTTCTCGGTCTGGGTGCTAGATGCACAAGTACTTTCTGCCTGTGAAAACTTCCAAGGTACATACTGCTATCTGCATACTTTTCTGTATGTAAAGTATATTTCAGTAAAAAAACTTACAAAATAAAGAAGTGCTCCAGTTATTGGGCTCCCACTGAGAAGACAAGAAAGACTCCACTGAAAGAAAGTAGAATCTGTGAAGGACCTTTTACTCCTCCATTTCTCTTATTTGAAGCACCGTTGTCATGACAACGTCCGGGTGACTTCATCCAGTGATCACCAAGTCTAAACACCTCTTCTAGGTGGGATGTGCGGTGGCTATTTACCTGACACTAGGATACCCCCCAAATCGTGGTAGGAAAGGGCCCGGATATGGTTTTCCTATCTGCGTTTAATTCACCTAGCCCTCCAAATGCTCGCTCTTACTCTGCCCTATAAAAAAGATCTGTAAGTCCTGGTCAGTTATATTTATAAAATATACCAGAAGTCAGTTTATTTGCAACCTAATACTACAAACACTTACTTGTGACTTCTAAATTTATAAGGTGCTTTTAAGTGAACAGGGATGCACATGTGTAAATCACTAATTTTCACTTTATGCAAATGTTTAAGGAAGGAAAATAGAAAAGAAGGGCTGCTTAGGGCCACTTCAACTAAACAGAAATACAACTAAGCTAGCGCCTCACGGTGCCCTGTTATCCCAAAGTGACAAACTTGTACTGAATTTGCAAACAGAGATGACAACTCCAACATAAAGACTCACACTCATTTAGCCAAACGATTTACCTAAAACCTCCCGCTCCCCAGTGTGGCTCATGGCCGCGCGGCATAACTGCGACAAGCCGACGATGAGCTTCACCATGACGCCCTCCTGCGGGTTATCTAGGAGCAGTTCAGAAAAAAACAGTTTCAACTGCCATGAAGAAAACATGTTTCCTTACAATACATTTACAGATTAAATTATCTGACTTGAAAACTTTCATAAAGGTTTTTTAAAAACAAGGTTTTAAAACACGAGCTGGTCAAAAAACATAATGTGATGTATCTGAACTTCCTTGTAAAACAGAACCATGGAACAGTGACAGCAAAGCACAATCTGGCAGACACAGAAAGAGGAGCTGCGCCTATCAGCCAATACCTTAGCAAAATCACTAAGAGTAAGAAATACGAAAATCATTCAACATTGACTGACGAGAAACCTGGAAGTACACTTTGGTCTTTAACCCCTAGATTCAGTCTCGATCAGCAATGTCCGATGGAACTTTCACAATGACAGAAACGTTCTATAATGTGCTCTGTCCAACAACAGCCATGAGCGTCATTACTCCTGAGAACCTGACATGTGCTAGTACGATAACGAAACTCAATTTTAAATTTTACTGAACTTTAATTCACTGAAATTTAAATATCTAAAAACAGCTAACGGCTGTTTTGGACAAGACAGGTCTGGACCAATGAATTACCCAAACACATAAGAACAAAAGAAAGAGGTGATCATCTTTTACACACACACGCACACACACATCTCAGAACAAAAGCACTATAAACTCTGAGCTCATATGATCCAGACCAAAATCAGTTTTTAAAACTACTGGCAGAAAAAAACCACCATGGAAATAGGAAATTAATGGGTAAAAGATGAAAATCAAAACATAATAGAAAAAGTTTCCCCTAAGTACAATACTAAAATAACCTAAACTCAAATCAAAGTAACATAAAAATGAATGTTTTCTTAAGGAAAAACAAAAACAAAAACAAAACTAATAACATATACAAATGTGTGTATATAAAAAAGCGCACACACACACATACACATCCATGTTATATGTATGCACATACATAGGAGACTTAGAGTGGGACACATATCTTTTATTTAAACAAGTTGGAGCAATACCCACAGATTCCCCATATGCCTGGCCCTAAGGAATTCAAATGTTTCTTTCAGGCACTAGGGAAGTGGTTAAAAACGTTTCAAGCAGTAGAGTAACATGATCGTGTCTGAGTTTAGAGAAACCATTCTGGCAGAGGTGTAGCGGATGGATAAAATGGGGTTAATTCAAGTTGAGGAGATCACTCACAAACTCTTTTACATGGAGATGAGAAATGATGAACTACATGATGAGAGTCTAAGCTCAGCCCATGCCAATTAAACAAAGAGTAAGAATTTATAAAAGACTCTCTCCAAAAGAAAGACGCATAAATAACCCGCGTCGTTAACATCAGTACCCTGAGATGCTCTCATGAGGTCCACCATCTGGTCCTTGTGCTGAGCTAGCTGTCTGCGGAGATCCTTGAGTCCTTCCAGCCTTGTCAAAGGAAGTGCATCGTAAACACTCACGGAGAGAAAATGATTTATTTCCTAAAACAGAAAATTAGTTAAAAATGTAATGTGCTTTTTGGACATGGATGAAGTCTATCAAATAAAACTCAGAGAAAAAAATTAGTACATGTCTTTTACAGACACTGATTCATATCACTATTAACACCACACGAGGTAGAAATAAATGCCTTCTTCCACTGCAAATCTGCCAATGTTATAATCACTTAAATTGTAATGGGCTCTCTCCTGATGACCTACTTAAGATTTTAAGACTGTAATAGCATCCTCAAAAGGAAAAGCTTATATTTCTACTCATTTAGTACTATAACTCCAGTTTTATATCTTAGTACATTTAACTATATTGTCATATTGATATATAATCAAATACAGCATACAGTATTAAAATTATAACATTTATACCAAAAATTACATGCAAACATAAATTTTCAAGTTTATAAAAATTAAAGATTAAAACTGGAAAAACCCCTTAAAAAGTCAAATATCATCTCTAATTCAAATATTAAGTTGTCCCTCAAAAGATCAGATGGTGATTTTAAGATACTAATAGATCAGATGTGTATGAAAATCAAGCATATTTTAGATCAGATTCCTTCATTATTTAATTTCAGATCTTAACCAAGAAACCTTGATAGTTAAAATTTTACTGCAATACAGGAGGATATATTAAGATTCAGCTTTTTATTTGTTGAAAGGGGGGCAAATCTTACGTTATTTTTTTAAACACAATTTTTTAAAAAGATTCCGTTTTTTACTTTTAGAGAATTGGAAGGTTTCAAAAAAGTACTGCTCTCTACCCTAACACAAAATAGTAAGAAGATGGAATAATTATTACCTCCAAAAGTGAAAAGGGTCCTTTACTGTATTTAATTTTCTGCTGAGTAATGCGCAAATCCTTAAAGACATCATGGTCAGGGAAAGGATCTAGAAGTTTAATTGTCATATAGAGGTTTTCATTATCCTTGTTATCTATCACTAAGTATTTCAACAAGTCCAATACCTAAACATAATTTAAAGAAGAAAAAAAATCAAAATGGAAAAATGGTTTAATTATATTTTAAAGTAAAACAACCAAACCTACTGTATTAAATAATAAAAACTCTACTGACCCAGCTCAGATAAGAATGTTCTAATTACTTCTACAGTACCACATGTGACTGTCCCTGGGCTTTCAAATGACTGAGCAAGTGTGTAAGGTGCTGCTACAGGATGGGCAGTGGGACAGAAAAGTGCCAGTATCACTGGAACATTCTGTAGACGTAATACCTCCTGCACCATCACAGTGATGTCAACTGCTGTCCCTGGTTGTTGTTACCTCTACACTTCAACTGAAGACAGAAACTCCTAGGTTATTTGTGGGATCAAAATTACTAAGTGCTCTGTAATTAAAGGATTATAAATATGAATTTTTCTAACCATTTTTCAAAGAATATTTTCACTGAAATGACTAATTACACCGAGTAAACATAAAACATTCAGCTCCTTTCAAGAACACTCTGTACCAAGGTTATTTCACGTATCTCGCGAAGAAGATCTGGGGCAGTACCTGTTCCTGCACCTCCATGTGACCATCCACAAGGGGGATGAGCGTACCAACAATCACGTGAAGATGATTTTCTAGAGCATCCTTACAGGAAGTGACTGCCGTGTGGCAAACCCGGCTTAGCAGGTCACAGCACAGGGAAAAGCTCCGTAACGACACATCCATGAAACGAGAAGGCCTGACACAGGGAGGAAAGTAGTGAGTTCTGGGAAACTACTTGAACATAAGCTCATGGAGAAGTCATTTTTCTTCAGCAGCTTGAATTCTGAAGTGGCCAGACATAAAAGTCTACTTTTGTATCTAATTCTTTTTTTTTTTTAAGATTTTATTTTATTTAGGGGTGCCTGGGTGGCTCAGTGGGTTAAAGCCTCTGCCTTCAGCTCAGGTCATGATCCCAGGGTCCTGGGATGGAGCCCCGCATCGGGCGCTCTGCTCAGCAGGGAGCCTGCTTCCTCCTCTCTCTGCCTGCCTCTCTGCCTACTTGTGATCTCTGTCTGTCAAATAAATAAATAAAAATCTTAAAAAAAAAAGATTTTATTTATTTGACAGACAGAGATCATAAGCAGGCAGAGAAGCAGGCAGAGAGAGAGGGGAAATGGGCTCCCTGCTGAGCAGAGAGCCCGACGCAGGTCTCGATTCCAGGACCCTGAGATCATGACCTGAGCCAAACGCAGAGGCTTAACCCACTGAGCCACCCAGGCACCCCTGTATCTAATTCTTAATAAAGTTTATAAGCCAAAAAGAAAAGTGACATCAGAAACATGATGGGGTAGATAGCTCCCACCTCCCCTCCTAACAGAGAATTGAAAAACAGTCAGAACTCTGTAGAACATTCCAAGGTTTACAGCAATCAAGCAAATGCTAAATTAAAAAGGGGGGGCAACTTAAAAACTGTAGGAAAACTGTGGTGTTCTACTTGTCTTTGCCCCGTTACTCCCTCCAAAGCTTGGCAGTTGCCATGAAACCTATGGTCCTCATTCCCAATGTGGGGTCCTGGCTCTTTGCTCTGTAGGGAGCATAGCAGACCATATTTGCAAATTATTGACATCTGTTCTAAACCAGTCTGGGAGCTACCAACTAACATAAGGGGCTGAGCTCTGATCTAACTTGGATCTCTCCAGGCTGGAAAAGCCATGAGCATTGCTTGGAAACACCATAAAACTCACCAACTACCCACAGCTGTGAGAAGCAAAAAGTTACTGCTGAGACATACAACAAAATCACACATATATCTGGGAAATTTAGAAAGCCACACACAAATGCCCAGGATAAGATACTTGCCCAAAAATCCCCTGAGAAGACCATAAACTTTCACTCTGGGCTAATCCCTCTGTTCAGTGCAAACCTGCCTAAGTGTTGAAGAAGAGTTCTAACACAGAGCCAGTCGGCAAAAATAGGAAAGATTCTCATTCTCTCTTCCACTCACTCACTCCTGGCATTCAAGGAAATCTCCGTCAAAATACTCCCTGAACGCACGTTAAGGACAGTCTTCAGCAGCCACACGTGGCAAGGAACATGGTCCCTGCACAAACAGTGGAGCACACTCACCCAACCAACGGACCACCACAGCCTTCAACGATTAAAAAAAAAGTCAAACCGTGGGGAAGGGGAAAATGTGATTTCCCCAGCTACATAATAAAAGTAAAATATGCAGTTTTCAGGACAAAACAGAGAGCCCAGAAATAAATCCACGCTTATATGGTCCAATAATCTATGACAAGGGAGACAAGACCATACAACAGAGAAAAGACAGTCAACTAATGGTGCTGGGAGATGTGGACGGCTACATGGCAACAACGAAACTAAACCACTGCCTTACAACATATACAAAAATAAACTCAAAATGCATTAAACCTTGGGGCGCCTAGGTGGCTCAGTGGATTGGGGCCTCTACCTTCGGCTCGGGTCATGGTCCCAGGATCCTGGGATCAAGCCCCGAGTCGGGCTCTCTGCTCGGCGGGGAGCCTGCTTCCCCCTCTCTCTGCCTGCCTCTCTGCCTACTTGTGATCTCTGTCTGTCAAATAAATAAATAAGATCTTTAAGAAAAAAATGCATTAAACCTTAATGTGAAACCTGAAACCACAGAATTCCTAGAAGAAAACACAGACAGTAATTCCTTTGATATCAACCAAAGAAACATTTTTCTAGATATGCCTCCTCAGGCAAGGGAAAAGCAAAAAAAACCCCCCCCAAAAAAAACAAAACAAACAACACACACACACACACATACACACAATCATTGGGACTATATCAAAATAAAAATCTTTTTTGCACAGCAAAAGAAACCATCAACAAAACAACTAGGCAAGATACAAGATATCTTCAAATGACATATGTGACAAGGGTTAATATCCAAAATATATAAAGAATTTATACAACTCAACAATTAAAAAAATAATTAAGAAATGGGCAGAGTACTTGAATAGACTTTTTCCCCAAACAAATGCCCCAAAGACACATGAGAAGATGAAAAGATGTCCAACATCACTCATCATCAGGGAAATGCAAATCAAAAGCACAGTGAGGTATCACCTCACTCCATCAGAATGGCTAGTATCAAAAAGACAAGCAATAACAGGTGTTGGCCAGGATGTGGAGAAAGGGGAACCCTCGTGCACTGTTGGTGGGAATGCCAGCTGGTGCAGCCACTATGAAGAATGTCTAAGAAGAGGTCTGGAGGGTCCTCAAAGAATGTTAAAAATAGAATAACCATAATCCATAATCCATCCAATAATTCCATTACTGGGTATTTACCCAAAGATGATGAAAACAATTCAAAATGATGAAAACAATTCAAAATGACATGTAAATCCCTATGTTTACAGCAGCATTTTTTAGAGTGGCCACGGTATGGAAGCAGCCCACGTGTCCAGTGATGGATGAATATGTAAACAAGATAAACACACACACACACAGAGTAGACTATTATTCAGCCATAAAAAACAACGAGATCATACTATTTGCAAAAACACGGATGAACCTAGAAGGTATTCTGCTAAGTGAAATAAGTGAAAGACAAATACCACATGATTTCACTCGTATGTGCAATGTGAGAAACAGAACAAACGAAAAGATAAATTCGTAACCACAGAGAACTGGTGCCTGCCAAGGGGAAGTGGGTGGGGGGGACGGGGGAAACAGATAAAGGATTAAGAGGATGCTTACACTGACGAGTGACGTATAAAACTATTGAATTATTACATTATACACGTGAAACCAATGTAACAAATTTTTAACTAAGGATATTTTTAAGGTAAAAAAATCCATTACTTCAACACAAATCACACTGCATACAAAGAAACAGGAAAGTAGGAAAGGATGGCCCATTTAAAGAAATAAGATACACGGGCGGAAACAGTCCCAAGGAAGCTCAGAGAGCAGAATTACGAGACGAAGACTTCAAACACCTGTTTTAAATATGCTAAAAGAGCTTAGAGACAAATGAACACAGAAGCACAGCCTACCCAAATTTATGGAATGCAGCAAAGACACCTCTGAGAGGAAAATACGGAGCAGTAACCACCTACATTATAAAAGAAGACCGGCAGGGTGGGGTGTGGGGGACTAGAAAAACACTACCAAACACATGCTTAAAAATTAATAGCAGTCTCTCAAACTCTTCCATGAAACAGAATAGTAGGGAACACTTCCTAACTCATTCCAGGAGACCAGAAATTCTCTAATACCAAAGAAAATAAATATACCACGGGAAAATCTTAATTCTCAGTGTCCCCTAGGAATATAGATTTAAGGGGCGCCTGGGTGACTCAGTTGGTTAAGCATCTGCCTTCAGCTCAGGTCATGATCCCACACTTCTAAGATCCAGCCCCACATCCGGGCTCCCTACGCAGTGGGGAGCCTACTTCCTCTCCCCTTCTGCAGCTCCCTGTACTTGTGTGTGCGCTCTCTTTCTGCCAAATAAACAGCATCTTAAAAAAAAAAAAAAAAAAAAAAAAGGAACACAGATTTAAAACTCCTCAAAAAAGTACAAGCAAGCTAATGTAAGAGCTTATTAAAAGTATTATATACCATGAGCAAGTAGGACTTATCCCGGGAACACAAGAGTGAGCTAACAGAAGAAAATCAATCCATGTAATATACCACATTAATAAAATGAAGGAAAATACATGATCATTTCAATAAAAACAGCAAAGGCACTTGACAAAACTCAATCTCCTTTCCCAATAAAAACAGGCAGAAAGATATGGATAGGAACTTATCCAACACAATAAAGGTAATTTATGAAAAACCCACAGGCCAACATAATCAATGTTGAGAGAATGGAAGCTTTCCCACTAAAATCAGGAACAAGACAAGGATGCCCACTTCATCCCTGCTATTCAACACTGTATTGAACTTCCAGCCAAAGTAATTAGACAAGAACTAAAAGGCATCAAAATCAGAAAAAAGTAAAACTATATTCATAGATGACATGATTCTATACACATATAAATTCCCAAAGAATCCACAAGAAATCTACTAATAAATTAAGTTAGCAAAATCGCAAGTCATGAGATCAGCACACAAAAATCAGTTTTAGTTCTGTACATCAGCAGTAACAATCTAAAATCTTAACTAAGAAAGCAATTCCATTTACAATAGCATTTGAAAGAATTAAACACCTGGGAATAAATTTAACCAAAAAAACAAAACTCTTGTACACTGAAAACTGTAAAGCAAGGATAAAAGAAATTAGACAAGTCCAAATAAATGGAAAGATATCCCATGTTCATGGATTAGAAGACAAACTGTTGAGATATCAATACTATCCATATGATCACATATTCAATGCAATTTCACTCAAAATTCCAATAGTCTTTTGTGCATAAATGGAAAAGCTGGTCATTAAATTCACAGGGGAGTTGCAAGGCACCCCAAATAGCCAAAAACAATCTTGAAAAAGAAGAACAAAGTTGGGAGATACCCACTTCCAGATTTCAAAACTTAGTATGAAGCCATAGTAATCAAAACACTGTGTTACTGGCATAAGGGCAAACTAAGGGTATAGAATTGAGAATCCATGGATAAATCCACACATCCATGGCCAAATGATTTTTGACATGTTCATTCAACAGGGAAAAGAAAAAACGACAAGTTCATTCAACAGGGAAAGAATAGTCTCTTCAACAAATGGTACTAGAACAACTAGATCTCAAGAATGAAGCTGAACCCCTACTGCATACCATACGTAAAAATTAAAATGGATCAACAACACAAATACAAGAGCTAAAACTAGAAAACTCTTAGAATAAAACATAGTGGTAGATCTTCATGAACTTGGATTTGACAATGGATTCTTAGATAAAAAATCAAAAGCCTTAGAAACAAACAAAAAAACCCAGATAAATCAGACTCCATCAAAATTAAAAATTTAGGGGGCATGTGGATGGCTCAGTGGGTTAAGCTTCTGCCTTTGGCTTAGGTCACAGTCTCAGGGTCCTGGGATCAAGCCCCACATCGGGCTCTCTGCTCAGCAGGGAGCCTGCTTCCCCTCCTCTCTCTGCCAGCTTCTCTGTCTCTTTGTGACCTTCCTCTCTGTCAAATAAATAAAGTATTTTTAAAAAATTAAAAATTTTTGTGCATTAAAAGAAATTATCAGGGAAGTGAAAAGACAATGCACAGAATGGGATAAACTACATACAAATCATATATGCTGATTCACTATCCAGACTATATTTGCAAATCATATAGTAAGAGCTAGATAAGGATTTTTTTTTTTTAAAGATTTTATTTATTTGACAGACAGAGATCATAAGTAGGCAGGGAGGGAGCCAGAGAGAGAGGGGGAAGCAGGCTCCCCGCCAAGCAGAGAGCCCGATGCGGGGCTCGATCCCAGGACCCTGGAATCATGACCCGAGCTGAAGGCAGAGGCTTTAACCCACTGAGCCACCCAGGCGCCCCTAGATAAGGATTTTAAGAAAAATATGACAAAACAAAACGGAAAAAGATATTCTTTGTCTGCTCTGAAGAGTTCACATTTGAAGGCAATGTTATGTACTAATCAGAAAACAAATAGAAACATCATCAAAATTAATTCAAAAGAATAAAGATGCTTAAACTGAACAGATACCCAAAATCTTCATTAACTGTGATACTGTGATTTATAGTAAGAAAGATATTTTGCTCTTCATCCCTGCTTCCAGCACAAAGCTCCTAAAACTCCAGGAACACCAGTGATGAAGGCAAGAAGAGTGTCTCTAACTTCTGAAAGCATCTAGGTCACCTGAGGATGGGGGCTGGTTGCCTCGATCAACCTTGTGATCAAGGGCTGGAATTCTTGGTCCCACTCCCCTGATCTCTGCAGAGGGGACTGGGAATGGAGGCTGTGTCAATACCCACTAGCCAGTGCTGTAAACCACCATGTCTCTGTCACAAGGTCTCCATAAAAACCCACAAGGACCAGCTTTGGGAGCTTCCAGATTGGTGAACACATGCAGATGTGGGGAGAGCAGTGCCCCTGGAGAGCGCAGGGAAGCTCCACCCCCTTCCGTGATATATCTCTTCATCTGGCTGTGCCTGAGCCACACCCTTTTATAATAAACTGGTAATTCGGTCAGTAAACAGGTTTCCTGAGTTCTGAGAATTTTCTGAGTTTAGCAAATGAATCAGACTCAAGGAGGAGGGTCCCTGGAACCGGAAGCGTAGAGCTGGCTGGTCAGAAGCACAGCTGGTATCTGAAAGAAGGAGGGGCAGGCAGTCTCTCAGGACTGAGCTTTCAGTCGCGGGCTCTGACACTAAGCAACCATTAGGAGCTGAAATATAGGACACCCAGCTGGTGTCTGGAGGGTTCCTTGCATGTGTGTGTGAGAAACACCATTTTCCCTACACTTAGGAATTGGGGACCAGAAGTGCTACAGTGACAAATATATATCAAGTCACTGAAAATTCGTTTATTTTACAATGTTGAAGACCCTTAGAGTACTTAATATCTCTAGAGTTGGAGGGATAATGTAATTTTTTAAAAATACTGGGTATAGATATTAAAAAGCAAAATTAAGGAAGCAATACTCCCACTTCTACCTCTTGAAACTATAAAATTTCAATTAAGATAAGGTAGACAAAACAACTTATATATTAGTCTAAATATATTATGTACCTTTTGTTGATATAATGAATCAAAGTATAGATAACATCTCGAAGAACAAAGGCCCAAGCTCCTCCTAAGGCACTTTTAATATCTTTCAGTAATAAAGTAACAAACAGGTGATATATTTTAAGAATTCTGTGCTTTTTATAAACATTATTTGTCTCAGCAGCTTGCTCACAAATGGCTAGAAGAATTTTCTGATAGGAATCCTAGAAAATAAAGACAATTGATAAAAAACTTATCTAATCATGTATACTCAACTATGATAAATATATTTTCAAAATAATAAATTACAGAATTTTGCTTTGGTTTGATATTGAAGGCAAATACCACATTAAGGAATAGTATCTTAAACTGTTGTCAATTTACCTAGTTTTCAGAGAGCAAACAGTACTTTTCAAAAATATATACTCCCTAAGTCAATGTATGACTAAAGTATCCTGAAATTCACACTTCATATACAACATATTTCAATTAATACTGAAAAGTAAAATACCAAGATATAAACTTGTAAATGAGTGTTCTTGATTGATTCAGACAAGTTTTCTCTTTATTTTTTCTTTTAAGATGTACTTACACAGATTTTCTAGCTGAAAAAGAAGGAATTCTCTCATCAGTTATTATAATAGTAATGTATACTTACAGGGCTTTTGGAAAGAATTTCTAAAATGCTTTTCAGCTTGGTTTTATGGCAATTGCTGATATAGGCAAATGTTGCTTTAATCACATGTGATGGAAAATGAGGTGGATTAGGGGCAGGATCCAAATCCCTACAAGTTATAGGAAAAAAAGCAGTCATCATTTTCAGAACAAAATTATTTAAAAAAAAAAAAAAAAAAAGATTCTGTTGAAGTTTCAGAAACCAGTGAAGTTTCAGAAAGAAAACTGAGATTATAATAACCCCAGGTTCTAAAATTATTTTCCTACTGAAACACCAGGATTTTACTAAAATCACAAATGACTTATCACATTCTATACATTATCAGTCAGAATATCCTAATACTTTTACCCTCCATGACTTTATTTTAAATGATTTAAGAAATCTTTAATGAAGTTAACGGCAGTTCTACACATGAGCCTTGGTATCACTTTAGCTCTGAACTAAAGCTCTATTAATACTGTGATACTGGCGATCAGACACTCTTTATATGAAAGGAAATTATAAAGTGAAATCACTTTGGGAGATACTACTACTTTTTTGGACAGCTAGCACAGTAAGGCACAGAGTGAGTACAGGGTGCTCTCAAGTAGCTTACACAGGAAACACAGTATGTGCCTAAAAACTGAAAGAGACATCTGAAGGCGTCAACCAATCAACTTCCCAAAGAAATTCTGAAACTGCAGCCAACTCTCTAAGTTTAAAATACCCATACCCTGAAAAGTCACAGAGGTCCGTGCTCTGGCTGGCACCAGAAGCTGCCGGTTCATGTAACGTCATCAGTAACTCCACCACAATCTCTGGTAAATTATTAAGGAATAAATGATCAATCTGTAAGGATACAAAATTAAAATAACATTTAAGTTTTCACGTCTGTGACCTTTTAAGACAGTTTGAGTAACACTGAGTAACTTTGAGTAACATTGAGTAACAATGTTACTGCATCACTTCCAAAATTGATCCAGGACTAAAAAAGGAAATAAATAACCAAAGACCTAAGATGTGCAAGACATACAGCTAACTCATTCTGCGCGCAACCACCCTGCAGCCTGAAAGGAAGGTAAGGAAATCATACCCAACAAGACTCCCTTAATCTGACTCTTGTTTAATTTTAAGAATCAGGGGTGCTGGGGTGGCTCAGTTGGTTAAGCCTCTGCTTTCAGCTCAGATCATGATCTCAGGGTCCTGGGATCAAGCCCCACATTGGGCTCCCTGCTCAACAGGGAGCCTACTTCTCTCTCCCTCTGCTGCTCCCCCTGCTTGTGCTCTCTCTCACTCATTCTCTCACTTTTTCTCTCAAATAAAATAAGAAATAATTTTAAAGAATCATTTTAACTAAGGCTTCAGGTGTAGCACTGAATTCCTCAACCTAGTGATTTTCCTGCCAACCAAATTCCCCACTGACCTACACTGCTTTTTTTTTTTTAATTTTTATTTATTTATTTGACAGAGAGAGATCACAGTAGACAGAGGCAGGCAGAGAGAGAGAGGGAAGCAGGCTCCCCGCTGAGCAGAGAGCCCGATGCAGGACTCGATCCCAGGACCCCGAGATCATGACCTGAGCCGAAGGCAGCGGCTCAACCCACTGAGCCACCCAGGCGCCCTCCTACACTGCTTCTTAAAGTGCATTTTACCCTTGATTTACTCGGAAAATCCATCTTGCTTTGGAATGACTGACTAGTAAGAATTCCTAGTGCCTTCCCTGCATGACTTTTCCCCAGATTTCTACTTGGCTGATATCCCCAGTTCTGAGGCTAGCTGCTCCCCACATCCCCCGTCAACAAGAGTAGATGGAAACCCTCCCGGACAGGAGCAGGCTCGTCATCGATCCACCTCCTGTTACCCCGGCCTCACAGACGACATAAATTCAGTGTAAAGAATGGGTCCGCTGCACTATACCTCACCCAAATGAACGACGATTGTGGAGACTTAAAGGTAGATTTCTTAAGCTCTCCAAGTAAGGAATCGCAGTGCTCAAAACTAAAAGGTAAATGGCTGATTCACTCGGTGCGCAAGGAGATGAGGAGATGTGCAGACGTGCTGCCTCACAACAGAAATGGTTTAAAACGGGACAAGAAAGAATGGAATGTAAAGATCCTAGCCCTTCCCTCAGGCTCATGCATCACTCAGGCCAGCCCTTCCAAGGCTGCAGCCCTTTTAAGAATGCAGCTTCGCTTCAAAGCGTATCTGGGATAAGGAAGGACAAACTGGCTGCCTCTGTTTCATATTGGAGGAAACATTAGCGAATTTCCTTACACACAGAACGGCAGTTGGCTTCATGAGTTTTGTACCATTCTACAATAAGCAAGACCTGTAATGTTTAGCTAGGGGACATATAAATTATGCAGGTGTCTAGGTACAGCCCACCAATGTTGTTAACTGTTAATATCTCAGGCTTTTGACAACTGACAAATTTTAGAGGCTCCGAGACTAATAATAGTTGTACCAACACTTAATGCACAGAAGACAGAATCTAGAAAATTGATTCGGACAAAGTGTATATTAGAGAACCAAAGAAAAAGCAAACTTACAACAACGTAATGCCAACTGGAACTGAGTAACAATAATTTAGGTCTTTAACCAAGTTTCAAGTTTGCCTCTCTCCATTCTTAACACTGACGTTTCAATCAGGCCTCATTGTAATTATTTTCCCCTCCTTGACTTACTCGGATTCTGCAAATTGCTATCTTTTAGTTTGAATACATTTATTTTTTTAAACATTTTATTTTTAAAGATTTTATTTATTTATTTGCCAGACAGAGAAAGAGAGCATGCACAAGCAAGGGGAGCAGCAGGCAAAGGGAAAAGCAGGCTCCCCGCTGACCAGGGAGCCTAACGTAGGACTCATTCCCAGGACGCTGGGATCATGACCTGAGCCCAAGGCAGACACTCAACCAACTGAGCCACCCAGGGGTCCCTAGTTTGAGTACATTTAAAAAAAGTAGTAAGATTATGCCTGCTTAGAAGCAGGGAGATGGCTGGGAGGGGTAAAAGCAGGGTCTTTCATAAATTCCATAACCTTTGAAGCACCAATGTTCTGTTTCAACTGTCTTTTGAGAAAGGAGCTCATTTGCCTCCATACTGACTTAGATCTAGCTCCACTGGCAGTGGTCCACAGAGGCAAGTGAGAAACTCCATGTTCCATTTCTTGGTTCAATACAGTAACTGGGCAAACAAAAAAAAAACTCTTGAAGTTTAGCCAATTGTAATTTTAACATTAGCCAACCCTGGTTAGTCATCCTTATTTACATTAAAAGAAAAAAAAACAAACCCTTGAGAATAACCAATCTTCTTTTACTTTAAAAAAAAAGTTTATGTGTTTTAAGTTCCCTCAAATAATTTTGGATGTATCTAAATTACTACGAAACAAACAGAAGTTGTCATAGATCCTTTTTTACTTGATTCCATCTTTTATCAAATAATGAGTATTCACTATATACTAAGTAGCCAGGATACACCGGCAAAACAGAAAAAAGTAAAAAATCCTACCTTCAGAGTACTTATAGCAGAGTAGACAAACAATGAACATGATTTGTAAGTATATTACATATAGTCAGTCTCGTGGGAAAAAGCAAGAGTGGGGTATGGGACCTTGAGATCATACTTCTTGAAAAGTAAAGAGGAACACTTCCTACACGCTGTTCAGTACTAGCTGAAATTTAACATCTGGTTTGCACTTATTTATTACTGCCAATTAAAATAAATTTTACAGAGAACAGAGTGACTTTCAAGTGGACACAGGTGGAATATATCCGGTATTTAGGCTAATTTAAGTTTGTTGGTTTCATTAAAAAAGACATGTTTTTAGAGTTATCAGCATTAAATATGAACGTTTTTTTAAATCTAGGTTTGTTAAAGGTCAAATAAGCTCATTATTAACTCTGCTGTAATTTTTTAGCAAAAGGATGACTTAAAATGATGATTAATTTTCTGTCTCAGTTTTCGTGGGTTATCGTTAAGACTGTCTTTGATAAACTAAGGCTTAAACGGCACTGAATTCATTGGACATTTAGGTCTTTCTCAAATGAAGTAAGATGGTAAAGCACTGATTAATGAAGGCAGGTTTGTGTTTTTGGCTTCTTATTGCACAGAAGAGAAGAACATTTGAGTGTTTGAAAACATGCTCTATGTTTTCATAAATCTCTGTTTTCATAAATTCATAAATCTGCCATCTAAAGAATTCCGGCGTGACATTCACAACTGGATTCTAATGTAGTTTTCGCTGGGGACCAAGTTTTTGAAAAGTTAAAATTCTTCTAAGTGTAATTAAGACTAATGGAAATAAGGGAAAAAACTTTGAATGAAAAAGGTGGGGGGCACCCGGGTGGCTCAGTGGATTAAATCCTCTGTCTTCAGCTCAGGTCATGATCCCAGGGTCCTGGGATGGAGCCCCACATCGGGGTCTCTGCTCCGCAGGGAGCCTGCTTCCTTCTCTCTCTCTGCCTGCCTCTCTGCCTACTTGTGATCTCTGTCAAATAAATAAATAAAATATTTTTTTAAAAAAGAGAGAGAAAAAGCTGTAAAAGGTTTATGAGGGGAAATTTTTGGAAAAGAATTTTATATGTGGTCAGGACTAAAGTTGAAATGAATGGATATTAAAAGTATATTGGTGTAACATTGAAATTTTGCTTTTCTCTCTGTTCAGAGACAGTTTTCAATTGCTGGTTTGCACCTGACAAGAAAATGTAAACAAAGGTTTTTTTCTTTTGTCTGCCCAGAGAACCGGTTTCTAGGTTTTCTCTTTATCAAGTCTTTGGTCACTTCCTTAAAGCTTCTAAATATTAAAGGAGCTAAATTTTGCTAACTATATAACCCTACATATTTGTCATCTTGGTTAAATAAATAATTATGTTTTAAGCTTTGTAATATTTGTAATCCACTATTCAGGCATGTGTTTTATAACTTTCTAAGGTTTTTTAACAAACTTCTCAGGATTTAAATTATAAATGAAGTCTCTGACTCATTAGGCCTTTGTATCTGGTATGGTTAAGTTTCTCTGGAAGCACTGCCAAACAAACAATGACAAGGCCTTTGGTTATGTCTGGGTAAATGCTAAACTATTCTAGAGAACATATGTAATTCCTGAAGTTTTAATATGTTAAACATACATTTAATATGTTTCAATAAGTTTTAATATGTTAGTGTTATGTTTCACACAAATAACCAGATGTCCTTGCCAGCTACACTGTAACCTCTCATCAGATCTTCAACCATTTCCATTTTGGAGTCTCATTTATAGTCATTCTTATTCTATTGTGACACGTCTCATCTTTAAAGAGATTCATAAAATGGGCTTTTGCCAAAACAGGTTTTTTGATACCTTTAAGATCTTAGAACTAAAATTGGTAGAATTTCCAGAACTAACTAAAAAGCTGCATTCAAACTAAACAAGGCTTAGTAATATGGATAGTTTTTGTAATTCTTGTTTGAAACACTGCTGGTTCCTGGACGGCTGGGTGCCTCAGTGGGTAAGCGGCTGCCCTTGGCTCAGGTCATAATCAGCAGGAGTCTGCTTCTCCCTCTCTCCCACCCCATTGGTGCGTGCTCACTCTTCTCTCTCTCTCTCTCTCAAATACATAAAACCTTTAAAGAAACAACAATAGAAACATTGCTGGTTCTCTAATGTTTACTCTACCAGACTGAAGAATCTTTCCCTTAAGATACCTACGACTTACAGAAACGTGGCATTTATTTGTGAAGAAACTGAAGCATTTAACTCTTCTTTCTACCTGAACCCTCTGAAATTCTAAAACTCTCAGTGAGCTTTCTTCTTACAGAGCAATCACAGTCATTTGCACAAGTTCAAGAAGAATCTATTTGGGGCGCCTGGGTGGCTCAGTGGGTTAAGCTGCTGCCTTCGGCTCAGGTCATGATCTCAGGGTCCTGGGATCGAGTCCCGCATCGGGCTCTCTGCTCAGCGGGGAGCCTGCTACCCTCTCTCTCTCTCTCTGCCTGCCTCTCTGTCTACTTGTGATCTCTGTCTGTCAAATAAATAAATAAAATCTTTAAAAAAAAAAAAAAGAAGAAGAATCTATTCTCCTCACAACAAAACACCACTGGAAATACTGGTTATTTTACCACAGCTTTGACTGGAACGCCATATTTGAGAGACATGCACAGACTCAGATATGACCATAAAGCTTTAAGGGAACCAAGGTTGGCTTTATGAAGCATGAAGTTAACAAAGCCCTTTGGAAGGGTTGGCCCGATCCCTTGTTTACAGAGCTCCCAGCAGCCTTACCAGGGGAGTAAAGAATGTCACGCCCTGGCACAAGCAAGAACCTCAGGAAGCCTCGGGAAACTCGAGAAGAGGAATTCGCCCAAAACTAGAGGTATCGCAGGCATGTCTGATGGCAAGCACTTTGCCTGGCTTCTGGCCTACAGAGGCTACTAAAAGTTCAGTCAAGACTCCTTATAAAAAGTTCCAGGAAAGCAGATTCTAAAAGAGCTATATGATCTATCCCTACTCTTGCTTATGTAAATTATTAGGACAATTTTGTTAAAATGGGACTTAACAATCGAATTAGTCTTCATTTGGCTATCTCTGATTAAAAATGGAGGTTGTTATAGAGGAAAAACAGTTTCAACAACATATCTTTGTAAATATTAGATTTTAAGCACGCAAGACTCAACACTGGGTTTATAATTTGCTCTACCCATTAAACTGTATTTTTTCTTTTGCTTCTATAAAGGTGCTTCTTATTAATTACATAATTGCTTAAATGAAATTGCTTGCTATGCCATTAAGGCCTTAAAGAACTATCAAAATAGCATTAAGATCTTTTCACTGCTGCAGAAGGTGAAACAAGTACTAACATAAAAACAGAATGTGGTGGGGCGCCTGGGTGGCTCAGTGGGTTAAGCCGCTGCCTTCGGCTCAGGTCATGATCCCAGGATCCTGGGATCGAGTCCCGCATCGGGCTCGCCGCTCAGCGGGAAGCCTGCTTCCCTTCCTCTCTCTCTGCCTGCCTCTCTGCCTACTTGTGATCTCTGTCAAATAAAAAAAAAAAAAATTTTAAAAAAAAAAAAAAACCAGAATGTGGTGTATGTATTCCAGATGTCACCAAAATATAAGAGGATTGAGTGAAATTAATGCTTTAAAGGATCTCTCTCTTTCCTTTAGTGCTTGGTTAAAGCTCCGGGACTGCAAGACAATTATGGCCAGCTATCAAAGGTCTTTTGTTCAGGCTTCTCTTTCTCATAATAATATTAACCTTATTTTGTTGCCATTGCCGGTGCCAAGGCTCCTTCCCTGCCATAACTTCCAGCTGACAAGACAATCCTTTCTACTCAAGGAGATTCAGCTATATGTTGTCTAGCTTGGATTAGCCACCTCTGCCTTTGGTAACTCCGACATATAAATTCCCCACTCGGGGCATCTGGGTGGCTTAGCTAGTTATGCATCAGGCTCTTGACATCAGCTCAAGAAAGTCATGATCTCAGGGCTGTGAGATCGAGCCCCACATCAGACTCTTTACTCAGCAGGGTGTCTACTTGAGATTCTCTTTCTCCCTCTGTCCCTCCCCTGCTCATGTACTCTCTTTCAAATAAATAAATAAAATCTTAAAAAAAAAAAAAAAAAATCCCCACCTGACCAATGTCAACCCATGGGTAGGGACATCTCTACATCTTGATTCAGCAGCAGGAAGAAGTTATAAAAGATAAGACCTTCCACCCTCAGCAATCCTAAAGATTTTAAGGGTAGAAACTATTCAGGGGGAAATGATGTGGGAAACAAAGGCAGAAGGAAATATAGATAAAACTAAATTTCCTGTAGCCCAATGACAAATACTTGAGATACACAGTTTAAAATTCCTCCAAGAAACTCCCAACTGTCTTATCATTAGTGCCTTGCTAAAAGGAAAAACAACCTTAGCTTGACAATAGCCAGGCCTCCCTCCCCCATCCTGTCAGTCTTCTTTAGCATATGAAAATCCTTTTGGAATTTCACTTTGTCTTTACTTCCCCCAACTCCAAAGTATATAAGTCACTTGCTCCTCACAATCCCAGGCCAGCAGCTCTTCTCGCTCCAGTAAGCAATTAAGACATTTTTTAAAAGGAAAAAAATCAATAAAAATATTCCAAAGTTTTAAAATTTCTGATTAAAAATATTTCATTTAAAAAGCCAATCAAGGGCGCCTGGGTGGCTCAGTGGGTTAAGCCTCTTAGGCTCAGGTCATGATCTCATGGTCCTGGGATCAAGTCCCAAGGGCTCTCCACTCAGCTGGGAGCCTGCTTCCTCTTTCTCTCTCTGCCTGCCTCTTTGCCTACTTGTGATCTCTGTCAAATAAATAAATAAAATCTTTAAAAAAAAAAAGCCAATCAAAAGAAGCAATAAATAAATAAATAATTTTTTTAAAAAGCAAATAAAAAAATTCACAGATTGCCTATCCTAGACAGGAATTACTACACATTAAATTTTACTGCATAAATGATGAAAAGTGTTAAAACTGTGAAGTTATAACTCCAATGAATTAGTTTATGATAAGGACAGGGAGCCTGCCTGACTCCGTTGGCAGAGCATGTGACCCAGATCTAGGGATCAGAAGTTCAAGCCCCATCTTGGACCTGGAGCCTATGAAAGGAAGAAAGCAAGGAAGGAAGGAACGAAGGAACGAAGGAAGGATGGATGGATGGATGGAAAAATTAGAGGATTAGTAGGTAAAAGCAAAGCCCTACCTGTTTTCCTAGGACGTTTTCATCTTTAAGGGTATCATAGACTTTGGCAGCAGTCTCTCTCTGCTGTGCCATCCCACTGTCTCCTGGACCCTCGTAGGCAAAGTAAGGAAGAATATTTACAAGAATCTTTGGAAAGCAATGTGCTAGAAGACTTTTCCAATCCTCTTCAATCTGATTAGCAATGGACTTAACCTCATCAAAACGACTTCTAATCACCAGATGTGGGATCAAAACCTTGTAACATGATCTGAAAATATAAAATTTTAAAGTATATGTTATATATAACTTCTGTCAAATTTTGTAACATAGCTCTTAAAATAAAAAAAAAATCCTTTACTTAGTAACCATGAGAGCGCCACCTTATCTAGATCACTAAGCATTCTTACTCTAATTCTATAAATGGAGAAATGAAGTTAAATAAATTCTAAATAATCAAATTTAAGAAACAGATCTGAGACTATACCACCCTAATTCTATGATCAAAAAAACTGAACTACATTTATTTCTTTTGCATAACCGACTGATGCAAAATTATTTCATTTATGTAAAATGAAATGTGAAAGAAATTTACAAATTCAAACTATTAATGCCAAACTGTTATTGCCAAAATGAAAGAACGGCCACTGAATAATTACGAACTATTTTCCCATCATCCTGATACCCAAACATTATTCTTTAGTTGTTCCAATCCTCTTCATTTTCAAAATTTTCTTCTCAAGAGTTAAGAATTAGCAAAATAAGTATTTTTACATTAAACTTTAAATCTAATAAAAATAATGACAAAATGGTCCATAGCCAAGCAACAGCAAGGAGAAACAATTTATCTTTGATTTGTCATAGGGAAAATTATCAAACACTGAAGCTAAAAGAACCCTTCAAGACCTTGTAATTCCCTTGTACAGATGGAAAAACGAAGGCCCAGGGGGTGCTTCCATGGCTTGCCCAAACTCACACAGCTCATCATCGGCACAGCTAGGACCAGACCCTAAGTCTAGTGATTCTCTTCCATACATGTCGATTCAAACAAGCAGCCCTGTAAGCACCCCTACAAGTCTTCCAGCTCCATGTGTGTGCACGTGCACATGGAGGGACGTGTGGGTGTATGAACGTGCGTGTGTGTAAGGTGGGGGGAAGGGGCTGCCAAACATTTCCATCTAATTTTAAAATGAACATATTTCATGTGTGCCATAGGTAGACCTACCTATAGAAATCCTCAACATTTGTGTAATTTAGTAAAATAAAAGGAAAAGAATATAAACTATGTTCAGTATCTTGAAGATTTAGCCATTCCAAAACCAGATAATCCAAATGAGAAGCCATGAAGTCTTCCAAACGTCTGTATCCAAATGTTTCAGAAACTTTCTCTAAAACCTGCACAGATCAGAAAAGTCAATGCTTTAAGAAAACAATGAAAAATAAATCACTTAAATCTTTTATTTACAGTAAAACTTTGACGCAATCATTGAAGTATCCTATAGCCTGATTTCCTCATCTAGGAGATGGGGACAATAACAGTACCTGGACTTCTGAGAGACTCAATGAGAAACACGTATTTAATATAATTAGCACTGAGCATAGCACACGGCAAACACTTAGTACATGTTAAATGAATAAAAATGGAAAAATATATTGCTATGTTCAACCTTTCATTATATTTCAAAGGAAGGTCTAAAGGAAAATAATAGTTCTTCTCAGTCCTAGATCTAAATGAGAAAAATCCAACCACTATAATCCACTTATATCAGGTAGTGGAGGGGCGCCTGGGTGGCTCAGTAGGTTAAGTGTCCGACTCAATTTTGGCTCAGGTCATGATCTCAGAGTTATGAGATGGAGCCCGTGTCAGGCTCTGCATTCAGGGTGGGGGGGGCAGGGAGGGGGAGTTTTCCTAGGGATTCTCTTCTCCCTCTCCTTCTACTCCTCCCCTGCTCCCTCTCTAAGATAAGTAAATCTTTAAAAAAATAATAATTAGGTAGTGTAGCAGTATACGTAAAAAAAAAAACCAAAACTTTTTGTTTTAATATGGAGAGGTGATAGATTAGCTTGCGTGAGACTAAGGACCTACAGGTTGGCCTACCAGCCAGTTCCATGGAAATCAGGCCACTGATCTATCACTGGTTCATCACACGAACATCTACAATAGAAAGGTCTGGAACTTTCCAAACCATGAACTCTGAGGTGCTAGACTAGGGCAGAGGCGAGCATTCTAAAATACCGTGCTGGTGCAACTACACGACTGGACCCAAGTGCTCCTTCCCTAGTCGCGCACGTTAGGGGTTTCCCCGCTCCCTGATCTGAGTTCTAGATCCCAAGGCTGTAACCCAGAATCTATCAGGCAAAACACCTGCTACTGCTCGTTTTCTCCATGTGATTTCCTCAATAAAAGCAATTCCAGAGGGCATGGTCTGGAAGAGTTGTCTTTCATTCCTGCTAGTTCAATGAATACTTTGTGAAATGCTTAACAGAAAAAATGATACTGCATCCAAATAAACATACACTATTTAAAGAGTTAACTACTTTCCTATAGTCCCAATCTAAAAAATAAATCGTCTCCAAGTCTTTAACAAGTGCCACTTTAAAGTAAGCTTTAACTTTTTAAATTATTTAAAAGTCACACAAGGAGGATAATAAAAAATATTCATCTACATGTACCTTTTTAACGAGGTGAGGTTCTAATCCGTTTTCTTTCACAGACTTGCATAGTGCAAACAAAGCCTGTTTTTCACAGACTGGGCTACAGCATAAAATCACAGCTATCGTCATCAGTAAAACAGATTTTCTGTTATAGATCTCATCCAAAAGTTCAGGGTTCTCAGCTCTGTGGGACTTGAAAAGAATTTCAAAAATAATAATATAATGTAAATATACAAACATTGCAAATAAGCCTATCAGTCTAAAATCTATTCACCCATTATAACATTTAATAAGCAGCCATTGACCACTGTTACATCTCACAGCGATGGAGTCAAAGCCAGCCAGAGATCTGAGAAAATATCAAAGTTGTTGTAGAGGAATAGCTGTTTTTGATAAGATCTTATGGAAAGAATTCACAAGCATTACAGTAAAGTATAAAGCAGTAAAGAAAAACAAGAAAGAACCTGCAAGAAGGGCAACCTGATGGTTATCAGAGGGGAGGAGTGACGATGGGTTAACAAACTGTGGAAGATGCCCTTCAACATACAAATGGATAAAGATATGGTCCATATACACAACGGAATATTACACAGCCATTAGAAAGGATGAATACCCAACTTTTGTATCAACATGTATGGGACTGGAGGAGATTATGCTGAGTGAAATAAGTCAAATAGAAAAAGATAATTATCATATGGTTTCACTTATTTGTGGAACGTAATAGCATGGAGGACATTAGGAGAAGGAAGGGAAAAATTAAGGGAGGGGAACTCAGAGGGGGAGATGAACCATGAGAGACTACGGACTCCAGGTTTTAGAAGGGAGGGGGTGGGGGAATGGGCTAGCCCAGTTATGGGTATTAAGGACGGCACAGACTGCACGAAGCACTGGGTGTTATACGCAAACAATGAATCATGGAACACTACATCAAAAACTAATGATGTACTGTATGGTGACTAACATAACATAAAAGAAAAAGAAAATAGGATAGAAGAAGAAGGTGAGGGTACTAAGAAGGGCACTTGTGATGGTGAGTACCAGGGGATATATGGAAGTGCTGAGTCACTGTATTGAACACCTGAAACGAATGTAACACTGTACATTGACTGGAATTAAAACAAATGAAGAAAAAAATTGCAAGAAGGTGAGAATGATTATAAGCTCCTTCTCCATGACCAAGTATATATCCTAAGAAGCTTTCATTATCTTTATTATTTGATAGGTCTTTATACTTTAAAAAATACTGTCACATGTATTGTCAAAAGTGAAAATAAAATCCTAGACAACTAGGCAGCTAGACAAAAGAATACATGCTTCTAACTTAATGACCTATCATTATAATATCCCAATAGACGTGAACATTTTTTTTAACTAGCTGTAATTGATAAAAGCTCCTCAGGGGGCCTGGCTGGCTCAGTTGGTGGAGCATGGGATTCTTGATCTCGGGGTTGTGGGTTCAAGCACCCCATCAGGTACAGAGATGACTTAAAAATAAAACCTTTAGGGGCGCCTGGGTGGCTCAGTGGGTTAAAGCCTCTGCCTTCGGCTCAGGTCATGATCCAAGGGTCCTGGGATCGAGCCCCACATCGGGCTCTCTGCTCAGCAGGGAGCCTGCTTCCTCCTCTGTCTCTGCCTGCCTCTCTGCCTACTTGTGATCTCTGTCAAATAAATAAATAAAATCTTTAAAAAAAAAAAAAGTTAAAAAAAAATAAAATCTTTAAAAAGAAAAAAAAAGTTTCTCTTCACATTTTGAAAACTCTGCTGTTCACTGACCCTACTTCTGTTTTTCTGGAACAATGAAAATAGGAGCCAGATTCCTCTACTAAATGGCCATCAATGGCAGACTGCTAGGAGTCCCCCACTACAACAGCTCCTCCACCGGCTTAAGAGAAACACATCTACAGACTCTCTTACATCCTAGTTAAAAATCTGCTTTTGGGGCGCCTGGGTGGCTCAGTGGGTTAAGCCGCTGCCTTCGGCTCAGGTCATGATCTCAGGGTCCTGGGATCGAGTCCCGTGTCGGGCTCTCTGCTCAGCCAAGAGCCTGCTTCTCTCTCTCTCTCTCTCTCTCTCTCTCTCTATCTCTCTCTCTCTGTCTGCCTCTCTGCCTACTTGTGATCTCTGTCAAATAAATAAATAAAATATTAAAAAAAAAAATCTGCTTTTACTCAGAACCAAACCCAAGAAGCTCGCTGTCCTTTTTTTTTTTTTTTTTTAAAGATTTTATTTATTTATTTGAGAGCGAGACAGTGAGAGAGAGCATGAGGGAGGAGAAGGTCAGAGGGAGAAGCAGACTCCCCATGGAGCTGGGAGCCCGATGTGGGACTCGATCCCGGGACCCCGGGATCATCACCTGAGCCAAAGGCAGTCGTCCAACCAACTGAGCCACCCAGGCGTCCCAAAGCTCGCTGTCCTTAATAACGTACAGGGGACCCCGGATTCAGGACAGTATGCTTCTATCAACGATGTCTAGGACAGAATTTGCTTCTTCTGATACTATTACAATGCAGATTCATAGAGTGCTCTCAAGATGTAAAACTTCTTAGGACTTTTTACAAATGAATTTCTATCAGGTCAATATGTTCCCTTTTTGCCCAACACCGGCTAATCTTAAAATGTATGATATACATCTCTATTAAGTTTTTTATTAATCACATTTTTTTCAATCTATTCAAACTTTTTTTTTGAAATTCCTTCTTTCATGCAACTGTCCTTTTCAGTTTCACGCTATCATCAATTAGATAGTATTTGTTAACTGTCTCACATATTTTTTAAGAACATACCAAGGTATAAATAAATTTTCTTTTTTTCTTTTTAAGATTTTATTTATTCATTTGAGAGAGAGCAGGAGAGTACAAGTGGGAAGGAGAGGGGAAAAGCAGCCTCCCTGCTGAGCAGAGAGCATGATGTGGCTCAATCCCAGGACTTTGAAATCATAACCTGAGCCTAAAGCAGACGCTTAACTGAGCCACCCAGGCGCCCCTCTTTTTTTTTTTTTTTTCTAAAATTTTATTTATTTGACAGAGAGAGCACAAGCAGGGGAGCGGTAGGCAGAAGGAGAGGGAGAAGCAGGCTCCCTGCTGAAGAGGGAGCCTGACACGGGGCTGGATCCCAGGACCCCAGGATCAAGACCTGAGCCTCAGGCAGACGCTTAACCAACGGAGCAACCCAGGTGCCCCAATAAGTAAATAATTTCTAACATTCAGGTAATTAAGCCACTAAAGAGAATTATCATTCTAAGGGTGTCTGGGTGGCTCAGTTGGTTGAACGTCCCACTCATAGTTTAGGCTCAGGTCATGATCTCACAGAGGTGAGATCAAGCTCCAACTCAAGTTGTGCTCAGTGGGGTGTCTTCTTGGGATTCTCCCTCTCCCTCTGCCCCCACACACCCATTCCTGCTCGCGCATGTGGGCACACTCTCTCAAATAAATAAAAATCTTTTAAAAAAATATTCAAAGAAATACGGAAATCACAAGGTTCACTAAAAAAGACCAATATAATTTGATCTTCCCTATTAGAACACTTTTTAAAATCCACTTCGTCCTACCACTCCCTATTCTCCAAATTAGCCTCTAATCAGATCTTATAAAAAAAGCTATTTTAAGAAGACTGAAGTCAGGGGCGCGTGGGTGGCTCAGTGGTTAAAGCCTCTGCCTTTGGCTCAGGTCATGATTCCAGGGTCCTGGGATCGAGCCCTGCATCGGACTCTCTGCTCAGCAGGGAGCCTGCCTCCTCCTCCTGTCTCTCTCGGCCTGCCTCTCTGCCTACTTGTGATCTGTCTGTCAAATAAAAAAAAAAAAAAAAAGAAGACTGAAGTCATATCAAACTTTTCCAACCACAGAAGTATAAATTACAAAAAAAAAAGACAATAACACAAACACACAGAAGCTAAACAACATGCCACTGAACTACCAATGGGTGAATAAAGAAATCAAAGAGGAAATTAATAAATGGAAACACGGTAATTCAAAATCTTTGGGACATAGCAAAAGCAGTTCTAAGAGGGAAGTGTATAGCATACCTCAAGAAAACAACCAAAGTCTCAAATAGGCAACCTAACTTTACACCAAATGGAACTGGAAAAAGAACAAAGGGCAAAATTGGTAGAAGGAAGGAAATAAGAAAGACTAGAGAGGCAACGAATAAAAGACTAAAAAAAAAACACAAAAAAATAGAAAAGACCTACGAAACCAAGGGCTGGTTCTTTGAAAATATCAACAAAATTGATAAATCTTTATTTAGTCAGACTCATCAAGGGAAAAAAAAAAAGAACACTCAAAATCAGAAATGAAAGAGGAAAAGTAACAACCAACACCACAGAAAGACAAAGGATTATAGGAGAATACTATGAAAAATTATATGGCAATAAATTGGACAACCTAGAACAAATGGATAAATTTCTAGAAACAGAGAATCCCAAAAATGATTCAGGAAGAAACATAATTTTTGGACAGGTTGCTAGTAAGGAAACTGAATCAGTAATCAAAAAACTGCCAAGAGGACACCTGGGTGGCTCAGTTGGTTAGACGTCTGCCTTTGGCTCAGATCATGATCCCAGGGTACTGGGATCGAGTACCACATCGGGCACATTGCTCAGCAGGGAGCCTGCTTCTCTCTGCCTCTGCCTGCCACTTTACCTGCCTGTGCTCTCCCTGACAAATAAATAAAAAATTAAAAAAAAAAAAAAGAACAAAAACAAAAAAACAGGCCAATATCCCAGAAGAACAGAGATGCAAAAATCCTCAACAAAATAATACCAAAATTCAATAAGACATCGAAAAAGACCATTCACTGAAATCAAGGGGATTTATTCCAGGGATACAAGGATGATTCAATATTCACAAATCAATCAACATGATATGTCACATTAACAAGAGGGAGAACAAGAATCATATGGTCCCCTCAACAGATGCAAAAAAACATTTGACAAAATACAACATCTTTCATGATAAACACTCTAAACAAAACTTTGAAGGAACAAACCTCCACATAATGAAGGCCATCTACGAAAAAACCCCAGCTAAGATTATATTCAATGGTGAATAAAAAGGAACATTTCCCCTAAGATCAGGAACAAGTAAAGGATGTCTATTCTTGACATTTTTATTAAACACAGTACTGGAAGTCCTAGCTGCAGCCATCAGACAAGAAGTAAAAGGCATCCAAATTGCTATGGAGAAAATGAAACTATCACTAGTTACAAATGGCATGATACTATACATAGAAAATCCTAACGATTCCATCTAAAACCTATTAGAACTCAAAAATGAATTCAGCATACTGTTGCAGGATACAAAATTTATACACAGAAATCTGTTGCACTCTTTTTTAAAGATTTTATTTATTTGACACACACACAGCACAAGCAGAGGGAGTCGAAGGCAGAGATAGAAGCAAACTCCCCGCTGAGCAGGGAGCCCAATGTGGGGCAACGATCCCAAGACCCCAAGATCACGACCTGAGCCGAAGGCAGCCCCAACCAACTGAGCCACCCAGCACCCCTCTGTTACACTTTCATACACTAATAATGAAGTAGCAGCAAGAGAAATTAAGAAAACAATGCCATTCACTATTATACCAAAAAGAATGAAAAACTTAGGAGCAAGTTTAACCAAGGAGGAGAAAGACCTACACTCTGATGAAAGAAACTGAAGATGGCACAAAACAATGGAAATATGTATCATGCCTCAGATCGGAAGAGTATTGTTAAAATGGCCATTCTATTCAAAGCAATCTACAGACTTAATGCAATTCCTATGAAAATACCAATAGCATTTTTCACAAAAATAGAATAAATGACCTTATAAAATTTGTATGGGGCCAGGAAAGACCCCAAGTAGCCAAAGCAGTCTTGAAAAAGAACAAAACTAGAGGTATCACAATCCCAGATTTCAAGATACACTACACAGCTACAGTAATTGAAACAGCATGAACTGGCATACAAGAAAGACACAGAGATCAATGGAACAGAAAAAAGAGGCCAAAAATAAACCCACACTTACATGGTCAATTAGCCTACCATAAAGCAAGCAAGAATATACAATGGAAAACAAATAGTATCTTCGATAAATGGTGCTGGGAAAACTGGACAGCTACCTGCCAAAAAATAAAGCTGAACCGCTTTCTTATACCATACACAAAAAAACTCAAAATGGATGTTAGAACTAAATGAGAGGGGCGCCTGGGTGACTCAGTCAGTTAACCATCTGCCTTCAGCCCAGGTCATGATCCCGGGGTCCTGGAAGGGAGTCTACGTCAGCTCCCTCGTCCTCGGGGAGTCTGCTCCTTTTCCCTCTGCCGCTTCCCCTGCTTGTGTTTTCTCTCTCTAATAAATAAATAAAATCTCAAAAAAAAAAAAAAAAAAAAAAGACCTGAAATCATAAAATTCCTAGAAGAAAACACAGGCAGTAACCTCTTGGACAATGACCTTAGCAACATTTTTCTAATGTGTCTATTAAGGCAAAGAAAACTAAAGCAAAAGTAAACCACTGGGACTCCACCAAAATGAAAAGCTTTTGCACACCAAAGGAAACCATTAACAAAACTAAGAGGCAACCTACTGAATGAAAGGAGATACTGGCAAATGATACATTTGATAAGGAGTTAACAACCAAAATATTTACTGTAAAAGAACTTCTACAACTCCACACAGAAACAATTCGATTAAAGAATGGGCAGGGGACCTAAACAGACATTTTTCTAAAAACATACAGATGGCCAATAGACACATCATCATCAGTGAAATGCCGACCAAAATCAGAGCGAGCTATCATCACCTGACAGCTGTCAGAATGGCCGGTACGAGGGAGACAAGAAAGAACAGGTGTTGGGAGGACGTGGGAGAAAGGCAAGCCTCGTGCACTGCTGGTGGGCATGCAAGCCGGGGCAGTTACTGTGGAACACAGTGTAGAGGTTCCTCCAAAAATTGAAAATGGGAATCCCTTATGACCCAAAAATTTCACTACTGGGACCTTACTGAAGAAAGAAAAACACTAATTTGAAAGATATATGCACTCCTATGCAATATTTACAATATCTCAGAGATGGACGTAACCCAAGTGTCCACTGACAAATGAACGGATAAAGATGTGGCAGGTGCGTGGGTATGTGTGAGGGTGTGTGTGTGAGAGATGGAGTATTACTCAGCCATTGGGGGGAAAAAGAGAGAGATCCTGACATCTGCAACAACATGGATGGATCTAGAGAGTATAATGCTAAGTGAAATAAGTTCAAAAAAAGACAAACACCATATGATTTCACTTAATGTGGAATCTACAAAACAAAACAAACAAAAAAATCAGACTTAAATACAGAGAACTGGTGGTTGTCAGAGGGCTGGTGGGTGGGGGGATGGGTGAAATAGAGATTGGAGATGAACAGGTACAAACTTCCATCTATAAAATAAGTCACAGAAATGAAAAACACAGCACAGAGAATATACACAATAACACTGTGATAATGCTATATGGTGACTATACTTAAGACGGGCACTAGTAATTTACAGAATTACTATGTTACATACTCAAAATGAATACAACATCGTAGGTTACCCCTACTTCAATTTAAAAATTTTTTTTAATAAAATAAGAAAGCCATTTGTACTCCCATAAAAATCCAGTAAATTTTGTTTTTCCCACAAAAAAATAGTACATATAAGTTGAACCAAAGAAATTGCCATTATTGGATCAATTCCAACCAATTTCAATTAAGTCACACAGTTATTTTAGTAAACTGGTGGATGCACACTGTCCTAGGCCACACTGGTAAAGTAAGAGATGACATATTTATAAGAAGTATATGATAAGAGCACTTATGCATGCATTACCACTTCTCTCATTCCTTCCAGAGCTTTCAAGTATGCATTTTCAAAAGCTGTTTGCTGAAGCTTCAAAGGAAGTGCTTTCAATAATGTGGACGAGCCTCTGTGTTTCATATCCTGGAATAACCTTAAAAAAAAAAAAAAAAAAAGCAAAAAGTGAAATAATTTTTTTCCTTTAACATTATTTTCTAAAGCATGTCATGGGACACAAATCACATTGTGAGATATAATAGTATACTGGGCCTTCTTTTTAAAAACCTTTGAAATCGGGACGCCTGGGTGGCCCAGTTGGTTAAGCAGCTGCCTTCAGCTCAGGTCATGATCCCAGCGTCCTGGGATCGAGTCCCATATCGGGCTCCTTGCTCAGCAGGGAGCCTGCTTCTCCCTCTGCCTCTGCCTGCCATTCTGTCTGCCTGTGCTTGCTCTCTCTCCCTCTCCCTCTCTCTCTCTCTCTCTCTGACAAATAAATAAATAAAATCTTTAAAAAAAAAAAAAAAAAAAAAATGGGGCGCCTGGGTGGCTCAGTGGGTTAAGCCACTGCCTTCGGCTCAGGTCATGATCTCAAGGTCCTGGGATCGAGTCCCACATCGGGCTCTCTGCTCAGCAGGGAGCCTGCTTCCCTCTCTCTCTCTCTTTCTCTGCCTGCCTCTCTGTCTACTTGTGATCTCTCTCTGTCAAATAAATAAATAAAATCTTTAAAAAAAAAAAAAAAATAAATAAATAAAAATAAAAACCTTTGAAATCTAATCCCATTTAAACAGGTTTATATCCACTGGTTAATGTCAGGTCTTTAAAATATACTCCATTTTCTCCTAGAACTGGAAGGGTCTCAAAAAAATCTATTAGCTTGAGGCACCTGTGTGGCTCAGTGGGTTAAGCCTCTGCCTTCGGCTCAGGTCATCATCTCAGGGTCCTGGGATAGAGCCCCGCATCATCGGGCTCTCTGCTCAGCAAGGAGCCTGCTTCCCCCCTCTCTCTGCCTGCCTCTCTGCCTGCTTGTGATTTCTCTGTCAAATAAACAGATAAAATCTTAAAAAAAAAAAAATCTTTTAGCTTATTGCCCAAAATTGAACAGTCCTGAACTCAAACTAGCCCATAAAGAAAAATTATCCTCTGATCAAACACCAAGCCTTCGGCTCCTGTCCTCATGCTCTAATTTTAAAAAGTGATCTTATCCTGGGGCGCCTTGGTGGCTCAGTTGATTAAATGTCCAACTCTTGATTTCAGCTCAGGTCTTGATCTCAGATCTTACAAGTCCCGTGCTGGGGTCCATGCCCAGCATGGAGTCTACTTCAAAAAAAAAAAAAAAAAAGTGATTTTATCCTGCAAAGTGGATAGCTTTACGCCTTGATGATCTATTTAATTTCTTCATGTGATGGAAAAAAGCTGATCAGTGCTCTCTGCATAATATCCTATCATATTTAAGAACAACTCTGCTCAATTTTGTCCCTTCTGCTTTTTTAGTAACCAAAGCCTTTACACTTTTTTTTAAAAGATCTTATTTATTTATTTGACAGAAAGAGAGAGATCACAAGCAGGCAGAGCGGCAAGCAGAGGGAGACGGAGAGGCAGGCTCCCCACCGAGCAAGGAGCCCAATGCAGGACTTGATCCCAGGACCCTGGGATCACGAGCTGAGCCAAAGGCAGCCGCTTAATCGACTGAGCCACCCAGGCGTCCACTTTTACACTTTTTGGTGCTCCTCTGATTCCTCCAGTTTCTCTAACATCTCTTAAAATAGCGCAATATTAAATATCAACAATAACCAAAAAAAAAAAAAAAAAAAAAAAAAAACCCAAAAACCAAAAACCAAAAAAATCCCAACAGATGTTATATTCATGCCATTCTTGAATGTATACATTTTTTAAATCTTCCAAGAGGTTTTCCAAAGCCACACTGCACTGTGTTCTTACATTGTTCTTACATTCATTACATTGTGGTTCTCCACACCCCCAGATCTTTAGCTTTTGTGTTCATCTTCCGTCTTTTAAGGACTAAAGAAAAGCTCACATTCTTGAGCAACTTTGCACTCACAAGGCCAGTCCTGAAAAGCATCCCATACCTGAGGGATTAGACACGATTCTGATTTGTGAAAACACTACTGTCCGCATACTCAAACTGTGCACACATTTGACTACTGTGCACACACACACTGTGCACACATAACTAACATACACATTTACGTGCCTGCTGGGGAACTTCCTTATAGCAAGCATTAATTATTGATCACTTACATCCAAATAGTAGTTACCCAAATGATTTTCAGTTTTGGCGTTTTCTGAAGCATAAATTCCTTTTTCAAACATTCATTTATTTTATAAATTACTGAACACCTACCACGTCATTATTTTTTTTGGTGCTGAGTATGCAGCAATGAGCGAAAACAGATAAAAAAAACCAATGCCTTCTAGCAGCTTCTATTTAAGCTAGATGTGTTATATTTAAAATATAACATTTCATTCCTTTTTTTAAAGATTTTATTTATTTATTTGACAGAGATCACAAGTAGGCAGAGAGGCAGGCAGAGAGAGAGGTGGAAGCAGGCTTCCTGCCGAGCAGAAAACCCCATGTGGGGTTCGATTCCGGGACCCTGAGATCAAGACCCGAGCAGAAGGCAGAGGCTTAACCCACTGAGCCACCCAGGTGCCCCTAAAATATAACATTTCAAGTGGTCATACATGCTACTGAGAAAAATAAAGGAGAGAGGTACTTTACCTATAAGGAGCGTAAGGTGGGAAAGGCAGAGATGGGGCAGAATTTAGATCTTAAAAATCACCTGGACCACCTGAGAAACATGCAGTCCTGGGAAACTGACACTGCTTCTGCAAGGACTCGAACATGAAACAGGTCTCTATGACAGGCTTACTCCAGTGCCTAACTGTACATTCACTCACATGAATCTGACTGTAATTAGCACACAGTGAAATGTGCTCATTTTCATTGTACAAACTCCTGTAAAATCACAGCCCCATCCAAACGGTCCATCCGTCCCGTGAGTGAGAGCCAACACGCCTCATCCGGCTCCACCACTTACTGGCTGGATGGCACCGAGCAAGCTACCTTCTCTCTCGCAGCCTCTTTTCATTTACAAACTGCAGGCAGTAAGGGTAACCAAGGGACGGGACTGTCAGAATTAAGGGAAAGCGTCACTGCCAGGCGGACAGTGTATTCTCAGCGAACGCAGGCCTCTTCCTGGCTACGTGACCCTGCCACGCGCAGCATCCCAGAACTGCAGGAAGACAGGCCCCGTTACCTGTTGACGGACTCGGCAGCCAACATGCTAACTTGATGATGACGATCACCGAGAAAATGTGGAAATACTTCGTTTACAGGAAAGTCTTTTCCCATTACATTAAGAACAGCCCATTTTGAGTAAGGATCAGTCTATGGGAAAAGAACAAATGGTGTCAAATACAAAATACTAAGAGAAAAATCACCCACTGACAAAAAGAAACAAAGGCTACTTTAGAAATTTCAATGGAGACCTTACTAATAATTAACATAGACTAACTCACCTCAAGCAAAGTTTTAAGGCACTTTACTAGTGCCATTCGTACAGAGAATGTGCATTTCCCCTCCTTTGCTAGGTGCCTGAAATAAAGTAAGTGTTTCAAGGTCAAATAATTATTCCAGTAAAAGCACAGTGTAAAAAAAATAAATCATTGGATATTACACTTTTTCTAACTTCTAATTATTCTTATTCTTCCAAAATCTCTTTCCATACTAAATTTCTCATCATGTGGCATATACCAGTCAATATTCTTAACTTTCATAAAAGAAGTTAGCTTGAAAATGAGTTCATTTCAGGGGCACCTGGCGGCTCAGTCAGTTAAGCGTCTGCCTCCAGCTCAGGTCATCCTGGGATGGCACCTGTGTTGGGCTCCCCACTCAACGGGGAGTGTGTTTCTCCCTCTCCTCCCAGGCAATGCTCTCTTTCACTCATTCTGGCAAATAAATAAATAAAATCTAAAAAAAAAGTTCATTTTAATGTATATTATTTGTTTTATATAATTATGACTCCTCTAGGGGCTATCATACTTCAGCAAACCATGTTATAAACTTGCTTTAAAAGGAAAACATTTGTAAAGTTCTGTGTTTTTTTTAAAGTTTTTTTTAGTTATTTATTTGACAGAGTGAGAGATATCACAAATGGGCAGAAAAGCAGGCAGACAGAGAGGGGGAAGCAGGCTCTCCACTGAGCAGGGGACCCAGTAGGGGGGCCTCGATCCCAGGACCCTGAGATCATGACCTGAGCGGAAGGCAGAGGCTTAACCCACTGAGCCACCTAGGCGCCCCTGTAAAGTTCTGTCCTTATAACAAAGATTTTAAAACCATATTCTGTATCAATTCAAAAGGCCTTATCGATCTGGTGGGTCCGAGGGTTCTAAATTACACATATGCGCCCCTCTGTCAGTATCATCAGGTTACGTCACACTGCGACTACACACACAAAATACCCAGAGAGTGACACGGCCAATGTGTTCGCTAGTTCTTCAAGCAGCTAAGGAGGGAGACAGAAGCTACATTCTACTATTGTCAAAAGTTGTATATAGTTACATTCAACATTAGCCTAAGTCTCTAAGGTAGAAACGCAAAGTTGGCAATTGTATCCAGAGTAGTAAAAGAGAATTAAGAACTCCGCACACTGCTCCGCACCTACCAGAATGCTCCAATCACTGTTAGCAACTGCCCTTGAGCATCCCTTGTGTTTTCAGCGTCCATATCGCCTTGACACAGGTTCCTTACTACAGGAACTAAGTGGTTTAAAACTGTTCTACAAACATCCTGGTCACGGCGATATAAAGAACACACGTTGCTGCAACAGAGAAAGTTTACCTTTGTGAGAATAACAGAACACAGCAGTTCATTTATAAATTTTAAGTGAATGTAATACATGGTTTTAATTTCTTACGAGAGTGGTTTTAGAAGTTCAAAAACCTCTTCTATTGGCAAAGGATATTCTTCTCCAGGAAGCTCCTTTAAAAGCACTAGATACTAAGATAATTGAAGGGGGGAAAATTATTTTTTTTTTCATAAATCATTTGCTGAAGTATATATGTAACCATAAATTCATCAACACATGCACACATACACACCTGCACACAAAAAAAGACCAGTGAATTTCTAAAGGAGGCAAGATGGTTAAAAAAAAAGTCTGAAGTTAAACAGAGCTGGATTCAAATGCCAGCACTCCAGCCTGTTACTTGTGTGGTTAAAAAACTGGCCTTGTCACCTGAGCCTTTGGACTCTCACCTATAAAATGGGGATACAGCATGTACCCTGTGAGGACTAAAGGAAATGAATGTAACTGTCTAGCATTTATTGCAGAATTCCTTAGGTAGGTAGTTGTTTTCACTGTTGGGGTTGGGGTTAAGATCCTGAGCAAGAATCTGAAACTATTGTTATGCCTGGGGATGAGATTTCAATGGTAAAAACAGTTACAGGAATAAATTTTGGACAGCAGAGATAATGGTGGGCAGGGAAAAAGTCATAAATACCCTGAGTTACCCTCTTATCAAGCAACCGTGTAGGGTTCCCCAGCTACTGTGGACACCAAGAAGCACGCAGCAACCATCAGGTATAATCACGGTAGGTACAAGCAGGCAGCGGGTTTCTGAGAGCTGCCAAATCCCTTTCTAGCTGTAGTAAGAAAGGAGAAGACATCATTTCCCACCATCTGTATGTAGAAAAAGGTTTCTTACTCCTCAGATTATAAAAGAAGACTAACCTGGACCATTTTAAATACTTGCCTTGAGAGTCATACATGTGATGTTTCTGAGTGTCTTCAACTGATTTTAAGCACCAAAGCCTCAAGAAAAGCACACATCCCTTCTTACTGGCCAGGGCTGGAGACTTGACTAGTTTGCCAGGGTCAAAACCAGGAAAACAAATAGGGCTCAGCCAAGCACCTTTGCTGGGCATGGAGGATCAACCAGTTTGTTCTCCGAGGGAACATGACAAGGGATTCTACCAGGGACTTAACCCACCTGACTGAAAAAGTTCTAATCAACCCCTGGCGTGTTTCCCAGGGCTGAGGAAACACAGGCACATTTGCCAAGTTGCCGGGCCTGGGGACGTGCCCGGTGGACTCACCCCGCACACCCACTGAGCCAGAGGCTCTCCCTCAGAGTTCACTGGTGCTGGGGCGAAGGGGACATTGGCCTACACGGTCAGGGGGTAAAAGTTACACAAAAGAATTCTGAGTAAAAAAGTAACTGTACTGAAGTTAAGTGGGAAGCCAGCTTTCTTACTGTTGTAAAACAGAGCTACAAATATAGAAAGAGAAGAAAACAAATTCTACGATGTTGGACTGGAGCTGGAAGTTTCATCTATCAGTAGAGAGATTGATGGTAGTAGGGCAGGAGAGGGATCCCTTTTCTGACATTCTGACCAAAACCTAAATCTAAATCTAATTACAGGAAATAGACAAACCTACAGAGGGGGCTCCTAGAGAGCAAGCGGTTGTACTATTTAAAAATACGAAGGTTAGGGCACCTGGGTGGCTCATTGGGTTGAGCCTCTGCCTTCGGCTCAGGTCGTGATCTCGGGGTCCTGGGATCGAGGCCCGCATTGGGCTCTCTGCTCAGCGGGGAGCCTGCTTTTTCCTCTCTCTATGCCTGCCTCTCTGCATAGTTGTGATCTCTCTCTCTGTTTCAAATAAATAAATAGAATCTTTTAAAAATAAATAAATAAATAAATAAAATAAAAAAAAATACGAAGGTCAGAAAAGAGAAGGAGAAACTAAGGAAGTACTCCAGGTTCGAAGAGACTGAGCAGACTTTACAGCTAGTCGCAATGTTACAATGTTAGTTTCCCAATTAGACTGTACTTATGTAGGAGAGGACACTGTCTTTAGCACATACACTGAAGAATAAGGGACATCATATCAGCAAATTAATCTCAAAATGATTCAGAAGACATACGTGTGTGTCTGTGTGTGTGTGTGTGTGTGTGTGTGACAGAGAGAGAGAGAGAGAGAGGGAGCATGTACGCACACAGAAAGAGAAAATGAAAAGGCAAATTTGGCAAAAATGTTAACTGTGCAAGTGTATGAAGGGAAGAGGAGAATTCCTATTGTACTGAAACTTTACCGTCACTTTGAAATTATATCAAAAAATATTTAAAGTGTATTATTAGCAAACTGGAATTTTAAAAAATTGGTAAAGAAACAAAATAGTTACAGCAAAAACAAAACTTTAAAGCAAATAAACTAAGGTCAAGGCCAAGATTCAGAGTTCAACTACAAGGTTATATATTATTTTTACATTAGAGTCTGTGTTTCTTAGCCTGATTTAAAATAACTTATAATAATTATTTATGCCTGAAGATAGTAAATCTATCCAGAGTCCACGAAGTTTTAACATTTAAGGATCCACTTAAAATTTTTCACAGTACATTACAGAAAAAGTGTATTACATAACTAGCATCAGACTCATTCTCTGGGGAAGTAATTTCAAGCCATCAAAGGTACTACATGATTGTTACATGTCAGTCTGTTACATGTATCCAGCAACAAAAGAGAGAACTGAAGATGTGTCACTTTCCCTTAACTCACCATGCGTAGGTGGAGAGATTTAGCAGGGTCTAGCATGCTAGTATCCACTAACATCAACAATTTCCTCCGAATGTCGGCCGCTCTAAATGACACAGTTCCAGTCTGAGCAGTAGTTGTACACACACACAAGAACTTGAGCATGTCTAAAAAGAGTAGATCTTGCTTTGACAGATGTTCTTCAGCTAAAGGATTCATGGCACCTGAAAATAAAAACATTTATTAAGACTAAGAGAGGGATACCACAAACACATATACTGAACATTAGCTCAAATATCCTCCTGACTATGGGGGGAAAAAAAGACAGAGCAAAGTATATGGAAAGCAAGATTATGGTGAGATAGATTACACACTAACAGCTTCAAAATTCTTCATGGAAAGTTACCCTAGGATTCTGTCATCCAGAAATAATCTATGAGAAAATCTACACAGACAAATTCATTGCAATATTGGTAATTAGAGAAAAAGGAATCTAAATTTCTGACAAGAAAAAATGGTCAACTGAATGATGATATATGTGTTAACTGGAATATGATGAAGCCATCAAGAAGGATAATTATCAATACAAATAGCTTAATAAAAAATGCTTATAACTGCTGAATGAGGTTTAAGAAAGTATTTGAACACTAACGCTGATTATAATGGAAAAAGGTTAAGAGTGATAACTGTATGGGTCTTTTCACTCTCCTGCTTTGTGTTTTCCAAATAATCCATCACATAGATCTGTTTCTTCAGTAAAGAGTTTAAATTCCTCTTATGAAGAAGAAAACAGTAAAATTCAATTAATAATTAGAACAATCTAAAGTACACAGAAGGGAACAAACCTAACAGACTACATAAGGGAAAATAAAATGAGCATAAAGGTGGTATGTACGAGGCCTTCTGCACTGCCCAATCCACACAGAGAGGTGAAAGAAGTCCGAAGCAGTGAAAGTGTATTTACCGAAGGTGCTCCCGCTATCTCCAGACACAGCCGCGTCACTAGTGCCGCAGGCAGGGGCGTCACTGAACAGATGCATGGACGACTGGTCCTCCACCTCCATCAGATTCTCATCAGGATCGTCCTCCATGGATTCTACTTCTCCCAAGTCCAGGGGCTTTCTGATAAAGGACGCCTTCCAAGAAGGAAAAGAAAGATGTTCGATTGGCTTCTTTCAGAAGTATGATGTAGTTAAAATTCATCTAGTCAAACAATTCAGATTCAGGTGTATGAACACTGCAGTATTTCTATTAAGTGCCCAACAAAGAAAAACGGATAAACTGTAATATGTCTATGTAATAATACTATGCAAACTTTTAAGATAATTTTTTCCAGTTTTATGTAAGAGAGAGAAAAGGAGAAGGACAGAGTATGCTCGAGCAGGGGGAGAGGGAGGGAGAGGATGCCCCAGCAGACTCCCTGCTGGGCGTGCCAGGAACGTGCGATCACAACCTGTGTGAAAACCAAGAGTTGACTGCTTAGCCAACTGAGCCACCTAGGAGCCCCCAAATAATTTCCTATATTAAGGATTTTAATTCCCAAAATTGATGAGCGTATGGGGAGAAGAATAAATTGGTATGACTATTTTGGAGGAAAGTGACAATATCCATCAAAAAGTCAAACAAAAAATTCCACTGCTAGAATTTATTCTACACCCCTCATATGCACAAATACAAATAGACAAAAGTACAAGAATCTTTGCTACAAAAACTCTAACAATAACAAAAAAATAGAAACCACTTCCAATCTTAAGGTCAGATGGGCTAAAAATACAAATATACGATTCCCAATAATGAAATACAATGATACTATTTAAAAAAGGTAGGGGGCGCCTGGGTGGCTCAGTGGGTTAAGCCGCTGCCTTTGGCTCAGGTTATGATCTCAGGGTCCTGGGATGGAGTCCCGCTTCGGGCTCTCTGCTCAGCAGTGAGCCTGCTTCCCCCTCTCTCTCTCTGCCTGCCTCTGTCTACTTGTGATCTCTCTCTGTCAAATAAATAAAATCTTAAAAAAAAAAAAAAAGGTAAAGACAACGGCAGCATGCAGCAATATGGAAAAATGACCAAGATTTATTATTAAGTGAAAAGAACTAAGTTACAGAATATTTTTTCATTTAACATATATTTGAGTATCTACTGCGTGTGCCAGGCACTGTTCCAGACAAAAAAGTACGTGTAGCTTAAGTTTATTTGTATGGGAAAAAAAAATACCATGATGAAATTATGTTGCTTATCTGGTAAAATTGTTTTTAATTTTTATTTTTATCAGAAGAGCACAAGAGAGTGTACAAGCTGGGGTGCGAGAGGGGGCTGGGGAAGGAGAAGAGAGAGGGACAATCTTAAGCAGATGCCACAAGCAGAACAGAGCCTGACACTGGGTTCCATCTCACAATGCTGACATCATGAACTGAGCTGGAACCAAGAGTCAGATGCTCAACGACTAAGCCACCCAGGGGTCCCTTTTGTTTTTATTTTTAAGGACAGATGATTATTTTGAATTTTGCTACAGTGTTAGACAGAAGTAAGTATGAGCCTGGATGATTAGTTTCTAATCTTTCAATCTATTTTCACTACTAAGAAATTAAAAGCTGAGCGGTATGCAATGCACCAACCTTAAGAAGCAAACAGTATGTTCCTCCCTAAAACCAAGTTAACTGTAATTTCCATATTTAAAAAAATACACAAGATGCCACGTTTTGTGAGATGCATCCCTACTGAAGAGAGGTATCTATGAAAAAAATCTCAGAATCAAGAAAATAGGGTGGTAAAACAAACATACTCACCAAACTTCTACAGATATCTGCAATATCATTCATGAGCTTTGATGTCAACAATCGTAGGAAAAATCTAGATGCAATTTTATTTGGACTGGGCTGTAATTAAGACAAAAAAACAAAGCAAACAAAATAGAAAGTTATCTTTGGCAGGTAATATTTTCTCTAACTTAAATGAAATATAGATTTTTTTTTTTTTTACACTGGAAATTCTCTATCGTTAAGAAGCATAAATAAACAGGTTACTATTAGGGCCAAGACATAAACTGCATTAACAACACTAACCTCTTTTTTTAAAGTAATAACTATAGTCCATTAAATTGTGTATAAACATTAAAGTAAAATACCAACTATTGACCCTAAACATAAGTAATAACTGTAAGTTAGAGTTCATTCTTCCATGTCTCTCCTTTCCCATTTACAAAAAAAAAACAAAAAAAACACACACAGAAAAATACCTTTTTTTTTTTAGTTTAAGAAAAAAAAGAAAAACACATTACAAAATCAAAAGTATATGCTGGTAATACCATTATACAGCCATGCAGTTATCATCAGCTTTCAAAAATGTTTTTTTCCAACTATTACCAACACTCTGGGCTGGTTCAGCTACACCTGAGGTTTGTTCTCAATCAAAACGAAGATTCCGCAGAATGGCACTTTCCACCGAGTGGTACAGAAGACTGTCCAGGCAGAAGAGAGTAATGGCTTCATGGTGCTCGCTAGCCCAGGCATGGTGGTAGGCACATTACACAGCCAGCAGTCAACAGTTTTTATGAAATGAGTAATAACGTGGGCAATAAAAGAATCGCCCATGTAGTTGTGCATAAAAGCAGTAAAATAACCTCTGAAACCATCCTGAAATGCTGAACTTATCCCATGAGAAACTCAGATGACCTGTGCTTCTTTATTCCTTAGTTGCTACCTCTATTTAGCACTCACTCTAACTTTCAATCCGTGTATAAACCCAAAACCCAGTTACACCACCAACCAACCCACCAGGTACCACCTCCCACACTGACCAGTCACGTAAGCACATCGTACCTTGGTACAGTTGCATAAGCAACCGGTACAGAGAGTCATCACATTCCTCAGGGAAGCAACCCTAGATTCCTCGTAGGTCTTATTTTTGAACAGAGTGATACTTTCTCCTGCACACTGCATTAGAGACTATTAATAAAAGAAGGAAAAATCCAAACTCCAGTTAAAATTACAGTTTTGTGATTGCTTTTTAAACTTTTACTTAAGAAGTAAAATTAAGTGCTTCGAGAAGTTATATTTGGTTGGGATGCCTAGGCACCTGGGCCCGCTAAGTGTCTGCCTTCAGCTCAGCTCATGATCCTGAGGTCCTGAGATTGAGTCCTGCATCAGGCTCCTTGCTTAGTGGGAAGCCTGCTTCTCCCTCTGCTCCTTCCCTTCCCCCATTCTTTCTTTCTGTCTCTCTGACAAATAAATAAGATCTTAAAAAAAAAGGGGGGGGGATTATATTTGGTTATATAATGTAATTAAAAATCATGGTAGAAATTTTTTAAAATTATCTTACACCCAGTTATCCTTACCAATCATACCACTGACTGAAGAGTACTCAAGGATGAAAGTTTCACACTTAGAGCCTACCTATATAAAACTCAACAAGGATTCTTCAAAACAATCACAGGGGGAAAAATTTTTTTTAAACATTTTATTTATTTATTTATTTATTTGAGAGTGAGAGAGAGAGCATAAGCAGGGAGAGGGATAGAGGAAGAGGGAGAAGCAGACTCCCTGCTGAGCAAGGAACCCAACTCGCGAGTTGATCCCAGAACCTGGAGATCAAGACCTGAGCCAAAGGCAGATGCCCAAATGACTGAGCCACCCAGGCATCCCACAGGAAAAACTTTTAAAAGTGCCCATAAAAATCAGTATTTTTGTTAATAAGATTAAATTTAATGTGTATGATTTCAATTATTCTATTCATAGTTGGTTTACAGTAACTGCAAGTGTTAAGGACAGTACCGTTTCTCTCAGGTGGCATAAATGAAAGAGCTAACCTATATAAAAATTTTCTTTTTTCAAGCAAGTATACCAGTTCTCCCAGGAATATATTCCTTCAAATTTATCCAAAACTTGACCTGAATAAATTTTCATACCTTGGCTTTCTGGAACAGTTCTGATCTATATGCTTCCTCTTCAGCTACTACTCCCACGTAACAGTAGCATCCAAGAACACCCACCAGAAGACTCGAACACCGGATAAGCGTTTCTGCATTTGTAGTCTTATAGTAAAACAAAAAATAAAAAAATACTCATTTCATAAATAATTGAGTAGTGCACGGTTATTGTTTGTAAGAACAAATTTATGTACCTATTAAGAAACAAGTTTAGCTAATGGAGTTAATAGTGGCATGATTCTGATTATCTCTATCAACATCAAAGAGACCCCTGCAGAGTGGTAACTAGGATTCTCAGGAAAAAGAGAAGTACTTCCTAATGGCCAGGTTAAGTATCTGTCTCCTCCTAAAGTGGCACAGAGGACCACACACATAGACCCTTAACATTTGAGGTAGGCGAGGAGAGAAGAAAAAAATGGTAGACAGATAAAAGTCAGTAACTCTTAGAACATGGGCAGAAATCAGATTCACATAAAGATATATTCAAATGACATTCTGACCTCTTCTGCAGGATAAGAACCTTGACATATTCAGCTTTTTAGACTCCAGAAACCAGCACAGATTTTTCCAAGTAGATACCACATAGCCAATTTTATAAAATTATTTACAAATTTCTAGCAGCTACACAGAAAAGATGTTCAGACTGCTTTGTTCCTATCCAGTAGGAAATGGCATTTTAGGGGAAAACACAGAAGACTGTGTTACAAAATGGTTACAACTGTGATCTGGGAGAATGCCAGTAACTAAGGACAAGGCATTCTGTCTCTTCTCTGGTTCTCTGGGTCATCATCTTTGGCTACTGAATTCACTCCACTGAGTAACTTGCAGATTTTATTTTAGTCAACAAATATTTAATCATTTACCATATTATAAGGCTTTGTGGAAGACACAAAGATTAATAAAAATATATATGCCCCTCAACGAGCTTAAAGCATGGTTTGAGACATTTGTGTATAAAACATACAAATAACCATAGTACAAGCAGTACAAGGAAGATGTTAAGTCTCACTTTAAAAAGAAATAAGTACTATGAAATTAAGTACTATGAAAATTAAAAGATCAATTACCATGGCTTAGATTATCTAAGAATGGTTTTAGCAGGATTTTGACACATGGATGAATTGAACATACAGAAATAAGCAGATTAAAAAAAAAGAAGAAATACGCAGAAAGACATTAACTTCATGTCAAAAGAAATGAGTTTTGGCAAGAGAACAGCACACACAAAGAGATTTTGTGATCTTAAGAAGGCAAAGGAAATGATTTATGAGAAATTACTAGTGACCTCTAAAATATGGGTGACTGCCAGTTCCTCTATTACATTTTTTAATCACTTCTTCAAGTGTTACCCAAATCTATCAGATCAGTTTAAATGATGTTATTATTTCCTGTTATTCTAACATCTCCCTCCTCTTTATGGAGCCGTTCTTTCTCATCATTGACTTCCTATGCTCAAAACCATTATTACTCTCCACTAATGTACCCAAGGAATTCTACTTATTCAATGTCTACTAGAATTCCCGGTACCAAAGAAACACAAATTATTCTTCTTGGGTTTTCCTTCTTTCATGCTCAATTTTCCCTATTTGTACACATTTGTATACATTGTCACTTTGTTTTTTTAATCAAACCTCTCATCATCCTTAGGGCCCTTCCCGCCCATTTCTCCTTCCTAACCGTCCACCAAAGTTGAGTCAAAGACAGGCCTTAGTTCTTCTGAAGATCTCACCTCAGGCGAGTAGTTATTTAAAAGCTGTTCTGATAATCCCAGGAGATAGCGATCCAGTGACTCCTTGAGGTTTTGGTGGACAGAAAAGCCTACGGTGGCCTGGTGCTTTTCTACAGCACATTCTTTCACAATGGTTAAAAAATCCATCTTGTCAAAAGTTGTTTGAAGAAATAGTTCTTCAACTTCTGAGAATGAAGGCTCTTCTTGAACTTTTTGGTGTTGTTCACTTCAAAAAAGTAAGATCTTAAATGACCAACTGCTTCACCTCTATACAGCAGCAATATGTTACAAACGAACATGTTAATTTTGTGCCTCTGTTATTCACACACTGCTTATACAGAGTTCATGGATTATCCTTTTAAATGCTTCTCTTCTTGGAATTGATACTACCTGCACCAGATTTCATTATGTGGTAGCAAATTTTATTAATAGATGGATGAAAATATACAGGTCACAATCTCCAGGCAAATTCAGAAAGTATTAAGAAAGAAAACATTAATAACACCAAGCATAAACACTAAGATAAACATTATCTGAAAATATTTTCCTTTTTGCCTATTGATTTCTCCGAAATGAAGGAGTTTTTCATCCTCTCCCCTCTCCAGGGAGATTAGGAATCTTCACGCCAGTGAGTCATTTTCAGCCACAACGATAAACACAAGCCTCTTGAATCAATCAACTAAAATGAGATCTTTATATTTATTTTTACTTTTCCTATCCTCCATTAACCATTAGTTTTAAAGCTAACAGATTTTACTGGACATACAAAAATGGATCACATCTTTAAAGAATTCATTGCTGGAACGCCTGGGTGGCTCAGTTGGTTAAGCGGCTGCCTTCGGCTCAGGTCATGATCTCGGCGTCCTGGGATCGAGTCCCACATCGGGCTCCTTGCTCGGCAGGGAGCCTGCTTCTCCTTCTGCCTGCCACTCTGTCTGCTTGTGCTCACTCTCACTCCTCTCTCTCTCTCTGACAAATAAATAAATAAAATCTTTAAAAAAAAAAAAGAATTCATTGCTAACCTTCCATCACCATCATTACCTTCCAATGGCAAATGTCACAAGCTCTGCTACAGAGAATGAAAAGACCGTCAACTGGATCAAATATCACAGCTGCAGATTACTGTCACTGAATTAAAAAAAAGCTTTTCCCTAATAGGCTAATAGTTATGATGTTTTTTAAAACTGATCAACTTAGGGGTGCCTGGGTGGCTCAGTTAAGTGTCTGCCGTCAGCTCAGATCATGATCCCAGGGTCCTGGGCTCAAGCCCTACATCAGGCTCCCTGCTTAGCGAGAAGCCTACTTCTCCCTCTCCCACTCCCCCTGCTTGTGTCCTCTCTCTCATTCTCTCTGTCAAATAAATAAATAAAATCTTTAAGGAAATAAAAAATAAATTGATCAACTTATTTCCTAATTTTTGAGATGTAGCTACTACTCTGCTGAAATTATTACCTTTGTAATTAAAGCCATAACTTAAAACAACACAGAACTCTTATTAGGTAACATACCATTCTGGCACTCTTTGGAGAAAATTCATTGCAGCTTTACAGTTTTTCACAGTGAGACTCACAAGAATTTTCTCTACTGCAAGATGAGGAAAATTACTACAAAGAAAAAAAAAAATCTTCACTTAGAAGACCAAAAGCCACGTAAAGCATTCTCCAAACTTACACATCATGTCTGGCTGTAAATCCTGACCTCTAAAACCTGGATCCAAAATTAAAATTTCTTTCATCTCTACTGAATTTTTTAACATCTAAAACAAGAATTAAGAAGCAGACACTTTATGTCACTATTACTTTCAATACTTTCTGGCAGCAGGCTTGTCCAATTTTTAAAAATCATTTCTAAAATAAGTAAGTTAGAAATTAAAGCAAAAGCACTAGGATCCAGGCCCCAGGCTGGCTCAGTGGTTGAGCATCTGCCTTCGGCTCGGGCCGTGACCCCAGGGTCCTGAGATCAAGCCCTGCATCGGGCCCCCTGCTCAGAGGGAAGCCTGCTTCTCACTCTCTTACTCTGCCTCTTGTGTTCCCTCTCTCACTGTCACACTCTGTCAAATACATACATACATACATACATACATACATACATACATACATACATAAATAAATAAATCTTTTTAAAAAAAGAAAAGAAAAGCACTAGGATCCAAAGGTCTGTCCTAAGTCCTTCAGTCCCGCCTACCAGCTGTGGAAAGGTTACAAGGAACAGCTGCTCCCCCTCCTGGTGTTTAAGCCTCCTTCTGTCTGTCTCTAGGGTCCTCCCCACATTAACTGAACACCTGTCACCGAGAATATACTCTCATCATGATTCCAGGATACGTCTGCATCAGAGATACGTTCAGACGAAACCAGTCACAGAAAATCACAAGGAACACAGAAGTGCTCAAAGAACTGTAATTCCTATTATTCAGGCACATCCCCCTTATTCTCACCGTCTCCGCGGAGATAAGAACAAAGTAAAAGAACAGAAACAAAGATCCGAGCAGAGACGCAGAATGGCATAAAAACAAAGGGCCTGTTAGCATCTGGAGTTAGCTCTGAGAAATGCTGCATTTCCACGGCAAAGAACAAGCCACCTCCATTCAGATAATGGCGTGTACGTAGGACACAAAGAGCGGCCATGCACTAACAAGCTCGTTACCTGTGAAGAACTGGTGGCAGCTCTGTCCTGTCTTCCAAGTCATCCTCTAACTGAGAGAGTAAGAGCCGTCTCATTATCAGTTCCTTTAAAGAACAACTTCTATTTACTTCACATATACTCTGCTCCACTCCCGTTTTTACAGTTTCTGGAACCCCACAGATGGCCATGGCCAGAGTCAGGCAGCAGACTGCAGGACTACAACAAAGCAAAGGACGGCCGCTGTTAAAAATCAGCTCTTTTCTTTTCCCAATCCTAGAAGTTCTTTATTTTCTCTAACACAGCTGCTAGGAGTTGACAATTTGCCATAGGTGGCACCATGAGAATAACCAAAAGTAGACTGAGTGTGACAGAAGACCGACAACATGTTTGACACCCTTGAGGGACAGAACAGGAGAGTCAAGAAGGGGAGAGAATCACTGCAGGAGGAGACTCGTCCGTGTTATTCCGGCAGGAAAACCAGCAATGCATCCATTTTAAGCATTACCAGTTCACTTCCAACTTTGCTCCCTCAAGGACAACTTGAATCTCTTGGGCAACCAAAGTCTCACCATGAGTAAAGCTTTCAGCCTGAGGCTTCTGCTCTTTTGCGTGAGTTTTCAAGATATGCTTCCTGACTTCCTACGAGTCCCTTAGAAGGATTCAAATTTCTTGTTCTATAGCAGATTGAGTTTCTAGATTCAGTGTCCCTGTGTCACTGCAGGTCGTAACTCCAAGCTCTGCACTCATTCCAAAATTTGTTAACCATCCTCTTTGCTAAAAAATAAGCTCTTTTAGGTAGAAAGACCTTGTCTACCGTATTTACCACCGAGCTGCTACTAACGCTTAAGATGATGCCCGACACATCTAAGTGCAGAGGGAATGTCTACTGACTAAATGAACACAAAAAATTGTAAGGAGTCTGATTACATTTGAGAACTATCTCTTATTATAACTGTCTGTTGCACTACTAAAAAAAAATTATGGATACTGAACAGTATGTACTTAATATGCAACTAAAGATAAAAGAAATTTAAACACCTAATTCTATAAAACTGGCCTTAATGAACTCTCTACACTTGAAACTACATTTACACTTATTTACTTATTAAAGACTCCTTGGACAAACAACAAAAACATCTAAAATCAAATTTAACATATTGTTAACTCAAGTTACAAACTTTAAAACCGGAATGAAAAAAGTATTTATGTCTATACATACATCTCTTACAATACATAGTCAACTTACCGTGATGGTCTGCAGGCTGACCCAGTAAATAACTTCCAGAATTCTCTATCAACCTCAATTAAACTGCCTTGAATTATAGCTCCAAGTAAACCAAAGTTTTCAGCTTGTATCTGCTCAGAACTTATACCACGAAAGGTAAGAGACCAAATTTTAATCCAGAATTTCAACAAATCTGATTTCTGCGAGCCTTCTAGGTTTGATTTCTTGCCTTGACACAATGCAACTTCCGTAAGGCATCGTAACACATATGGCGTGCGCTCCCCGTGTCGATGTTGAGGTAGAAGCTGGTACAGTATCATCAGTAATGGTGACAACTCATAGTTAGGTAAACTTGAAGGATATTTTGATATTAACTGGGTTGTAATCTGTAACCTAGATAAAATAAGAGGATAAATGAAATAAAAATTATTCAATTCCATGAACAAACTAAAAGAAAACAAATATATGGACACAGCACTCTTAATAATATCCTGGAGTATCACCACCATTATTTTCCATTCTGCTCTCAAAATAAACTGGCTTTTAACATTTCTTCGTCCCTACTTCCTAAAGCGTCAGGAAGAATGACAACTTTCTGGCTAGGCAGGTGAGTTGTCTTATGTCCCTTATATAAAAACTTTGAGGAATAACAAACTTAGGGGCACATGGCTGGCTAGGTTGGTAGAGCTTGTGACTCCTAATCTCAGAATCATGAGTTCAAGCCCCACACTGCGCATGGAGCCTACTTAAAAACAAGACTAAACTAAATTAGAATTTTCTACTTGTAGTTGTCACATCCATCCTCGCTCTTCAGCCACCAGTTAAGATTCCTCCAAAACAAGAAAACAGACAAAAATCCAAACAACTGCTTTTCCTAGACATTCAGTTAATTCAGTAAATATCTGCTATGAGTTTTCTAGAATGTGAACTACTCCCGAAGAGGAGCTTTCCCTTATTCATCCGTGAATCCCTACCTAATGCTTGGCACACAGCACGTATTCAATAACTAACCCCGGACTGAATGGAAAAATTGAAGACTCTGAAACAGGGATCCCTCCACCACGTAAAAGAAACATGAACTTAGGGCACCTGGGTGGCTCAGTGGGTTAAGCCTCTGCCTTCGGCTCAGGTCATGATCCCAGAGCCCTGGGATCGAGTCCCGCATCGGGCTCTCTGCTCGGCAGGGAGCCTGCTTCCTCCTCTCTCTCTCTCTCTGCCTGCCTCTCTGCCTACTGTGATCTCTGTCAAATAAATAAATAAAATCTTAAAAAAAACCAAAACCATGAACTTAAGCAACAAGTATCTAAATCAAGATACTTGCCCCTCACGACTCAGTTTATTTAAATATGACATCAACATGGTAAAAATCAAGGCATAGATCACACGAGTTTGACTGTCATCTACAAACTTCTGACTGTCCCTGGACAAGCTGCTTAGCCTTTCCCAGTTTTGTTTTCTTTTTGGTAAACCAAACAGGCTGAGCTGGACATTTTCTAAAGATTCCTACCAGACCTAATATTGTGTGATATTATAGAACTCCACAATTCATTTAATCATTTGAATAACTGTGTATGCTATACACAGCAAATTCTTTAAAAAGGCAACCTTTTACTATGGCACAAGGTCCAAATTATTCTGTGATCTCTGAATGCCATCTTCAATTTCTTCATGCTAAAACCTCTGTGAGGGGACACACAGCTCCGTGCATTCCATGCCTGCTGGGCAGCCATCCTCCCATCTTCCCTGCGAAGGCGAGCTGCTTCGGAGAGGCGGCCCTCTGGCCCAGGCTCCAGCATGAGCCTCTGTGGTTGATCGCCAGAGGTCCTGGCAAGCAGCTTCCCCTTCACCAGGGACTGGTTTCAAGTGGACAACGGACCTAGTTATGGCCAGGCCGTTCTACTGCAGGGCTTATGAGAAAAGCTGAATGAGACTAAAATGACACTGGAAGAGAAAACAGTAACATTTTACCAAGGCACAAGATCAAAATCACTCTGTGACTTCTGAAGATGATCTTTTATTACTTCCCAGCCTAACTGTATTTTCTTCTTTTTGCAAGGCGCACTGTAATCATTACATTCTCTTTGGGTGGTAGTATAAGACTGAGAAATCTCCAGAGATCTAGTATCTTCATTAAAAATCTGTAAGATAACAAAAAGAAAATCTTTTTTCTTTATATACAGATTCTGTTTTCTAATACTTTGAGGGAAAAAAATTCCTCCTCAAATGAAGACACAGGGAAGTCACAGAGCAAGAGTGATAAGTTAAAAAAATACATACACGTAACACAGTAACATATTTTGCATGACTATAGTAGCTCTCTCGAAAAGAGATATTACCAAGTTATTAGTTCTATTTCCCAGAAACATTTGTACCAAGACATCTAAAAGTAAAGCAAAAATCTGTTTTCAAGGGGATTAAATTTAAAATTTCTTTTGATTAAAAAAAAAAAAAAGGGGGATTTTGGGATGCCTGGGTGGCTCAGTCCATTAAGCATCTGCCTTCGGGTCAGGTCATGATCCCAGGGTCCTGGGACAGAGTCCTGCATCAGGATCCTTGCTCAATGAGGAGTCTGCTTCTCCCTCTGCCCCTGCTCCCCCTGCTTATGTGTGCACCTGCTCTCTCTCTCTCTCTCTCAGACAAATAAATAAAATCTTAAATAAAAAAAAAAGCATGAAAAAAAAGTTCATCACTAGTTTTCATTATGCTCCTATGTGCAAAATAATTATTCGATCAGAACAGCAATTCCAAATTCGGAGTTTTGAAAGGAACAGTCACATATACAAAGTAATTTTACAAGGCTTTTTATCAGAACACACATTTTAAAAACCCGGTAAAAGGGAAACTAATAGAAAACTTCAAAATGTGACAGGACCTACTGTACCTGGTGGCAAATATCTGCCATCAACTCAATCAAGTTTTCTTTGACAGCCACGTTACGAGAGCCTGAAGAATACTTCCCTCTGCTTCCTATATGACTTATCTCGTTAATTAGCAGATCATATAAGTTATATAGGATACTTCTCCATTTACTTGATTCATAAGCACCTATAATTCAAAAAATTAAAAATACAGTTTACGTCTACACTCCATTTGCACTGCCAACCCCCACAGAACCATTCAGCTGTTAAGGTGGAAACCGGTCCAGCCATCCATTCTGTACTAGGGCCTCTTCAGACAATATCCTGTCAGGCCCGACTTTGTAACACTGTCTGGCTCACACTCAGCTATTTGTTGTAAAATTCTTCTATACTCTGATCTAACTTTCTCTAATCAGCTCCATCAAAATCCCAATCAAAACCTAATTTCTTCTCTCCGCTGAGGCAAATACAATTAATATGTCCCATCATTTGTATGAAGACCAAATTCTCTGTAGGTCATTAAGAGAAAAACACTACTAGTTCCTTTAGTGTACAAATGACATGTTGCCCAGACTTCTCCTCATTCTAGTTGTCTGTGCCTAAACACACTCCAGTACCCTTATGTCCCTCTTGAAATGGCGACTCTACGAAATCTGGTAGACAGGATACGCCCATTGTGATCGGACCAGTGTGGGTAACAAAGGAGCTATTACTTCCCACACAAACCATAAAATCTATTAGTATAGCCTAAAACCACATGAGTGTTTCTGGCAGACTCATCATCCTGCCAACTTCCAATTCATCCTAAATACACAGTTAACCAAAACCCTAAACATACTGTGTCATCTCCTGGATAAGTCTGATCTTTAGCCTGTGTGAAAGAGGAAACCCTAAGAAAATTCACCATTCTTTGACTTAGCAGTGGTTTCATGGGCTACAAATACAGCTAACTTCACATAGGTAAAGAGCCCATTAAACATAGACAGTGACTTTTAAAAAAAAAAAAAAAAATGGCTCTCACAGTTTTCCACCATTTTAGCTATTTCTCAGTGGAGCTTGATTTCCTAACAAGGGCCTTACACTGGCCATGATGAATTTGTCCAAAGGCTAGTGCAGGCACAAAGGTAAACACAGTAAGAGCCTGAGGGAATCCACTCAGTTCCAGTTCCCCCCAATAAAATTCCTGTCCACTGAGTGAAGCTACACCATCTAAGATTTTTTAAAGATTATTTTTAATTGAGGTATAACTGACATACAACACTAATTTTGGAGGTACAACATAATTATTTGGTATCTGTACACACTGTGAAATGATCACAATGCCTTACATAGTTAATATACCTTACGTAGCTACAAAAAAAGTTTTTTCTTTGTGATGAGTACTTTTAAGATCTACTCTCTCAACCACTTTCAAATATGCACTATCTGTTATCAAGCAACACTCTCTTGGTGAGAGACAGATGGAATGGTATCAAAGGAGGAGAAGTCATTCATTTCTGGTTTCCCAGAAAAAAACCATTTCTGGTTTTCCAGAAAAAACGGCGGCCTGGATTGAGTGTGAGGTTTAAGGCAGTATGGACACATCTTCCTGAGGAACTGATTAATCTCTCTGTTCGCAGTCCACATTTATCTCTTTTACCTTCTAATAAGAGCAGTATGTAGAGACACAAGACCCTATCTTCTCCAAACTCACTCACACTCCAGTCTGTGTCATCCCTTCTGGCACCTAATTATTGCCACGTCAACAGCTGCTAGAGGAACAGCATCTCCCATTCGTCTGTGTTCCTCACAATACTTACAACTGTACTAAACACATGGTAAGGCAGGACAGGATTTGTTACCACAGCTTCAAATTCTAAAAAAAAAAAGTGTGAGAAGCACCTTCAAGACTAATAACATTAACCAAGTACAACAATCCAGAGGAAGGTCACAACCTCCTACGAAATAGAAAATTTCATACTTAAGCCTCTATGTTTTAATGAAGAAGCAAATTCAAAACAGCAAAAACTTTTATACCTTTTTCTTGAGTTTTCGCTCCCTTTGGATGATGCACATATATTTGCAGTTGAAGTAATTCAATAATTACTTCTTTTAAGGAGTCATTAAGTCTATGTTGAGTCCAAATATAAAGCAAGGCAGGAAGAATTTCATCTCCTAATTGACACACTCGAATTCGAAAGTTAACAGCCAGTGTCTTGAGGAAGATAACAAATGCTGCTAAGATGTGATTCAGACCTGCAGAACCCTTTTCCTGTCTGTCACAGAAAATAAACAGACTCAGCTTGGGGTAACAGGGCAGAAAAATGAAAACTGATGGCAGTTATGAAGTTGCATGCTGAAAAGAAAAAAAAAAAATCTCATCTTCAAGTAACAGTAGCCTTAGTTCCAGAACGATTCAGAAACAAAAAAATATGAGCAACAGAACAAACAAAACAGCTCTTCTTTGGTGCTGAGCCATCCTCCCTACTCGCTCCCTGCTGTGAAACACTGTACAAACTGATGCGAAACTGATTTCTAACACCACCATTTATACAGCACTTCACGTGACTGGGTAATGTCACACAAATGTCAGATACTGGCACTTCCAAAGTTTGTTCCTATTTTATTTTTTCTTAGTACATCTATTTTCAAAAATGGAGGAAATAAAACTACTTAAAAGGACATTTAGTTTTTCCTGTCCCTAGATAAGCAACACTGATCTTCCACTTATGAACGTGGTTTTCATGTTCCATCTGCCTTTGGATATTCAGGAAGCACACAGCTGACACTTTCTTTGGGAATCCACTAATTCTACTATAATGGGCCAGCTTTGTTTTGTTTTTTCAGTTGGTAACATTTTTAGTTACTGGAGCTAAAACATGGTCTTACAGGAAAATCAAACAGGTTTTTAATACAAAGCAAAACAAAAAGAGATTAGATTACCTTGCATGTTGAATAGCTTTGGAAAAGAAATCCAAAAATTTGGAATTTAATCCATCAGTTTGCGAACAGCATCCTTTGGTCACAGCATGAATTATTCTAGCCACTAAAACTCTATTAATGTCTTGTGCAGGTTTAAGGTACAGACTGAAGTACACAGAGAACAATTCTTAAAAAAAAAAAAAAAAATTAGTTATTAAAAAGAAAACTATCAAAGCGTTTAACTTAAAGGTCTTGATTTAATTTAAATTTCAATATTCCAGGCCAGCTGGGTGGCTCAGTCAGTTAAGCATCCAACTGTTGGCTTCCACTGAGGTCATGATCTTGGGGTCCTGGGATTAAGCCCCGTATCAGGGTTCGCACACAGCGGGGAGTCTGCTTGAGGTTCTCTCCCCCCGCCTCCTCTGCCCCACCTGCTCGCTAAGTAAATAAATCTTTTTAAATAAATAAATTTCAGTAATCCCATATAGAGAAAAAGATTTAAAATCATACTAATTTACATTTATTTTCTATTTTTATTTGTTAAGATTTTATTTATTTGTCAGAGAGGGAAAGAGAGAGAGAACACAAGCAGGCAGAGTGGCAGGCAGAGGCAGAGAAGCAGGCTCCCCACTGAGCAAGGAGCCCAATGGGGACTCGATTCCAGGACCCTGGGATCATGACCTGAGCCAAAGGCAGCCGCTTAACTGACTGAGCCACCCAGGCGTCCCTTAATTTACATTTAATATGGTAAAAGTATCACATCCATATTTGACTTTATTTTACATAAAATGCCTTCAAGAGAGAAACAACTTTTGGCCAGAGAGTATGTGCAGCCAGCCCTTCGACAAGCTGCTTGACTTCTATCTGTGTCCTTTCCTTTAGGTCTAACAGAGCATGGGACAGTGCACAGGCCACCGCTTTGTCTTGAGGCGGTCTGATTAATAACGAGTGTAAAATGTATCAAGAATGCTGTCAAGGGGCTGAGATTTTACTCTACTTGTAAGCTAAGGGATCAGAATGCCAGTTTCATGGATGCTGGCAGAAGACAAACTATTCCCGACTGAGTACCTTCCTTTCTGCATAAATTCCTCAATCCCCAAGGTAACATGAAAAGGGACAGGTGACACACGCGCAAACAGTGAGAGAACCATCGAGCTTTCTGCGACACACAGGCAGCAAGCTGTCCTTGGCTCTGAGGAAGCCATCATCTCTGTCACCATCTCCACCTTCCAAGGTTCACTATACACACATACTTAAAAAAAGTCAGGAATAGAGCAGTCAGGGTCACTCGTAAGTATGCAGAAAAGGTGAGATGCGCTGAGAATCGTCTCCCAGAACCAGGAGCTAAAACCAAAGCTGCTAATGCAGGATTTGCTCCCCATATAAATAAAGAGAGTCCTTGGCTGGTAAAAACGAGTGAGAGTAACACCTATGGTATCTTCCTTTGTAACTGTATGTATCACATAATTCTGCAGAGATAATTTAAAATCAGATTCAAACACAAAAGAATAATATAAATACCTCAAACATTATTGTAAAGAAAATGATTGTTCAAACGATTCCTATTGTAGCTGACATTAATTTATACAACTCTGCATCAGTGCTTCCCAAATTTCTGTCATTACAATACGTAAATGGTTAAAAACTGTGAGTTAATACATAGAAATGTGGAAACAAGAAAAAAGGAACTGGAGGGGGATGACCTGGATGGCTCAGTTGGTGAGGCATCTGACTTCAGCTCAGGTTACGATATCAGGGTCCTGGGATCGAGTCCTGCGTCAGGCTCTGCTGTCTGTGGGACATCTGCTTGCCCTCTCCCTGTCCTCTGGCTCCCCCACCCCCCCACTAGTATGTGCACATGCACATGCACGCTCTCTAGTAAATAAATAAAACCTTAAAAAAAAAAAAACAAACAGGAATGGTTATCTTGATCATTTCCCTTTTTTTTAAATTTTTTAAAGATTTTATTTATTTATTTGACAGAGATCACAAGGAGGCAGAGAGGCAGGCGGGGGAGCAGGCTCCCTGCTGAGCAGAGAGCCTGACTCAGGGCTTGATCCCAGAACCCTGGGATCATTACCTGAGCCGAAGGCAGAGGCTTTAACCCACTGAGCCACCCAGGCGCCCCCGATCATTTCCCTCTTATTACCTGATAGGAGCAGAGAGGGGAAATGAGAATGCCAACTATCTTCGATTAAAGCTCAAGCTTTAGGCCTTTTGTTAGTTGGGGGAAGTGACCCCAACTCTCTCAGAATCCCACATACTATCCTAGTAAGTGGTTAAAAAAACTGGCATAAGACATTCAGTGAAAGTTGCAGAAGCGTAGAGGTTCAACTAATTCAAAAAATAAAAAAAGAGGCTGTAGGACATGCTTGCAGGTGAATTCATTTCCTCCATGAGCTCAACAACAAAAAAGCTCAAAGGACAGTGAAGGAAAATGATAATAAAAAGAGCTTCTGGAGTTAATAAAACTCAATTAACTGTAGCTTCCTTGGGACTTTATACATAGACAATCATGCTACCTGCAAATAGGAACAGTTTCCTTTCTTCTTTCCAACCTGGAGGCCTTTCCTTTCTGCTCCTGGCTGAGCTGCCCTGGCTAGAGACTGCAGTACAGTGCTGAACAGGAGTAGTGAGAGCAGACGTCCTTGTCCTGTTCCCAACTTCTTTTACGAAAGGTTTTAAATCGTGGATTCACTTTCTTTAATAGCTACAGAACTATTCAATTACCCATTTCATATCGGGAGAGTTCTGACAAGGAGTGGTTCTAAGCAGCCGGCCCGTGTAACTTCACTGGTCAAGTTGACGTGCACAGGGTTGTTCAAGGCGTGCTCTTAATACTCTTCTAATACCTGTAGGATGGCAATTATATCCATTTCCTCCCTACTCTCAGCGATTTGTGTCCTTAGTCACTTTTACTAGCAGTTCTAGATTTCACTGATATTTTCAAAGAATCAGCTTTGTTTCATTAAACGCTCTCTTCTGTTTTTCTGTTTTCAATTTCAGTGATTTCTGCTCTTCTGCTTGCTTCAAAGTTTTTGGTTTTGTTTTTCTAGTTTGAGATGGAAACTAAGATTACTGATTTGATATTTTTCCCTCTTTTGTAATATAGGCAGTTAGTGCCATAAATTACCCTCTCAACAGAACTTTAGCTGCATTCTACAATTTTTGACATGTTGTATTTTTTTATTCTCATCCAGTTCCAAGCTTACTTTGATTTCCTTTGAGACTTTCTCTTTGACCCATGAACTGAGACTTTCACGAAAGTACTGACTTTCACAAAAGTACTACAAAGGACAAAGGGCACTGTGGTAGAAATAAAGAGAACAAATTTAGGAAGGGCAATCAGAAAACGGCAATGACATTTAAGCCAAGACCTGCAGGGGGAGAAGAAAGCAGCCACACAAAGGGGAGCCTCTGCCAAGAAAAGGACAAATGCCACAAGGGGAGAAAGGCCTTGCACTCTCAAAATAAAGAGGGCATGAGATGATCCACAGCAGTGTCAGAAGGAAATACTAGAACCCTTATTTTTTAAATTAAAATTAATTACAAATAAAAATCAACTTTAGGGGTTGGTCTGGATGGCTTTGTCAGTTTAGCCTCTGCCTTGGTTCATTTCAGGTCATGGTCTTCAGTTTGGGATCGAACCCTGCACTGGGCTCCGTGCTCAGCCCAGGGTCTGTTTCTCCATTCCCCTCTCCCCCTCCCCGCCTTGTGAACATGAGCGCGTAAGCATGCTTGCGCTCTCTCTCCTTCTCTCTCTCTCTCTCTCATAAATAAATCTTTTTTAAAAAATCAAGCTGGGGGGCGCCTGGGTGGCTCAGTGGGTTAAGCCGCTGCCTTCGGCTCAGGTCATGATCTCAGAGTCCTGGGATCGAGCCCCGCATCGGGCTCTCTGCTGTCTAGGGGAGCCTGCTTCCTCCTCTCTCTCTGCCTGCCTCTCTGCCTGCTTGTGATCTCTCTGTCAAATAAATAAATAAAATCTTTAAAAAAAAAAAAAAAAAATCAAGCTGGGCATCTGGGTGGCTCAGTGGGTTAAAGCCTCTGCCTTTGGCTCAGGTCATGATGCCAGGGTCCTGGGATCGAGCCCCCCATCAGGCTCTCTGCTCAGCAGGGAGCCTGCTTCCCCCTCTCTCTCTGCCTGCCTCTCTGCCTACTTGTGATCTCTGTCAAATAAATAAAATCTTAAAAAAAAAATCAAGTTTTACTGATATTTAATATAGAAATCAACAACGGCCAGTTTGGAAGATCGCTTTGGCAGCTTCTTACCAAACTAAACATACTGTTATCATATGATTGATTCAGCAATCACACTTCTTGTTATTTACCCAAAATGAGCTGAAAATTTTATCTGCACATGGATGTGTACAGCAGCTTTATTCATAATTGCCAAAATTTGGAAGCAATCAAGACATCCTTCAGTGAGTGAGTGGATAATCAAACTGTGGTACATGCAATGAAATATTATTTGGTGCTAAAAAGAAATCAGCTATAAGGCCACAAAAAAACATGGAGGAACCATAAACGCATATTACCAAGCAAAAGCAGCCCACATGGGAAGACGACATACTGTGTGATGCCAACTAAACGACATTCTGCAAAAGGCAGAATTAGAGACGGTAAAAAGATCACTGGTTGCTAGAGATCGGTACGAGGGGAAGGATGAACAGGCAGCACACAGAGGACTTCCAGGGCAGTGGCACTATTCTAGTTGATGCCATAATGATAAATACATGTTGTTCTACGTTTGTCAAAATCTACAGAACGTACAACACCAAGACTGATCCTAATGTAAACTCTGAGCTTCGGGTGGGATGAGCTGCCGGCGCAGGGTCGCTGCCTGAAACAAATGTGCCACTTTGGTGCAGGATGTTGACAGCAGAAGCAGCTATGCATGTGTGACAGGCGGTTTATGGGAACTCCCTACTTCCTGCTCAATTCTGCTATGAATCGGAAACCGCTCTAAAAAGATAAAGTCTGTTTTTAAGAAAAGGTGTGGAAACCACCAGGTTAGAGAATCTGAATAAAAGCCACTGTAGCTAGAATACGGAAATATGCAGGATGGGGGTGGCTCATAGTTACGGCCTGATAGATAAGCAGAAGCAGAATTACCCAGTGCTTCCAAGGCCTAGAAAAGGAGTCCCTATTTTATCCTAGTTGTACGGGAAAGACACTAAAGGTTTTCAA